CACGACAAGGAAAGTCAGTAGCGGGATCCTGATCGCTACTGTGTTGAACAGAGTTTCGCCACCCCTCAAGTCGAAGCAGATATAGCCGAAGAATATTGTCCGCCTGACAGCGCACCAGCAGCACCTTCTACAGTTCCGCAGCCATCTACGTCAGCGGCCGAAGCATTGTTCGACTCCTATATTCCTTTGACATGTGCCAACAACACGAACACTCGGCTTTTCATTCCCCTCTTGGACCCGTTGCGTCCTGCCAGGTTACAGGCTGCCTATAATTATGAGGAGCACCTGCGCCGACAGAAAAAAACGCAGCATCACATGACGGTGCTCGCCATCCGCCATCCAAAATTGATGACGATAGCGTCGTCGAAGTTTGCCAACCACATCCTCGTGATGACCAATCGACTCTTCAGATCCTCGGCCTTGCTGTCGAAGTTCAATAGTCAACGGCTGGGATCGAGCCGAAAACAGTCAAGCATGCCCTCTCCGGCTCTAATGCTGCCAAGTGGCGAGCACCTATGGATGCAGAGGTAGCAGCTCTCGAGAAGTGGATTACGTGGAAACTCATTCCACGCAAAGTAGCACGTGGCAAGAACATTCTTTCGGGCAAGTGGGTCTTTCGCATAACGACAAATGCAACAGGCAAACCAGAAAAATTCAAGGGGAGATGGGTCATTCGAGTTTTCGAACAAACCCATGGCATCAATTATGACCAGACTTTTGCTCCGGTCAGCCGCCATACCACAGTTCGAATTCTTCTCGCCATTGCCGCCAGCCGCCATCAGCCACTTCACCAATTGGACGTTTAAAATGGTTTTTCATACGCAGACGTCGATGCAAATATATTTGTCAAAACCCCTCACACTTACGGCGACAGACTCCACATCTGCAAATTACTTCAATCACTCTACGGCATCAAACAAGCTCCTCACTTGTGGTAGCAACATCTTCACAAGGTTCTTATTTCACTCAACTTTGTGCAGCTGCCCCACGACCTTGGAATGTAAAGACTCGAATTTCGGGCATACTACATTCTTTTAGTCGCCTACGTGGACGACTTACTATACAACGGCTCGTGCAACAGTCTTCTGGCGCGCTTGGAGGAAAGAATCCAAACGATTCTTGAAGTGACTATTTCCTCCAACGTCACCCAATTTCTTGGGTTAAACGTTGACTGCGGCCCCGATGCTACCTTTCTTCAAGCAAGTATGCAGAAACACTTGCGGAAAAGTTCACCATCGATCCAATCAGCCTCACCTCTCTATTTTATCATACTCCGGCTGATCACACACCAAATAATACCCCACTTACCGCCTCCGAGCATCAACTTTACCAGCAGCAGCTCGGGTGTCTTCTATTCGCATCCGTTACATGTCGCCCAGATCTTGCCTCCATTACAAGTCAGCTCGCACAGTACCTGCGCCGATATGAAGGGGAGAATATGGCCGATCTTTATCGAGCCCTCCAATATTTCATTTGTACTCCTACAACTGGTCTCAGCTAGACGACAAATACTGCAGCAAATTTTCGATTGATGCGGATCACGCTGCTGACCCCGACAACAGGCGTTCGCGTACAGGGTTGATTTTCGAACTTGAACCAGGTGGTGTCATTTCCTGGAACTCAACGAAACAGGAGGTCATCCCACTTTCGTCAGCCGAAGCTGAATTCGTCGCAGCAATCTTTGCAGTTCGCGAAGGACTCTATCTTCAGGAGTTACTTCAAGAGGCGAAAATCGCAACGACCCGTAACTTCAAGTTACTCTTCGACAACCAGAGCGCGATCAAGATTGCAAACAAACCCGGCTTCATCAACAAGACAAATCGCATTGCCCTTTGATACTTCTTCGTGAAGGTCAAAATCGACAAAGGGAAGGTCATCCTGAAATACTGCCCTACAGAAGAAATGGCAACTGATTTCCTAACGAAGAAAATCCCACGCAGCAAGTTCCAGTACTGCTCCAACCTGGTTGGAATCTGCAAACGAGGCGACTCTTATCCAGATGGATACACTCAGGAATGAAGGGGAGTGTTGAAGTATACACGGTGGAATTACCACTTATGCATTCCTAGCATTTTACTTAGACTGTACGAGTAGCGCGATACCTCATATGGAAGGACGCGCATGATGGACCTCAGCAGTAACGAGTAAACGCGTGAATAGTAGGTTCGGGCATATAGTCACCCGAAGGGTGATGCCACTCTTAGTTACACGAACGGTCACTAGTCATGTCACGCGAATAGTCGCAATACACTACGAACAGGTACATTCCGAATAGGTACTTCCTAGACGATAAATATGCTTGTATCACGCATTATTATTATCCTTGTCATTTCTGACATTTCCAATACAAGGTGTAAAGTCTTCCGCAAACTTTCACTCGTGGTTCCACCAACTCTATATCCTGGCCACCCTAAACACGTTGTTCACTTCAATAACTCTATCGAGTATTCTTCAACAAGAATTTGGGTGACGCAATCTGATTTACGTGACAGGACTGCACAATAAGCTCGTTATAGCGTAAATTCCATTTCCTTACACATGATAGGAACGAGCCCAACAGTAGGATATAGCTGGGCAAAAACCAAACAAGCAGGTTTGGCAGAGCTCGAACGTGTGGCGAGAAAATGGGCTCGGGACGCATTCGAATGTGCATGCTGCATGGGATATGCCACGTTTGAGTAACGCGGCTCCGGTGAACGTAATAAATATTAATTATACAATAAGAAGTTTGGGAACCCCGTTGTAGTGGTTTACGCTTTACCAAGTGAAAGTAGAAATAAGGAAACGTCGTTTCCTTACAATTTCTACTGATAATGTCGTTGATCAGTTTTTCCCTCAAGGGACGTGGGACTAGGATCCCGGCCGCTCTCTTTTGGCGCGCCTCCAGATGCACCTCCCCATCTGTTTGGGTGGTTTTGGGATTCGGTCGGCGGCGGCCTTGAACCCACTGTCCTACACTTGTGGGTGGAGTCAGGCGGTGTCTGACATGGCCCAGTTGGGGGCCTCGGGGGAGGAGGTGATGTTGAGTTTTTCCGGGTGGGGGGGGGATTTCGTGGACCCATGGTACGCTAGGAGCCTCACTTTGTTGCCAGAGCCCGTGCGTCGGGAGATGCCTAGACTACCACACTGTGTTCTCAACCCCCCAGTTCGTCTTTTTTTTTTTGTGCAGCAGCGGCGTTTGGCCGTTGAGGAGCTTCGCTTCCTACGTCATCTCGTTCAGGACAATGCCACCTTGGTCCGTTTGACATCCCTTCAGGGCCCGGGGGCAGGCGCTTGGGTTTCAACGATTCCGGCGTACGCGTACTCCACGTTCACAGCTGCTGATTGGGGCATTGCAGGTGCTATCCGTCTTGGGCTCCCCATCCAGCAGTTGCAGGTGGTGGGCAGTTGTGCGTGTGGGGTGGCGTTTTCTGATTCGGTGGACCCACATCATGCGTTGTGGTGCCGGCATCAATACCCGCCCTCCAGGGTTCATGACGAGATCAAATTTGTTGTGGCCAAAATCGCTAAGGCGTCCAAGGGGGGGGGGGGGGGGGGGGGGGGGGGGGGCGGGGGAGGGGGTGTCGCTCGATGATGACACACTGCTCCTTGGGAAGCGGGTTGATGTTGTTGTCTGTCGGCCGATAGAGGGTGCGGCTCATGCGCTAGATGTGAGCGTTGCGGATCCGCTGTCGCTCTCTCCGCAGCTGGTGGGGCAGAGCGGGCGTACAGTAGGGGTGGCGGCCGAAGAATGGGAGTGCCGCAAGACGGTGGATTACCGGGCGTTGCCGGCGTGTCATAGGGGAGTGCAGTTCAGTCGGCTCATCGTCGAGACGTGGGATTGTCTCGGTTCGCGTTTTCGGCCGTTGTTGAAGCAGCAGGGGGATGTCTATCGGTGCGTGGCAGCATCTCCAGGGGCGTGTCGGGAGGATGATGTGGGTTTCTCTGCTTACCTTCTTGGCTGCGATCGGGGTGGCTCTGCAGCGTGCGCAGGCTCGCGCTAGTTTGTTGCGCGTCGCGACCACTATGAGGAGCCCAGACAGTGACCTTGTAGAGCGGGATTGTGATGACATGGGGGTGGAGTGGGGTGCGCTCTGCGTGGAGGCGCCCTATTTGTTCGATGGACGGTTTTGAGTGGTCAGGGATGGGGGTTTGGGGTGGGGGGGTTCGGGTTTTTGTTTGCTGGTTTTCCCACTGACTAGGGCTCGACGGGTTCCCTTTGGGTGGGTGTGTCCATGGTCCATTCTTGGTTTGTTCTGGTTTTTTGGGTTCTAGCGGTGGGATTGATCTGGTTGTCGGAGGGGAGCTCACTATCGCTCATTATTGATGGGGTTCTAGAATGGACCAATATGTTTGCTTATGGCAATTCATGGCGAGTAGAATAGAAGCTAGTGAATTAGCCACCCCATGAAGTGTGTTGGGGGTTGTAACTTCAATTTGATTTTGCTCTGTTGCACCTGAGGGAACCACTCGCAGCAGTGGCACAAATCCATTGGGGCAGCTTGTCGTCTTCTGATTGTCATTTCATCCCACAACACTCCGCTGACCTTTGTGGCATCTGTGGAAGTTTAGCCAGCTGCAATCTTTTTGGGCAGGAGGTTGATACCCAGTGGGCTTGTGGGGTGCCTCTCTCGGTCCTCCAGTTTGGTACGTTTTAACGGGTTTTCTCATCGAGATTACCCAATCCTTTGTTATCTCTTGCGACTGTCTTGTCCCTCAATAAATCCCCCCACATAGTCCCTCCCGACATTCCCAGCGCCAGAAAGGAAGCGGGAAAAGGAGGGACCGGGCACGAGAAAAACACAACTCCAGGTTGGTCTGCCTCACCGCCAATCATCGATGTCACGATCAACCAAACCTGGTGTTTTCCTCGATGTTTGCTCGCTTTGCTCTCCCCAAACCACATCAAATCAAACCAACTCCAAGGCTTCCATCTCATGCCATGCAGTACTGTACAATAGATGTCTCCTAGACTCACATGTACAGTCCTGGATGAAGCTTTTTGACTCCGTTTCTTGGGGATGGATTTGTCTAACGAGTTTTGTGCTGTCTACAAGCTTGCTTCTTGCGAAAACAGTACCAGGATTCTGGTACATTAGTAGCTTAGCCATGTCAGTCGATACTAATCAGGTTGCAAGGCGGTGCGAGGAACCATCCACACTCCCGCAGTCTTAGCTCAGCAACGTGCTGACAACATGTCTCCCTGTTTTTAAATAAGTTCCTACCCGAAGCTCGGGTGCATTTTGAGCCGACTCAAAATACCCCTTCACCCAATCGTGAAACCCGCTAGTTCTCGGATGGACGATGACCATGATGTGGGTAGCTACTATCGCGGCTCCAGAATCTATCCCCAGCTAGCCAATCCCCCGAAAATGGGGCCCACCATTTGCACATTCGCCATGACAGCCAGGCTGGCAGTCTCCAGCGGCGAGGGGCCCTCCTCCGTCGTCGCCGCGATGCCTGTTTTCGGCCAGAGCCTACTCGCCGAATCTTGGGATTCGCCCGACGAAGGCGGCGAGTCACCCGGACGACCCCAGGTAAGCAGAGCCGCGTCAAAAGCGGGGAGCAGCAGCAGCGCGAGAGATGATCCCGGCAACAGCGGCAACAGCGGCGGCGGCGGCGGAGGAAGGGCTGGAGAGGACTTCGAAATAGAGTTCCCGCCAACGGGTAGCTCTTCCCGGCTTGCCGCGGCTGCTGCTCGCAACGCGGCTGCTAGTGGCACCACTGCTGTTACCAGTGGTAGCCGAGAGTATGGTACCGCCGCATCGCCAGGCCTTGGCTCGGGTTCGCGAGGGATAGATCTACGGCGTGGATTCGGGTCTCAGGGGGGGTCGCTCGATCGAACGGCTCCGGGCAGCCGTTCCGCTCCGCATGTGACCGTGGCGGCGGCGGCGGCGCTGGCGATTGCGGCGGTGGATAAAGAGCAGCGACAGGCGAAAGCGGCGGCAGCGGCGGAGGCGGCGGAGGCGGCGGGCACGGTTTCTGGGCCGTCGTCGTCGGCTCCGAGAGCAGAAGCTGCGAATCTGCTCGGCCTGTCGGGACGAAGAGGAAGACGAGGCGACGGGGACTCGAGGGGAGGATCTGGTGGTGCGGGAGGCGCAGCAGCAGCAGGGGCAGGAGCAGGAGCAGCGGGGGTGGCCTTGGGAATGCCGCCGACTCCCAAGCGGGCGTCAAGGCACGGCCGGTCGCGGTCGTCCACGGCGTTCCTCTCCCTCTCGCTCTCCCCCTTCTCCTTCTCCTCCCAGACCTCCACCCCCTCGCGATGTCCCCCTAGGGACTCATCTCGCGCCGGATTTAGTGGGCTCCAGTGGCGCAAGCCCGCGGCTTTCCCCTGCTGACGTGGCAGCAGCAGGAGCTCTCGCCACGTCAGCATCGTCGGCGTCCCCCAGCCCGCGTTTGCAGGCGCCGCCGGACGGGCTGCAGCCGTCCTCGGAACTCGCTAAGAGCAGGCGCGGTAGAGGCAGCCACTCCCGCAGCCGCAGCTACTCCGAGCCTTTCTGGTTCCTCGGCCAAACCTCAGGCTTGGACTTGAAAAGCCCGGGCCGGTTCAGGTTCGGGCTCAAGGCTCTGTCCGTGAGCGGGGAAGGTGCTGAGGGCGAGGAGGGGGGAGGCGGAGGAGGGGGAGGAGGAGGGGAGGAGGAGGGGGAGGAGGAGGGGGGGAGTAGGGGGGGTTGGAGCAACAGCAGGCGCAGGTGCGGGAGTAGGTTATAGTGACAGTGGGGCATCGTCGTCAGGGGACGACGCGTGGAGGGGGTTGGGTAGGAGAGGCAGAAGAATTCTAGAAGGAAGCGGCGCAGCTGGTAATTATGGGAGTTGGAGCAAAAGCCGCAGCAGAGGAGGCACACTGAGTCCTATCCGCTCCGACAGTTTCGACCGCTCACACGGTGACACGTGTCACTCCGCAACCGGCACTTCTGCTTCCCCACCCCACGGCCGCGTATCGTTCTCCGCCAGTGCGCTCCCCCCGCTCGCCATCCCCCCCTCCTCCAGCCTCGACGACACTCCCCAAGCCAGCCCCTTGCTTCAGGGGGGGGCGGCGGCGGAAGGTCCTCCTCCCGCCTCCAGCCGTTCTCCCCCAGTCTTCTTCCCCCGATTCGCGCACGCACTGGCGCAGGCGGCGGAAGCGGAAGCGGAGGCGGAGGCGGAAGCGGGTTCAGCCCATGCGAAAGTCCGCATTCCAGCAGGGGCGCGGGGAGCGCGACGGGAAGCGCGGCTAATAGTACCGCAAATAGTCCGCGGATGCCCTTTAGTCCGCTAAGGTGGGCGGGACTAGGCGCTTTAGGGTTTCGAACGTCGTCTAGTCATAAAGCGAGCACCGGGGGGGGGAGGGGCGGGCAGGGAGGCGGAAGCGGGGGTGGCGGGGGGGAGGATGACGCCGTTGTGAGTGATGGGGGCGGGGGAATCGGGGGAGTCAGCGGAGCGGGAGGAGGCGGAGTTGGGGGAGGGGGGGCGCGGGGAGGCGGAGCAGAATGCAGCCTGGGGCCGGCGGAGGGGGAGGGGTAGGGGTAGGGGCAGGGCGGATGGGAGGGGCGCACCGGAGATCGCAATCTGTTGATTTCGTATCGCCGCGATTTGCCCTTTTTAAAGGCGGACTTAATCCTTTCTCCCCGAGGCCGCCCCTCGGCCAAGCAGGAGTGAGTGAGAGCCAGAATCAGGGCGCGAGTGCCTTCTCCTCCCTCTCCTCTTCCGCCTCCCCTCGACCTCCGCCTAGTTGGGCCGCTGACTCGTCCCCTTCCCCCTCCTCTCAACGCCACTTTTCTCCCGGTTCGCACCCCCTCTCCTCGCCCTCCGCACACCCGCGCCCGCCCCGTCCCAACTCCCCCCTCCCCCCGTCCCCCCACTACTCTGCTGACGCTATCCGGCTGATTGCTTTGGGCGAGGGGGGGGGAGATGCGGAGGGGAGAAGAGAGAGGGATGGGGAGGGGAGCGGGAAGGGAAGCAGGGGAAACTGCAGCAGCAGTGGGCTTTTATCGCCAGCAACGTCTGCAGCAGTAAGAGGAGGAAAAGGGGGAGGCGGAGGGGGAGAAAGCGCAGTAGCAAGAGGGGAGAAAGGGCACCGGAAGAAGGGAGGGTGGGCTAGTGCGTTCGCTAAGAGCAGCTCCTTCTCACCCTTCGGGCCTCCAAAGCTGGTTACCACGGGTAAGATGCACAGAAGAAGCTCCTCCCTGAGCACCTTCTCCTCTATAACGGAGCAGTCTATAGCGGAGCACTGTGTGTTGGCGCAAGGAAACGCAGAGGGGCAAAGGGGTGGGTCGGATGTAGGGGAGGGGTGGGACGATAGAAGAGGGGGGTTGCGAATCGGGGAGGGGAACAGCCCAGAGGCTAGTGACGGGGGGTTCATCACTAAGGCTGGAAGCTACAACAGCATAAGTAGGACTCTTAACAAAGAGTCAGATGGGACTGGAGAGGCGCAGAGGCAGGGCGCAGGTCGGTTTTGGGGCAGGTGGGAGAGGAAGAAAGGCGGAGAAACAGGGGCCAGAAGCGGGGAAGGAGGAGCGGAACGCACGGGAGGAGCGGAAGGCAGGGGGGGCGGGCTGGGTGGAGGCAGGTGGTCCTCATCAGCAGCGGGAGCAGGGACGAGGGGAGGCGAGGGGACTAACAGAGGCGAGGGGTCTAGCAGAGGCCCTCCTGGGGAGGGGAGGGGAGGTTCCCAGTCCCGTGAGGGGAGCTTCAAAGAGTCCCTGAGAGGGCGGTTCAGCCCGCCTCGGCTGCAGCTGGTGGACCCGGCTCTGCCTGATGGGTTTGGTGGGATGGGAGAGGTGGGAGACATGGGGGAGGGGGAGGATGAGCCTCTGCTGCTGCCGCTGTCGCCGACAGGCATGCCTGTTGCTGGGCTTCCTCCCCAGCAGCACCAGCACCAGCAGCAGCAGGCTTCGCACCTGTGTGAGCATGCGTTGTGTGCAGGGGCGGTGCTTGGGAGGGATGCTGCTGACAGCCTTGGCACTGGCATCACAGCGACCTCCCTACCCGCAACCCCCACACAGAGAGAAGCGCCACTAGGAGGAGGGGGAGGAGAAGGAGCAGACGGGCCGTCCAAAGAACAAGCGCTCCTTTCGTCGTCCCTGTCGTCACTATCAACCCGTAAACCCTGGGGCATTATATCGCAGAGCGCCTGTGCTGCTGCTGATGCTGCAGGTACTGAGGAGGAGGGGTCCATCTCTCCGCCCCCCCACCTTTTTGGCCTCTTTCTGGACCATTCTGCCACTGCTTCCGCTCAACAAGTCTCGAGGTCGGGAATGTTTATGGGTAGCGCCGCTTCGGCTCTATCTGCTGATGCTGCTGCTGCCTCTGCTGCTGCTGGCCCGTCTGTTCCTCTGTCTCTCCACCTGATCCCACCGCCAGGAGAATCAGACAGCTTGGTCGACAGCCCGGCAGCTGGCCTTAGAGTCTCTGCAGCAGCCTCTTCAGGTGCTGCTGCTTCAGGTGCTGCTGCTTCAGGTGCCGCTGCTTCAGGTGGGGCATCAGCTGTTGATTCAGGTGCTCGTGAATCAGGTGCTGAGTCGGGGAGAGGGATAGGGTCATGCACAAGCAGCACTGGCGAATCAGGGAACAACAGCGTTGGAGCAGCACCAGGATTGATACCAGCAGCAGCAGCAGCAGCACCAGCAGCAGCTCCAGCAGCAGCAACATCAGCAGCAGCAGCAGCAGCAACAGCAGTGGCAGCAGCAGAAATTACTGTTCCCCGTTCTGTCTCCCGCTCTGCCCTTCGCCGCCCGTCTTCAGCACAAAGCCCGCTAGCCTCCAACATGCGCCACCGCCGGGCGGCGTCAGAGGCCCGCGACTTCCTGCACGAGCTGGGGGCGCGCCGCCCGGCCTTCATGAACAGTGCCGTGAATAGTGGCTTGCGGGCGGCTCACCATGGCAGGAGCGCGTCTGTAGCGGTCCTTTCAGGGGCGGTAGGCAACAGGCGCATGGGAATCGAGGATGCAGCGAAGGGTGGTAAGGTTGCTGATGGTGCTAGTGACAGTGATAGCATTGCTGCTGGTAGTGGGAGCGCTGGTTGGGAGAAGCTTCCAGGAAGCACCGGCAGTAGGGATGATGGCGGTGGTGGCACGATCCAAGTGGCAACAGGACGGAGGACGCGGCTTGGGCGGCATCGCTCGTCTGCTTCCTTGGAGATGCCTCGCCGCCCGCTCACTGCTGAGGCGTGGCAGCATGTGGGGGAGGTGGATGATGAGGTGGTAGGTCAGGAGCAGGTATACCTGATGCAGGTAGAACTGGAGCAGGCTCAGCTGCCTTGGGTTGAGACTGTACCAGGCCAGGAGCAACAGCAGCAACCGTGGCAGCAAAAGCAGCAGTATCAGCAGCGCAAGAGCCAGCAGCAGCAGCAGCCAGAGCAGGAGTGGGAAGAACAGCAGCAGCAGGAACAGGCAGCGAGTGCAGGGTGGACGCAGAGTGTGGGAGAGAGCGATTTGGAGGAGAGAGGTTTGCAGGGGCAAGCAGACGTGTGGGTGGCTGAGGAGGAAGATGAGGAGGGAGAGGAGGGAGAGGAGGAGGGAGGGGAGGAGGGGCAAGAAGACAGGCTTGTTTTCATGGACTATTCAAGTGAGCTGGCTGCTTCTGATGCCCGTGGATGCAGTGGCAAGCCTTCCGATGCACTTGCCGCTCGATCCACGCCCCGTGATAGCAACCCTCGGAACCCTCATAGCCGAACTGCTGCCCGCCCCTCCTCTGCTTCCTCCTCCTCCGCCTCCTCCTCCTCTTCAAGGGGTCATGACAGCTGGAACAGTGCCACTCTCCCGCATTCTGCCGTCCCTGCTGCCTCTGCTTACTCTGCTTCTACTCATCCCCTTTCTGCACTGCCTTACCAGAAGAAGCCCGTGCGTCCGTCAGTCTCCCGACCCTCCGCCGCCCGCTCCTCTGCTTCCCCCCATGACAGCTGGAACAGTGCTGCCGCGTCTTTTTCTGCAGTCCATCCCCGGAATCCCACTAGCGCCTTCGTCTCCCGCCCCTCTGCTGCCTCCGCTGACCACGACAGCTGGAACACTGCCGCCCAGCCTGCTTCTGCAATCCATCCCCGGAATTCGCCCAGTTCCTTGGCCTCCCGCCCCTCCGCTGCCGCCCATGACAGCTGGAACGATGCTGCTCTGCCGCCCGCTTTTGCCATGAGCCAGCCATTCTCAAGAACGGCCCTGCGCTCCCCCCCTTCCCTCCCCCACCGCACCAACCACCTCCCCCTCAGGTCTCCCCGCTTCCCCCTCCCCTCCCCTCGCCGCCCCTCCCCCTCCCGAGAAGCCCAGAATCTCGCCCTGTCCGGCCGCCGCCCAGACATGCACCTGAGAATCCACCTGGGAGAATCCGACCCAGATTCATGTGCGGATCCTCTCCCTCTCGTGACACCTGGCCCTCCTTCGGCCTCCTCTGGTCCCTCTTCTGCTGCCTCCTGCCCTGCTGGCAACAGCAGCGGGCGCTGGGGGCAGTACCAAAGCCCCCGGTTACCCCCTCTCTTAAGCCCTCATGTCGCCGCAAGCAGCCCAAGATTCGATCGGCTGTACGACCTTCCCCACGCTAAAAAGTCCCCTCTACCTAGAGACCTTGTGCCAGACCCCTGGGATTCCCCCGATCGCCCCCCCACGCACTTGGACCGAGGGCCGGCATTACCTGCAGTGTCGGCTCACGGCCCTCCCCCTGGTTTACCTGCGAATGTGCCTTGGGAAGACTCGGACCGGCATACTGCTGCTTATCTCTTGGACCGCCGCTCCGAGAATCCTGCCTTTCCCTTTCCCGAGCAGCTGCTGCAGCCACCTTTGGAACGGCACTTTGACCGCCCCCAGACGGCCCCTGACCGCAGCCTGCCCCGCCGAGGCAGCCGCAACAGGCTTGGGGAGAGGCTCGGAGAGAGTGGGCGGTTTGGTCCGGGAAGGCTGCGGGATTTAGAGGAACAGGAGGAGTGGAGGGAGGAGTGTGGGGAGGAGGGATGGGAGGATGGGATGGGTGGTGGCGGTAGCAGCAGCAGCGGCACACCAGGGAGCGCTTATAGCAGTGCGGGCATGGCTCATGGGTCAAGGAAAGGGGAGAGGCAAGGAGGCTATGGCAACCGCCAGGGGATGCGTTACACAGGTAGGTGGGCGGGCACTGGGTCGTTCCAGGAAAGGGGCGGTGTGGGGATGGGCGGTGTGGGGATGGGCGGTGTGGGGCTGGGCGGTGTGGGGATGGGAGGTATGGGGCTCGTGGGAAGACCAGAGGGGGGAAGGGGCAGGTACGGTGGGAATGAGGGTGGGAGGGGCAGTGGGGGGATGGGCGGAGGGAAGGGGAGCAGCAGCAGCAGCAGCAGCAGGGGGGGGGAAGAGCACGTGGTGCTGGTGGTGGTTTTGACGGTGGGAGCAATGGGGATTCAGATGGTGAGGAGTGGTCCGATGAGGATGAGGCAAGAGCGGGAGTAGGAGTAGGAGGGGGAGGGGAGGGGGAGGGGGAGGAGGAGGAGGAGGGGGAGGAGGAGGATTGCAGGGAGAGGATGTGCGGAGGGGAGGAGGGGCGGCAGGGAGGTATGCGCCAGCTGGCGCGTCGCTGCTGAGGCGGCACAGCACGACCAACCGACGCCGCCCGGCCATGCGGTCCCTGGACGAGAGGGAGGAGGACGGGGAGATGACGGACTATAGAGGTGACTATGGGAGGGGTGATAATGATTGCGGTGATAACCGCTGGGGAGGCTACAGGGGGGGCGAGGGCCACAGCAAGCAGAGAGACGGACAGGAGGAGTATGATCAGTCACACCTTCCCCCCTGGAAAAGAGGCCCCGGGGCGGACCTTGTGTCGGGTTCAGGCACAGGGTTAGGGTTGGGGCCGCCCTTGGTGTCCAGGTGGCAAGGGATAGCAGATGGTGGGCGGGAGAGAGGGGGCAGAGGGGGGAGAGATGGGGGAGGGGGGAGAGACGGGGGAGGGGGGAGAGATGGGGGAGGGGGGAGAGACGGGGGAGGGGGGAGAGATGGGGGAGGGGGGAGAGATGGGGGAGGGGGGAGAGATGGGGGAGGGGAGAGAGATGGGGGAGGGGGGGGGAATGGAGAGTGGAGGGACATGCCAGGAGTGTCCATGTCATGTGGGAGTGGGGCGTTTTGGAACGGAAGGGGCTTTGACGTTGCACCTGGGGGTGCGGCCGTGGCTGCTGCCAACTCTAGGCACAGGCCAGGTTCGGCGTCAGGCTTGCGTTCCGGACCAATCCGCGAGTCAGGTTCGACGAGAGGCCCGGCAAGTGGTGGAGAGCAGATGGGTGTGAGAGGTGGAGAAGAGAGGGGGGGGAGAGGTGACCGGGGAAGCAGCTGGGGTGGGGCTGGAGGGGATTTGGGGGAAGATGGTGTGAGTAGTGCGAGTGTGAGTAGAGCAGGTTTGAGTGTTCGGGGAGGAAGGCGGGAGGAAGAGGAGGAGTGGAGGCAGGGCGAGAGGGCCAGTGCTATGGGGAGTGAGGGAGGGGATGACATGTGGCGGGGAGGTGGAAAGTGCGATGAGGAGGGGGTGAGTGAGGGAGTGGGAGAGGGTAGGGAGAAGGAGGTGGAGGTCTGGGGGAACGAGGAGGGAGAGGAGAGTGATGGAGGTGGCAGTGTGGTGGAGTTTGAGGATGAGAGTGAGGAGGGAGAGGAGAGCGAGGAGGGAGAGGACGATGAAGAGGAGCAAGACGAGGAGGAAGAGGAGGATGAAAGGGAAGGGGACAACTAGAGAGAAGATGGGGAAGAGGACGGAATTTAGAGGCAATGGAGAAAACCGTACAGACTTGATGAGGGTGTGAAAGCATATACTTGGCTCCCAGCTGTGAGCTGGATGGCTCATTCGTATTGTATAATTTGATTACTATTTATTGACGAGTTGCTTGTATGGGTACGAAGGAAGGCATGTTCTTGTGTGGTGGTGGTGCATGTAAAGCTAGTCTACTTGTTGAGTGTGGCCCCATAAACAAAAGTAGAAAACACCAACGTTTCTTTGTATCGGTGCTGTTAAAACTTGAGTAGAGACACTTAAATCGCGTTCCACGCTCCAAGATCTTGGAAAGAACGTGGCGAATTTCCAACTTGACTCGTGTTCTCGTCCACGTCAAAGAACGCACATTCCACGGCAGTCCTTGAAGTTACCGACATCGACGTGTTGCTCCTGGAATCGCACGGTCTCTCTTGCTCCTTCCTTTCGCAACCCATCCCAGCCGTACAATGCCACCAAGCGTTTCACCCCACCCCCTATGATTTACTCGGGTTCGGCATCGATTATTGAAAATTCGCATAATCGCATCAGAGAATCTGGCTTTGAGCTTCGAGTTCTCTGCCTTCGCCTCGCGTCGCGACGCCTGTACCAAGTAGCCGACGTTTCTGCTACGGGCAGATAGGTCGGGTGACAGGTGGCCTCACTCACGCGCCTCTCTCACGGCTCGCCTCGCCTCGCCTCGCCTCACCTGATCGCTGATTCCCCACCGTTCCCGCCTTTCCGCCGTTCGCCTTTCCGCCTTTCCGCCGTTTCTCGTTTACTTTCGGGAAGTTCCCCCAGCCATGGCGTCCGCAACTATCACCGCATCTTCCGCTGCCTCCACTCGCCTCGCCGGGCCTTCCGCCGGGAAACGCGGACAGCACGCCACGTGTTCGCTCACCGCATCCTCCGGTCGCACCTCCGCGGCAGCGCTTACGAGCGAATTCCTACCGTCGCTACCTGTGAAGGTACGCAATCTCCGTAAATGCGCCTCCTCCTTACTGCCATGGTCACATCTCTCTGTTTCCTACCCTCTGCTGCTGCTGCTGCTGCTGCTCACATTTCCCTCCCCGCACCCCTCCCCTTCTCCCCCTCCCCTTCTCCCCCTCCCCGCCCCCCTGCCCGCTTCCCCTCCTCCCTCCTTTCCCCCCTCCCTCCCTTCCCCCCCCCCCCCTCTCCCGTTCCCCAATCTGCTGCGTCCACGTGGCGCTCCTACAGACGCAGGCGCTGCGGGCAGGGGCCGGCCGCAAGCCCCGAGCAACCTCCGGGCGTCCCTGTCACGTGTTCGCGTCTGCTGATGTGGCGCAGCTGCGCGGCGCGCGCGAGGCGATTAATGACATCATCTCGAGCAAGTCGTGCAACCCCATCCTGGTGAGTCTGCTAGTTAGTGACTCCCTGGCGACTCTCTGGCGACTCTCTGGCGACTCTCTGGCGGCTCTCTGGCGACTCTCTTGCGGCTCTCCCACCGGGGACTTTCACACTCGCGCGTGAGATGGATGCAGCTCACCCCGTCATGAGCCCACCTGCATCTACACTGAAAGAATAGGGTCATCATCGCCCAATCATCTACCAATCATCTACACCTCCCAACCACCTCCCAATCACCTCCCAATCACCTCCCAATCACCTCCCAATCACCTCCCAACCACCTCCCAACCACCTCCCTATCGCCTCCCAATCCCCTCCCAATCGCCTCCCAATCGCCTCCCAACCACCTCCCAACCACCTCCCAATCACCTCCCAATCACCTCCCAACCACCTCCCTATCACCTCCCAATCACCTCCCAATCGCCTCCCAATCGCCTCCCAATCCCCTCCCAATCACCTCCCAACCACCTCCCAACCACCTCCCTATCACCTCCCAATCACCTCCCAATCGCCTCCCAATCGCCTCCCAATCCCCTCCCAACCACCTCCCAACCACCTCCCAATCGCCTCCCAATCACCTCCCAATCACCTCCCAATCGCCTCCCAATCGCCTCCCAATCCCCTCCCAATCACCTCCCAACCACCTCCCAATCACCTCCCAACCACCTCCCAACCACCTCCCAGTCACCTCCCAACCACCTCCCAACCACCTCCCAACCACCTCCCTATCACCTCCCAATCACCTCCCAATCGCCTCCCAATCGCCTCCCAATCCCCTCCCAATCCCCTCCCAATCACCTCCCAACCACCTCCCAACCACCTCCCAACCACCTCCCTATCACCTCCCAATCACCTCCCAATCGCCTCCCAATCGCCTCCCAATCCCCTCCCAACCACCTCCCAACCACCTCCCAATCGCCTCCCAATCACCTCCCAATCACCTCCCAATCGCCTCCCAATCGCCTCCCAATCCCCTCCCAATCACCTCCCAACCACCTCCCAATCACCTCCCAACCACCTCCCAACCACCTCCCAATCACCTCCCAACCACCTCCCAATCACCTCCCAACCACCTCCCAACCACCTCCCAACCACCTCCCTATCACCTCCCAATCACCTCCCAATCGCCTCCCCATCCCCTCCCAATCACCTCCCAACCACCTCCCAACCACCTCCCAACCACCTCCCTATCACCTCCCAATCACCTCCCAATCACCTCCCAACCACCTCCCAACCACCTCCCAATCACCTCCCAACCACCTCCCAATCACCTCCCTATCACCTACCAACCACCTCCCAACCACCTCCCTATCACCTCCCAATCACCTCCCTATCACCTCCCAACCACCTCCCAATCACCTCCCAACCACCTCCCAATCACCTCCCAATCACCTCCCTATCACCTCCCAATCACCTCCCAATCACCTCCCTATCACCTCCCAACCACCTCCCAACCACCTCCCAACCACCTCCCAATCACCTCCCTATCACCTCCCAATCACCTCCCAATCACCTCCCAATCACCTCCCAATCGCCTCCCAATCCCCTCCCAATCACCTCCCGACCACCTCCCAACCACCTCCCAACCACCTCCCTATCACCTCCCAATCACCTCCCTATCACCTCCCGACCACCTCCCAACCACCTCCCAACCACCTCCCAATCACCTCCCTATCACCTCCCTATCACCTCCCAATCACCTCCCTATCACCTCCCAATCACCTCCCAATCACCTCCCAATCACCTCCCAATCACCTCCCAATCGCCTCTCAATCGCCTCCCAATCCCCTCCCAACCACCTCCCAACCACCTCCCAATCACCTCCCAACCACCTCCCAACCACCTCCCAACCACCTCCCAATCACCTCCTCGCTTCCAGATTCGCCTGGGCTGGCACGACGCGGGCACGCTTGATAAGACCATAGTGGAGTGGCCGTAGCAGGGCGGGGCCACGGCAGCATTCGTACTGACAGCAAGGACGGGTTGTGCCCCTCCCCACCCCCTCCCCATCCTCTCCCTCCGCTACATCTCCCAGATTCGCCTGGGCTGGCACGATGCAGGCACGTTCGACAAGAGCGTGGGCGAGTGGCCCAAGCAGGGCGGCGCCAACGGCAGCATCCGCTTCCGCCCCGAGATCGACCACGGCGCTAATGCGGGGCTGGCGGGAGCCATCGCGCTGCTACAGCCGGTCAAGGACCGCTTCCCCGCTGTCAGCTGGGCGGATCTCTTCCAGCTCGCCAGTGCTACAGCTGTTGAGGTACGGTGGAAGGCAGTGCAGGCTGTGCTACAGCCGTCAAGGCAAGGCAGGCATCAGCCGCTGAGCCAGTGGAAGTTCCAGTGGGGCGTCCTGTCATCCCCATGAAGTATGGCTATCACTCACATCACATCACATCGCATCACATCTCATCACATCACATCACATCACATCACATCACATCACATCACATCACATCACATCACATCACATCACATCACATCACATCACATCACATCACATCACATCACATCACATCACATCACATCACATCACATCACATCACATCACATCACATCACATCACATCACATCACATCACATCACATCACATCACATCACATCACATCACATCACATCACATCACATCACATCACATCCCATCGCATCGCGTCGCATCGCTTCGCGTCGCATCGCATCGCACTTTCGCACCATCTCACACCATCCCATGCCATCCCATGCCATCCCATACCCCCAGCTGGCAGGCGGGCCAGTCATCCCCATGAAGTATGGCCGAGTGGACGCGTCCGGGCCTGAGGACTGCACACCTGAAGGCAACCTGCCAGGTGATTTCAACAGAACGGACCTCCGTCTCCTTTTTCGTACCAAGGAGCTTCTAAAGGGCAAATTTTGCCACACGCACATCCCCCTGTTGCCACACGCACATCCCCCTGTTGCCACACGCACATCCCCCTTTTGCCACACGCACATCCCCCTGTTGCCATACACACATTCATCCCCCCTGCCTCTCTGCGCCCTCCCCCCATCACTTGCAATGCGCCCTTTTCTCTGCAACGGTTCAGCCGAACCTCACCACATGTACTCAAACCCATCTGCACCGCTTTGGCTCCCTGTCGTCCCTGCCTGTCCCCCCCAATTCCTCCGCCCCTTCCACCCCCATCTTCACCCCCCCATCTCCACGCCCCCCCCTCCCCCTTTCTCCCCCAGATGCGGGCCCCCCCTCCCCAGCCGATCACCTGCGCAAGGTCTTCTACCGCATGGGGCTCAACGACCAGGTGACTATGTGCAGTGTGGTTATATGGAGGTTTGTCAGCAAGGTGAGTAATAATATGTGAATGAGACCATGATGCCACCGCTGAAGCTACTCAAACGTGCACACTGGAGTGTGCGCTGGTGTCACTGCGCTGGTGTCACTTACTTTGGTTGGTGCTACTACTTTTTTTTGCGTTGTTTGAGCTGGTTGGTTTGGAGTCTTGAAGGCGCCTCAAAAATACGTTTGCCTGCGTTGGTTGAACCGGTCTGGGAAAGACATCCAACTTCCAAGGAAGAGGCGGCTACAGAAATGCAGACTTTTGAGTCGACTCACAAGGCGGCTGCACAAGTGCAGAAGCTTGCAGTTACGCGCCGGTGGTGTCTGACTTACCTGGGTGAAATGCGTGATTGAATGCTCGATATCATTGCAATCGCTTGTTCATGAGGGGCTACTCGCATGTGACTTTCTGTTTGATGATAATCTGTTTTTGAGACGTCTCAAAACTAGACTGATACCATTCTTGTGTGGGGCTGTCCGTGTATGTCTGAAAGCATGTGACTGTATGTATGTCCGTTTATGCGTGTGTCTCTCTCTGTCCCTGTCTCCCTTTGCCTCACCAGGAGATAGTGGCGCTATCAGGCGCGCACACCTTGGGGAGGGCCCGCCCTGACCGCAGTGGGTGGGGCAAGGAGTCCACCAAGTACACGGTGAGGGGGAGAGAGAGAGTGGTGCAGTGCAGTGGAGCACGGTTCTTTTGTGCCTTGTATGTATGTATGGGGCAAGGAAGGAGTCCACCAAGTACACGGTGAGGGGGAGAGGGAGAACAAGAGAGAGTGGTGCAGTGCGGTTTCTCCGGCTTCTATCAATAACAAGGACTGATTGAGAGCGAGTGGTGCAGTGCGGTGGAGTGAATTCCAATAAGCAAACGCACTTCCGTCTGCCCCACTTCCCCCTTCCCCTCCCACACATTTCCGTCTCGACCCCTTCCCGATCCCCTCTCTCCCTCGCGCAGAAGGATGGCCCCGGCCTCCCTGGCGGCTCCTCGTGGACTGTGGACTGGCTCAAGTTCGACAACTCCTACTTCAAGGTGAGTACCACTCTTCACCACTATGTACTCCCGAGATTTATGCCTCCCTGGCGGCTCCTCATGGACCTCGAGGTGAGTAAGACCTGCTCACCGCTCTGCACCCCTAGCACTCATCTTCTGAATCCATTGTCTTTGCTGAGGCTCCTCACGCACTGCTGACTGGCTTAATCAGCGCCATGGCCAGGCAGAGCCATGGGCAGGCAGTGCCATGGGCAGGCAGAACCATGGGCAGGCAGTGCCATGCTAGTCATCACATGGTGGCCCGTACAGTCGAATGCCCTCCCACCAGGAGCAGGACGTCGAGGATCTGCTGGTGCTGCCCTCTCAACCCATGCAGCCCCATTGTATTAGCACATCTCATATCCCATGCCCATCCCGTGCCCAACCCATGCCCATCCCGTGCCCAACCACCAGGACGTGAAGGCAAAGCGGGACGAGGAGCTGCTGGTGCTGCCCACTGACTCCACCATGATGCCATCCCAAGCTGCCCACTGACGCCACCATGATGCCATCCCATGCTGCCCACTGACGCCACCATGATGCCATCCCAAGCTGCCCACTGACGCCACCATGATGCCATCCCATGCTTCCCACTGACGCCACCATGATGCCATCCCAAGCTGCCCACTGACGCCACCATGATGCCATCCCATGCTGCCCACTGACGCCACCATGATGCCATCCCATGCTGCCCACTGACGCCACCATGATGCCATCCCATGCTGCCCACTGACTCCACCATGATGCCATCCCAAGCTGCCCACTGACGCCACCATGATGCCATCCCATGCTGCCCACTGACGCCACCATGATGCCATCCCAAGCTGCCCACTGACGCCACCATGATGCCATCCCATGCTTCCCACTGACGCCACCATGATGCCATCCCAAGCTGCCCACTGACGCCACCATGATGCCATCCCATGCTGCCCACTGACGCCACCATGATGCCATCCCATGCTGCCCACTGACGCCACCATGATGCCATCCCATGCTGCCCACTGACGCCACCATGATGCCATCCCATGCTGCCCACTGACGCCACCATGATGCCATCCCATGCTGCCCACTGACGCCACCATGATGCCATCCCATGCTGCCCACTGACGCCACCATGATGCCATCCCAAGCTGCCCACTGACGCCACCATGATGCCATCCCGTGCTGCCCACTGACGCCACCATGATGCCATCCCGTGCTGCCCACTGACGCCACCATGATGCCATCCCATGCTGTCCACTGACGCCACCATGATGCCATCCCATGCTGCGCCGCGCGGCCCTATTCTATGCCACCCTTATATACGACACACTTCATTGTCATCCCACATCCACCGTACTCCCCATGTCCACCATACCATCTCCTGACATTCTGTGCCATCCCGCACCCACGTCCAGGACGTGAAGGCGAGGCGGGACGAGGAGCTGCTGGTGCTGCCCTGTTACCCCATGCGGCCCTATTGCGCTACCACATCTCATATCACATGCCCATCTCGTGCCCATCCCATGCCAACCCCATGCCCATCCCGTGCCCACCTAATGCCCATCCCATGCCCATTCCATGCCCATCCCATGCCCATTCCATGCCCATCCCATGCCCACCCCGTGCCCATCCCATGCCCACCCCGTGCCCATCCCATGCCCATCCCATGCCCATCCCATGCCCACCACCAGGACGTGAAGGCGAAGCGGGACGAGGAGCTGCTGGTGCTGCCCACTGATGCTGCCCTCTTCGAGGACGCAGGCTTTAAGGTGTGGCGTTAAATTTTTAACCACCAAAGTAAGAGGATGAGGGCTTTAATGTGCGGTGTTGATTTCTTAGGCACCAAGAAAAGAGGAGGGCTTAAAGCACAGCTTCCAGGTTCTTCTTTAGGGGGTGCAGGTGGCATAGCTTTAGGGTTTGCGGGTGGCATAGCTTTAGGGTTTGCGGGCGGCATAGCTTGAGGGTTTGCGCGCGGCACAGCTTTAGGGTTTGCGGGCGGCACAGCTTTAGGGTTTGCGGGCGGCATAGCTTTAGGGTTTGCGGGCGGCACAGCTTTAGGGTTTGCGGGCCCTCGCAATGATTTGTTTCTTGGGCGGACTGGCGCTATCTCCTGCCCCTGGTGGACTGGCACCATCTCCCGCCCCTATAGTAGCAATCTCCCCGTCCTCTCCTCGCGAGGTATTCGGCAGCCCAGGCAGCGTTCTTCAAAGACTTCTCAGTGGCGCGCAAGGTGCTCAGCGAGCTGGGAGCGAGGTTCGACCTGCCTTCTCCCCCCCCCCCACACGCATTTCACCCTGTGTGCACCAGGTATAAGCTGAGAAGTATTCAGCAGACCTGGCAGCATTCTGCAAGGACTAACCAGCGGCGCACAAGTCGCAGAGCGAGCTTCGACCCACCTTTCCCCTCCCCTCCCCCCCACACGCACTTGACCCGTTGTGTCTCAGGTATACGCTGAGAAGTACGCAGCAGACCAGGCGGCATTCTTCAAGGACTACGCAGCAGCGCACAAGGCGCTGAGCGAGCTGGGAGCCAAGTTTGACCCGCCGCAGGGGGTCTCGCTGGAGGCTGGAGGCGCTCGCCCTGTCAAGTTTGTGGCTGCGGAGTACTCCTCCGGCAATGTGAGTCACGGGGGGTTGGGGTGGGGGGGAGGGAGGGGGGAGGGAGGGCTTGAGGTTGATCTAGTGCGGTCTTGCTGGAGGCTGCAGGCGCTCTGCCCCGAGGGCAGTGGTCACCCTCAAGTGGGGTGTGAGATGTGGGATGGGGTGGTATGAAGAAGAAGCTGGTACAGTAGAAATACCCTGGCACGAATCTCACCGTGGAACTCCATTTGCACCCCCACAGACCCAGACAGAGCTGGCCAGCGCCATGAAGAAGGTGGTACGGGATGGGACGAGCACGTTGGGCTGACTGACTCACTTTGCACCTTCCGCTTTTCGTTCCCCCCACTCCCCACTCCCCCCACTCCCCACTCCCCCCACTCCCCACTCCCCCCACTCCCCACTCCCCCCATTCCCCACTCCCCCCACTCCCCACTCCCCCCACTCCCCATTCCCATTCCGCTTGTGACTTTGTCAACTGGTCAGACCCAGACGGAGATGTCCAGTGCCATGAAGAAGAAGCTACGGGACGAATACATCGGGCTGGGCGGCAGCCCGGACCGCCCGCTGCAGACCAACTACTTCCTCTACATCATGATTGGGGTGGCCGTGCTCGCCATCCTCACTAAGCTCACTGGCGCTATTTGATATAAGTAGACGAGGCTTCTTGGGCAAGAGACCGACTAGGCACTTCGCCTACATCATGATTAGGGTGGCCGTGCTCAACGTCCGGTGTAAGGTCACACGCGCTATTTAGAAGAAGTTGCGACGTACCTTCCTTTCTAAACATCCCGATGATACACAATGACGCAGCTTCATGGTTTGTATTGCAATATTAGAAAAATGAATTCGCGTCCCACGTGTCAGGCCAAGAGATAGATGTTGACAAGTTTTGAGATGTGAGGTGGCATTTTATGAGGTTGTTTGTAAGTGTCTTCGTTGTTTTCTGGAGCTATCACATGCGTCCTGTGCTTCAAACGTAAAGTCGTAAATCACATCACTCAATGCGAGGAACTTTGCATTTGCCACCTGATGTCCCTCGACCAGCGGCACCAATTGCGTGCAGTGCTGCGCCCCCCCCCCAGAGCCCTGGGCTCGAATTGGACCCGCTGGAGGAGTGTGGCGGCGGGCAGGGGAACTTCGGGCTGTCAGAAATTCCTGATACAGCTGGACGCGATACTTCCTGCTGGCGAAACCCCCAGCCTCCACTCCTGGTGGGGGCTGCCCCAGATTCAGCGCTGGTTACGGGCCTTCCAAGGCAAAATGGTTCTTCGCTTAGAAATTCGCCGAAGCCGTCGCCATCGCCGCACCTGGCTTCAGGTGGGAGGGAGATGGGATGAGAGCGAGTGGAACATAATCCCCTGACCAAACGACAAATTTTACGCCCCGCGCGAAGTGGCTCTGGCGCAACATGCGTCCTCTCGCCCAGCCCATCTGCTTACAGATGGCGCAACGCGAACCATCAGTTGAACCTGATTGGACAATGCGTGCGTGTAGCAAGGCTGTATGGGGGCCGAAGGAGAAGGCTGGCCGGGGCAGGTGAGAAAAAAGATTCGGATTTCCCTCCGATAATATACAGGTTACCCATTGTGCGCGTCTCGGCACCCCACATGCACGCTTTCGCTGGCCAGGGGCTCCAAGTTGTTTCGCGTCGCCTGGTTCTGCGGCGAGAATGCTGGCGACGAAAAATGACGAGGAAAGTAGCTGGAGTGGTTTACGGATGCGAGCAAAAGAAGCCCTGCCGAGCCGCAGAGTCTCACAGCGCCATGGGATGGGGGGTGAGTGGGAAGTGTGACTCGACCAGCAGCAGCCAGACTGGCGTTGCAGGCGAAGGCAGTCTGGCGAGCATGGCAGCTTGGAGTGTCGCATGGGGGCCTAGCCCAGGGTGGTGAGGAGGAGATGGGGGGAGAAAAGTCCCTGCTGGGCGAAATGCCAGAGGGCATGGCCTCCCCACCCCACCCACTCGGCGAGAGGCATTCGCGGCGAGGTGTACATATTTGAAACGCAGGTGCGCATCTGAAACCCATCCAAGCAGCACAAGCACCAGCACCGCTGTTGATCGCGAAACCTCGCAAAAAAGCATTAAGTATCTGGCCAAAGCAAGCCCACCTGATCAACGCGTTTCACCAACACCAACAGCAACAGCAAGCGAAAAACAATTCGAATCAGCGCAGCCGCCGCTCGCTGTTCATCTACGCTAACAGCTCCTCCTTATTCTACCAGCGTAGCATAGTACTAGCAGACCAACTTCTTATTCCGTCATCCGTTCATCTCCCTAGATATCTCTCGACGCAATGGCCGCCAAGCAGTGGGGTTGGGCCGACACTCTGAAGCAGGCCGCAGCGATCAAATCCGTCCCCAAGGAGTGGGTCCCGCACGTTAAAGACGCTAGCCCCTGGCCCGCACCCGCCGCTCTGCCGTGGGCTGCTGCCCCGAACCCTTTCCAGACCTGCCACGTGTTCGAACGAGAATTTCAGCTGCCCGTCGCTGCGAGCCCCGCGACCAGCCGCGCCAGCAGCTTCGACAGCACCGATCGCGTCTGCGCCGCAGCCGCCGTCCCCGCCCCCACCGTGCCGTTCCCCCAGCCGCAGTGGCCCACCGCGGAGTTCTTCCTCCGCGCGGGCTCTGCGGCGGAGTGCGCGCGGGAGGGGGAGGGGCAAGGGGAGGTTTGCATGGAGGCGGAGGCGACGTCGGACATGCGCGGAGTGGAGGAGTCGTTCCGCGCGGTGCCCATTGCGCAAAGCCCCTTCCATTTCTTCATTCGCGAAGATGCGGGCGAAATGGGCGGGATGGAGTGGAAAGTGGCGTCGCCAGTTACCACGCTGAAGCGGGCCGATTCTTTCGCCAGCAGCAGCAGCAGCGGCTCCCTCGACGCGTTCGCTCTGCCGCCCGCCGCCGATGTCGCCACGCCGTCGCACAGCAGCGACGACAGCGGCTGCGACTTGAGCCTTTCGCTGAGACTACCTGCCGCGTTCTGAGTGCGTTCTGACTTCGCATTGGTGTTATGAGTATCAGTACTGGAGGGGGACACGGAGGCGTGTTAGGGTTACCTATACGATGAGAAGAGCGCAATGATCCGATATGCGTAGGCGGCTTCGCAGAAGCGTTGATGCCAACGCGCAATAGCGCCTATCGCCGGTGAATAAGTGGTTCCGAGACTGCATTGGGAGTAATAAGTGGTCCAGAATCGCAGCTGGCTAGGGCCGCCCGAATCGAGGTGGTTAGCGAGCATGACTTGGCGAGAGAAATGACCTCTAAGATCTTTGACTATATTTGACGATGTATACAAAGGCGATAATCAAATGTGTCTTCCTACAAGGCCGGATCTTAGAACGAGTATCGTGAAAAGTGTATGCCAGATAGCGGTTGGGAAAGGTGCTTTCCGGGTCAGAAATATTAAATATCGATCCAAAACGGTTGGGTACGGTGTTTAGTGAACTTGCATATGACATCCTCATTCATCAAGAATGTTCCTTCAACCTACCATTTCACTAGTCCGGATGAATGAGCATACGTATCATCACTCAAATCAAAAGTATAACACACGGGTGAATGAGAAGGTATACAATACAGCACCAAGCATAAGCCCCTGCATACATTGGCAGCTTCTTATTGGCACCAGGTAGCGTCACATCTATGATGGCCATATACTTGTACACCATAAAGCATCATGACGGATTTGTCAGTAAGTATATCATGCTGCCAGCCCACCGCAGCAATGTATCCCTGATCGGCTGATCCAGGTGACTGGTCCTCAGGCTAAGCGTTGACGCTTAGCGGAGTGCAAGTGCTCCACCTCGTATTGAGTGGAGTCCCACTGGTGGAGACCATCCATGTCCTCATGGGAAATCCACGCTGGCACTCCCATGCACAGGTCCGCCACGTCAGCATGCCACATGGGCGCCAGGTCACTGTGTTCTGTAGCAACCACCTGACTGGTCGCGCTAGGGCAATCATAGGGCCCCTTATTTTCCGCACCTGCGTCTCCACTGCCGTTTTCACCTGAGGCTGCATCAGCATCCGAATCTGGAGCACCTGAGGAACCACCTAAAGCGGGCTCCCAGGGTGCAAGCAGGGACTGCCAGTCAATATCCCGTCCGGCTAACTCCTCCAGAGACTCCGCCTCTTCCGCGCATTTCCCCCCTACGGGCTGCTCCCCCCCCCGCACGTCATGAATGGCGGAAAGAAACAGCCCCGCGCAGCCCTCAATCCCCCCATCTCCAGCCAGCTTCCCCTCCGCCTCCGCCCCGTCCTGCGGATTCACCTGAAGTTTCACCTGGTCGCACTCGTCCAGGTCACCAGCCAGGAAGGCAAGCGGGCAGAAGGCGTCCCCCGCGAGCTGGCTGGGTCGGGGGGAGACTCCTTCCGGGGAGTCGTTGGATCCGCGCGCGGAATGCGCCGCTGGCGGAGACACCGGTTGCTTGGGCATTTGCGCGGGAGTCTGCGGGAGCATGTGCAGGGGCGCGTTGCCAGGCTGTGCCACTGGCGGAGGGGACGCAACCGGGTTGCGCTGCAGCCGGCCGAACGGGGAAGGAGCGGAGGCGGAACACGATGCTGGGAAGGACGCGCGGACCAGAAAAGGCGCGGGTTTTTCCGCCTTTGCCTGTGGCACTGCCGAAGCAGGTGGAGCAGAAGCGGGGGGGGCAGGCGAGCGCGGAAGCTGTTGCGGCTTCCGCCATTGCCCGACCAGCTGCTCCGCGAGCCTATCCACGGGGCTCGCGGGGAATGGCGCCGGGGGAGGCACAACGGAAGCGGATGAAGCGGGTTGCGGCTTATTGCTCAGATTGGAGCCGTTGAAGAGACCTGCTCGAGGCGCGGACGCAGTGCGGCCCGCCGGCCCACCCGCCGCGAGAGCCGGCGCGAGAACATTCGTTAACCAATCATTCAGCTTCGTCTCCATCTCCACCGGAGACGGCGCCGCGGCAACGGGCGTAACGGGGGAAGCGGGCCTCTTTGCGCGGCGAGCGGACGAAGCGCTGTGCGACGGGGGAAGGTGAACCGTGGGGGGATTCGGAGCGCCGTCCGCCGCGCTCGGCGGAAGCATCAAAGGAGACAACGCCGCTGGATTGGGAGCGAAGGACGGCGCAGATCCGCCCAGTTTCCGCGGAGTCTCGACGGCCGCGCCCACCCACGAGGCACTCCGCGGACTCCCGTCTTCCGCCGCCGCCCCCCCCCGACCCCCATAGGAGCAGCTCCCCGTAGACGGGCTCGCGAGCGGCTGCACTAGCACCGGCGCTAGCGCCTTGCGGCGACGGGGAGTTGCGCGGGCGGCGGAGGGGGGTTGCGGGGAGGGCTGCGCGGAGAGCGAGACGGAGAGCTTCTTCGCCGTGGCGAAAAGATTGCTTCCGTTAGTAACCGTTACGCTGTCGCCTTCGGAAGTTGACGAGGAGGGGGTCGCGGGAGAGAGTGCCCAAGGCGCTGGGGACGCGGGGAGAGAGCTGGCGGAAATGCCGCTGGCGGAGACGCCGCTGCTGTCCGCCGCCACGCAGTCGGGGCTCCAGTGGTGGTGCGGGGCCGAGCGGATCTTGGACGCCTGGCGCAACGCCTTTGCCCAGTCGAGCGCCATGGACTGTTGCGGATTTATTGTTCTCGAGAATAGCTGAGAATGGCTGAGAATAGCTGCCTTGACGCACTGTGGAATATCGCACTGCCAAACGTCGCACTGCCAAATATCGCACTGCGATATGAGTCGCACTGCCGCTCCTTGCCCGAAGCTGACTCTCCGCGGCTTTCCTCCGTTCAGGGAATGGTGCGGGCAAGCGCCGTTGCGTTGCCAGGTCGCGGGATTACTAGCTGGTCGCAACACCGCCACTCCACCATGTAGGCCAGCAGAACGAGGGGAGGGAGAGAAACAATCAGGCTAAGGTAGATAGCAACGAGAGACGGGAGCAGGGCAGGATTGGAGAAAGCAAGGGCAGAGCGAAGAAGAGGAGGCGATCGCAGAAGGCAGGGGAGAAGTGCCCGCGACCTGGGAGAGGGGGCGGACTGCTGGATGCGTGGTGGGAGATGGACGGAGTGAGGAAAACGCTTGGCGGAAAAAGAAGGGCGGTCAGTCATCAATACAGAAGACTCGGGACAAACGGGGAGGGGCTGGGAAACGGGGCTGGAATTAGTTGGGGGAGAGGGAGAGGGGGACGCGGAGGGGAAGGGGGAGTTTTGCTTGCGCCAACATCAAGAAGGGTGGGTGGGATGGAATCTCCCTTCTGCTTTCTGCATTCCGCATTTCGCCTTCTCCCTTCCGCCTTCCGCCTGCCGCAGGCGTCCCTGCAAAGCCTCGTCAGGGTCGAGCTAACAGAACCGCGATTCGGCGGAGCTGGCGAATTCTCAGGAGTTTGCCCAGCTCTGCGCGCCTGGGAGCCGGTCGGTAGTGCTGGAAACGACAAGTCGTGCGCTTAGGCGGAGGGCTGCCCTGGTTTTTGGGGGTGCGATGTTTGCCCGGGATGGCGGAGCTTAGGTGGTTATGATTCTGAATACCCCTGCACGAGTCTGGTTCGGCTAGTTTGAATCTGAGAGTTCCCCCGAAGTCCAACCTGGAAAGGCCGCTTCCAGGGGCAAACGAGGATTTGACAGGATGCCTAGTGGGATGGGTGCAACCAACTTTTACTACAGTTGCATCATCATCTTTATCTTTCAATCCATAAATATTGGAATCCCGCCAGCTGTGAGAACTGTGTAGGACTGTGCATATTTCTGTCTTAGGGACCATTCCGCAGCGAGTGTCAGACCCTCAGGTTAAATGAGGACCCAAGGCTGGAAAAATTGCCTAGGTAAGGAAAAACTGACAGTGTCTGCCAGGTAGCCGGTAATAATGAAATCTCAGAATACGCTCGAATTATCGTCCACCAATGCAATACCAGTCAGCTCAACTGCAACAGGTCCGCGACACTGTGCTGAGTCAGATGGGACAAAACATACTCGGCAGCTGAGTCAGCTGTATACTCATGCGACAGATTGATTCTGTTTCTCTGTGCTCCGTGAATCACACTAAACCCGCAGTTAGGTAGTGACAGCCCACGGCTCCTTCGACCGCGGGTACACCTCGGGCTTGATCCGCTTCCAGGAATACTCCCTGAGTTGCACATCGCAGGCAAAACAGTTTTTTTTCTTACACCTGAATTTGCTTCAGCGAACTTTTTTTCCCGAACTGCCACCAGTCGTGTGGGCCGGGAAGTTCCGACTCCTACCTGGTATTAGCCGGGTGCTGAGGAGCTGGCCGTTGGCAGCGAAAAGTTCTGGCCCGGACCACGCCGAGAACTGTGGAATAGAGGCGAGGATGCAGGCAACGCGATGGCCATGGGCTGGGAAAAGGAGTCCTTTTGCTGAGGAGACCTGCTCTGTAAAACTATATCTACGGACAGGAAGGCGAGCTCGCATGGGGGGCAGCATTACGTGGCAATGGATGCAGCGAAACAGTCTCCATTGGGAAGGACAAGCTGATGTGGCGCACGCTGGTTCCGCGTAAACTTATGGGCAGCAGTGAAACTAGATTTTTACTCAACTGTTGAGAGGGCAAGATCCGTGTTGTGAGGGAGGGCAGGAAGGATCCTCGGAATGAACTGGAAGGAACACTGTGCACCAGGAAAGCATGTTCTGCCGCTGCACAGCAACACGACACACCTGCGGGAATTACTCAGGAACATTTGACAGGAAACTCCTCAGGTTTCGTGACTGACAAGATGACTTGGAGGTGCGTTATCATTTGAAGATGCGGTGCTCGCGTGGCGGCACATGTGAACCAACGACCACCGTTATCGAGTGTACTCCCGCTGGGGTAATACACCTAGCTCTCCCAAATTTCTAAAAAATAGCACTTCTAGCAAACCATTCGGGTAACCATCTCGGAACATATTTTCAACAAGTAAACACTTATTGGTGGATTGTTTTAATAGCTTAATGAACAATCTCTCTAAAGCTCATCATCCATGAAATCATCCATGTCGTCATCCACTCCCTTAGGGTCAAACAGCACGGCCACCGGCTTTACGACCCCCCTCATTTGATTCACATCCTTCAGCATAAGCAACCCAAATGCAAGCAGGAGCAGCACGAGGACTGCAGCTGGCCCATATGTAAGCAGGGCAGACCTTTTCACAGGGTTGAATGCCCCAATCAACTCCGACTCCTTGTCATCATCTCTCTTCCCCCCCTTCCCTTCGACACTGTCACCATTTTCATCCCCTTCCTCGTTGTCACTTCTCCTATTGTCACTGTCAATGGAAGCGCCTGTTTCTTCAGCTATTTTAACTGCTGCCTTCTTTGCAGCTCTCCTCACAGCCTTGCAGGTAGCCTGAGAGAGTGCTGCTGGGCCGCTGCTACCAGCACTCACACCAGCAGCACCTGTACCACCAGCAGCAGCACCACCAGCACCAGCAGGAGCAGCAGCAGCAGCAGCAGCAGCAGCAGGGGATTCACCTGCAGTGAGGCTGCCTGGCTTGCGGTCAAACAAGCCTCCCAGCTCCCTGCGCTGCCGAGACTCCGCCTCCTGGGGGTTGGCAAGAAGGGGTTAGGAAAGAAAAAGCAGAGACTCTTTTATCTTCTTAAGCCTGGCCAGAAGCTGCAATGGCAGCAGCAGCAGCAGTAGCAGCAGCAGCAGCTGCGGCTGCTGCTGCCGCTGCATCTGACTGTGTTGGGGCAACTCAAGGTATAACCAGCCTGCACAACTGTACGTCTGTACAGCTGTACGTCCGGCTCACCTCTTCCATCTTCTTTAGCTTGGCCAGAGCAGCAGCGGCATCAGCCTGTGTTGATGAGTCTGCCTTCACCATCTGCCCACGCGAATAGAGATCCCAGGATGGGAGGAGAAGCAAGATGATGTCTTGAGGCACCAATGCGCCTCAACAGCGGCACCTGCTTGCACTGAAATGGAAATCCCACGATGGGAGGAGACGCTGGAGAATGCCCTGAAGCGCGATAGGAGTCTAGTTTTGAGGCGCCTCAAAACTAGACTCCTATCACGCGGTTTTTGAGGCGCCTCAAAACTAGACTCCTATCACGCGTTTTTTGAGGCGCCTCAAAACTAGACTCCTAGACAATGCCCTGAAGCGCCTCAACAGCAGCACCTGCTTGCACTGATGGGTCTGCCCCCCTTGACCATCGGCACACATGGGAGATCTTGACCCATGGAGAGATCAAGACTAGCATAGATGCATAGATGGAACACATGAGCAGCGACGAGAAGGGATTATGTGCAATGAGTCTATTTTGGAGCCAACTACAAAAAAAACAAATTACACATAGATGGACAGGACAAAGACCACACGAGAAGCGACGAGAAAGGATTAAGGCATGGACTTGACAACAGGGACAAAGACGACCTACAGAACACTGCATACTCGTTACAAGTCTGCCCACTATAAACCCCATACCCGTTGGAAGTCGGCCCTCGCTTCGTCGAAAGCAGCTGAGTGCATGCGCGCCAAGCCTCTCCGGTAGAGGGCTTTGCTGTGGTTGGGCTGCTCTGTCAACACCTGGGAGCACAAGGAGGGGGGGAGGCGGGGGTGGATGGGGAGCCAAGAGGGGATGCTTGTGAGCCGAATGCATGCGAGCCAATCCTCTCCGGTAGAGGGCTTTGCTGTGGTTGGGCTGCTCTGTCAACACCTGGGAGCACAAGGAGGGGGGGAGGCGGGGGTGGATGGGGAGCCAAGAGGGGATGCTTGTGAGCCGAATGCATGCGAGCCAATCCTCTCCGGTAGAGGGCTTTGCTGTGGTTGGGCTGCTCTGTCAACACCTGGGAGAAGGAGGAGGAGGAAGGGGGGGGAAGGAGGGGTCCGTGAGATCTGAGTGCATGCGAGCCACGGTAGAGGGCCTTGCTGTGGTTGGGCTGCTCTGTCAATACTGGGAGAAAGTGGTGGGGAGGACGGAAGGTCTGGGTCCGGGGAGTAGAGGAGGGGGGCATATGAGCTGAGGAGGCGGTGCATGAAAGTCAATCCACTCTGGTAAAGGGCCTTGCTGCGGTTGGGACCCCCCACCCACCTTGTCCGCCCACCCTATGGCGCGCGCATACTCCCCCATGCCATGCTGACACGCCTTGCACAACCATTGCGTGTAGACACTCCCCCCTGGCCCCCGTGCCCACCACCCCTTCCCCCGGCCGACTTGCCCACTGGCTGCCTTGTCCCCCCTCCCACCTTGTCCGCCCACTCCATGGCGCGCGCATACTCCCCCATGCCATGCTGACACGCCGCCACGTTCAGCTGCAGAGCCACCTGCAGGAGAGGGATGGGTGGTGAGGTGCAGAGAGAGGGAGGGGGGGATGGTATGATTGGGAAAGAGGGATGGCATATGGAATGGTCTGTGACCCATGGTGACACGCCGCCACGTTCAGCTGCAGAGCCACCTGCACGTTCTCCCACTCTCTCCCCCTCTTCAGCACTCCCTCACCCTCTCCCAAGCGGTCCGTGTATTAATGGGCACGCAAGGTACAGCATGGCAGGTTTAGCAGGGCAAAAAGTCAAGCACGAAGATCAGCCAACTCCCACTCTCTCCCCCTCTCTCCCTCTCTCTCACCCTCTCTACCGCTCTCTCCCCCCCTCTCCCACTCTCTCCCCCTCTCTCCCTCTCTCACCCTCTCTACCGCTCTCTCCCCCCCTCTCCCACTCTCTCGCCCTCTCCCCCCACCTGCAATGCGTTGAACGGCTTCGCCTTCTCGCCCTCCTTGGGTTGCACGTGCATCATCCCTCCATCGCCCTCCCTTTGTCCCTCCATCGCCCCCTGTCTGTCTCCCCCCCACGCCATCCCTTCCCCTCCTCACCTGCACTGCGTTGAACTGCTTCGCCTCCTCGCCCTCCTTGGGATGCACGTGCCTCATCTCCCGCAGCAGCTGGAACACAAGCCAGAACGCATGCAAGTGAAATTCTGGACACAACGCCTTCACAGAAAGAAAGAAGCACCCCAGAAAGCACCCCAAAAAGTGGGGATGCCCCTTATCCGACGCCCCTTATCCGACGCCCCTTATCCGACGTCCCTTATCCGACGCCCCTTATCCGACGCCCCTTATCCGACGCCCCTTATCCGACGCCCCTTATCCGACGCCCCTTATCCGACGCCCCTTATCCGACGCCCCTTATCCGACGCCCCTTATCCGACACCCCTCATCCGACGCCCCTTATCCGACACCCCTTATCCGACGCCCCTTATCCGACGCCCCTTATCCGACGCCCCTTATCCGACGCCCCTTATCCGACGCCCCTTATCCGACACCCCTTATCCGACACCCCTCATCCGACGCCCCTTATCCGACGCCCCTTATCCGACGCCCCTTATCCGACACCCCTCATCCGACGCCCCTTATCCGACACCCCTTATCCGACGCCCCTTATCCGACGCCCCTTATCCGACGCCCCTTATCCGACGCCCCTTATCCGACGCCCCTTATCCGACGCCCCTTATCCGACGCCCCTTATCCGACACCCCTTATCCGACGCCCCTTATCCGACGCCCCTTATCCGACACCCCTTATCCGACGCCCCTTATCCGACGCCCCTTATCCGACACCCCTTATCCGACGCCCCTTATCCGACACCCCTCATCCGACGCCCCTTATCCGACGCCCCTTATCCGACGCCCCTTATCCGACGCCCCTTATCCGACGCCCCTTATCCGACGCCCCTTATCCGACGCCCCTTATCCGACGCCCCTTATCCGACGCCCCTTATCCGACGCCCCTTATCCGACGCCCCTTATCCGACGCCCCTTATCCGACGCCCCTTATCCGACGCCCCTTATCCGACGCCCCTTATCCGACGCCCCTTATCCGACGCCCCTTATCCGACACCCCTCATCCGACGCCCCTGATCCGACACCCCTTATCCGACGCCCCTTATCCGACGCCCCTTATCCGACGCCCCTTATCCGACGCCCCTTATCCGACGCCCCTCATCCGACACCCCTCATCCGACGCCCCTTATCCGACGCCCCTTATCCGACGCCCCTCATCCGACACCCCTCATCCGACGCCCCTTATCCGACACCCCTTATCCGACGCCCCTTATCCGACGCCCCTTATCCGACGCCCCTTATCCGACGCCCCTTATCCGACACCCCTTATCCGACGCCCCTTATCCGACGCCCCTTATCCGACACCCCTTATCCGACGCCCCTCATCCGACACCCCTCATCCGACGCCCCTTATCCGACGCCCCTCATCCGACGCCCCTCATCCGACGCCCCTCATCCGACGCCCCTCATCCGACGCCCCTTATCCGACGCCCCTTATCCGACGCCCCTTATCCGACGCCCCTTATCCGACGCCCCTTATCCGACGCCCCTTATCCGACGCCCCTTATCCGACGCCCCTTATCCGACGCCCCTTATCCGACGCCCCTTATCCGACACCCCTTATCCGACGCCCCTTATCCGACGCCCCTTATCCGACGCCCCTTATCCGACGCCCCTTATCCGACGCCCCTTATCCGACGCCCCTTATCCGACGCCCCTCATCCGACGCCCCTCATCCGACGCCCCTCATCCGACGCCCCTCATCCGACGCCCCTCATCCGACGCCCCTCATCCGACGCCCCTTATCCGACGCCCCTTATCCGACGCCCCTTATCCGACGCCCCTTATCCGACGCCCCTTATCCGACGCCCCTTATCCGACGCCCCTTATCCGACGCCCCTTATCCGACGCCCCTTATCCGACGCCCCTTATCCGACGCCCCTTATCCGACCCCCTTATCCGACGCCACCCCCTTATCCGACGCCCCTTATCCGACACCCCTTATCCGACGCCCCTTATCCGACGCCCCTTATCCGACACCCCTTATCCGACGCCCCTCATCCGACGCCCCTCATCCGACGCCCCTTATCCGACACCCCTTATCCGACACCCCTTATCCGACGCCCCTCATCCGACGCCCCTCATCCGACGCCCCTCATCCGACGCCCCTCATCCGACGCCCCTCATCCGACGCCCCTTATCCGACGCCCCTTATCCGACGCCCCTTATCCGACGCCCCTTATCCGACGCCCCTTATCCGACGCCCCTTATCCGACGCCCCTTATCCGACGCCCCTTATCCGACACCCCTTATCCGACGCCCCTTATCCGACGCCCCTTATCCGACGCCCCTTATCCGACGCCCCTTATCCGACACCCCTTATCCGACGCCCCTCATCCGACGCCCCTTATTCGACGCCCCTTATCCGACGCCCCTTATCCGACACCCCTCATCCGACGCCCCTTATCCGACGCCCCTTATCCGACGCCCCTTATCCGACGCCCCTTATCCGACGCCCCTTATCCGACGCCCCTTATCCGACACCCCTTATCCGACGCCCCTTATCCGACGCCCCTTATCCGACGCCCCTTATCCGACGCCCCTCATCCGACACCCCTTATCCGACGCCCCTTATCCGACGCCCCTCATCCGACGCCCCTTATCCGACGCCCCTTATCCGACGCCCCTTATCCGACGCCCCTTATCCGACGCCCCTTATCCGACGCCCCTTATCCGACGCCCCTTATCCGACACCCCTTATCCGACGCCCCTTATCCGACGCCCCTTATCCGACGCCCCTTATCCGACGCCCCTTATCCGACACCCCTCATCCGACGCCCCTTATCCGACGCCCCTTATCCGACGCCCCTCATCCGACGCCCCTTATCCGACGCCCCTTATCCGACGCCCCTTATCCGACGCCCCTTATCCCACACCCCTTATCCGACGCCCCTTATCCGACGCCCCTTATCCGACGCCCCTTATCCGACGCCTCTAATCACACGTTCTAGAGCAAAAGGCACTGAAGAAACCTTTGGGGCAGCCTCTCAACGAATGTAAAAGAATGCTTCGCTTTTCACCCATTCTTACTGCATGATTTTCAATGAAACATTGAGGGGTGCCATCATTACCGTCTCGTTCTTGTTGCACGCCTTACCCGCTCATACTTGCTGCATGCATGAGTGTACTTTTTCTCCTTGTAAAGAGTGTTCCCCTGCCATTGGAAGGGGGTGGAAAGGGGTGGAAAGGGATGAGATGGGCTGGAATGACATGGGATAGGAACGGGGTTGCCAGTGCTAGGATTGATCAGCCCATGAAGCCTGTGGGGCACAGCCACAAAACGAACCCCACGGAGTGCTGGGATGAGAAACGAATCAGCATGGCCACAACGCCGAAGGGAAGAGGGATGGGTTGGGATGGGTTGGGATGGGTTGGGATGGGTTGGGATGAGAGGGATTGAAACGGAATGGTCTGTGCTAGAAAGGGAATGGCATGGGATCGATGGGCCCATAGAGCCTGTGGATGGAGTGTGTGTGGAGAGGAGAGCCTCTGGCACAGCAGCGAGACTAATCCCATGGAGAGGTGCCACCATGCTGGATGGAGAAGCAGCTGAACCGCCCTCAAGTTTACTTTTGAGAATTCTCAAAAACCAACTTACCTCACATGGAGAGGGGCCACAATGCTGGATGGAATAGCAGCTGAACCGCTGTGAAGTTGACCCTAGGCTCCCATGGGCTGGGGGGTCAACCAAAGAACCACCCTAAACTTGACCCTGAACACTCACCAGCTGCCTTGGTGTGGTCGAATTCAGCCAGGATCTCGTCGAATGACACCCCCCCCCTCCCAGCCCTGCCTTTGAGTCGACTCAGAAGTAATGCCGAATGCAGGAGCAGCTGAACCACCCGGAATTTGAGCCTAGAATCCCATGGGTTGGGGTCTTACCAGCTGCTTGGTGTGCTCAATTTCAGCCAGAATCTCTTCAAATGACAACCCCTCCCAGCCCTGCCCTCACCAGGATGGGGGTTTTGATTGGGGAGAGGGAGAGCACGACGAGCATGGAAGGGGGAAGGAGGGAAGAGGAGAAGTCAATTCCAGCCAAGATGACAGCCCGTCCCAGCCCCGCCCTCACGGGAATGGCGGTTTCGACTGGGGAGATGCAAGGGGAACTGGGTTTGGTTGGAAGGGAGAGGGGAAAGAGGAGAGGAGAAGAAGTGGGGAGCGTGAGGGCTGCAGGCAAGTAGGAGCGTGGACGAGGGAGGAGGAGAGAGGCGAAGTAGGCTTCAGCCACGCTTCTCTTGAATGATCATAACCCCTCCCAGTTCAGACTTCATAAAGACCGGAGTTCCTATTCTGCAAGATGGCAGGGGAGGAGGAATAGGAGAAGGAATACGCATATGAGCACAGGAAGCTTACTTGCCCACCTCGTGCGTGTGCGGCATGCATGCACACGCGTTGGGAGTAAGGTACAGACGGGTCAACAGCTTCACCCCCCACTGCACTCTTGTGCCCTCTGGCACCAATGGGAGCCTGCTAGCCCACATTGTGTGTGCAACGTGAGGCATGCACGGGAGAATGGCGAAATCCAGATTCACGTTCAGATGCGCGCACACCTTGGGCCCCTCGAAGCCAACTTGTGAGGGGCCTCAAAAGACGTTCAGATGCGCGCTCGCCTTGGGCACCTCGAAGCCAACTTGCGAGGCGCCTCAAAAGACGTTCAGATGCGCGCTCACCTTGGGCCCCTCGAAGCCGAACAGCTCCACTTCCCACAGCACTCTCGTGCCCTCTGGTGTCAATGGGAGCCCTCTACCCCCCCCTTGTGTGTGCGTGCGTGCGGCATGCACACACATGGACCAGGCTTCAGGCTTCAAGCTTCAGGCACAGGGCATGAGGGGCTCTTCAGCACCGCTCACCTTGGGCACCTCGAAGCCAACTTGTGAGGCGCCTCAAAAGACGTTCAGATGCGCGCTCACCTTGGGCGCCTCGAAGCCAAACAGCTCCACTTCCCACTGCACTCGTGCGCCCTCTGGCACCCCCTCAGGCCTGTGAAGGGAATGATGGAATGGCATGGCATGGGAGGGAGGGATAGCATGCCACGGCACAAGATGGCATGGCATGGCACAGCATGGCACGACATGGCACGGCATGTTACGGCATGGCACGGCATGGCACGGCACCAGAGGCAAGAGAGTCAACTAAGAGTTCCCAACCAACCAGGGGCCTCACACATGCGAAGGCCTCACCTGCGGAAGCATCAAACGCATACTCCACAGTGCTGGACACAAGTGCCACTGCGCTGATGAAGGCCTATTGTTGGCCGAAACGCGTTCGCACGCGACATCCGGGCCTATTGTGTCTGGCGTTCTGACTTGAGAAATCTTTCTCTTACCTTTCTCGCTGTTAGATCTTAGTTCTAGTCTTAGATCTACTCTTAGGAGGCTTGCTGCGGATCGAATCCTATGTTTTCCCATCTGCCACTTCGCCGGGCAGCATGAGGCGAAAGCTGGCTATTCCCAGCTCACACATCCCTACACATGCATGCAGAGGCCTCACCTGGGAAAAGATTCATAGGCATATTGGGCAGTGCTAGAGACAAGAGGCACTTCGCTTGGCAGGAAGCATAAGGCGAATGCTGGCTATTCCCAGATCACACATCCCTAACACATGCATGCAGGTCTCACCTGGGGAAAGAGCCATATGAATGTTGTGCAGTGCTGGGCACGAGCGCATCGCATTCCGAGTCGACCGGAATGCCAACATTCTAGCGCCCTCACCTGGGGAAAGATTCATAGGCATATTGTGCGGTGCTCGACACAAGTGCCACTTCCCCCGGCAGCATGAGGCGAATGCTGGCCTCCAGAGCCTCAGGGAGCTGGGATGGGAGAAGAGAAGAGAGGTGGGGGGGGTGGGGGGAGGAGAGGAACATGCTGAGGCACTGCAGAACAACAGAGGCATCTTTCATTAGCACGAGGCAAAAACTGGGCACCAGGGCTTCTGGGAACTGGGGTGGGAGAGAAGGGGAGAGGGAGGGGGGGTGCAAGAGCGGGCAGGAGGTTAGCTGCTCCTCCCTGCAGCATGAGGAGGAAGCTGGCCTCCAGTCCAGGCCTCTGAGAGCCGCAGAAACAGGGAAGTTGGGAAAGAGAAAAAACAGAAGTTATAAGCTAGTCATTCTCCAAGCTAGTCATTCTCTAAGCTACTTTACTAGGGGGTAGGGATTTTTCCCCGAGTGATTTTTTAGTCGACTCAAAGATTTTCCCCTGGACAGCAAACGGAGCTGGGGCGGGGTTAAAAAGGACGGGCAAGGGAAAACACGTCATGAAGAGACGCTTTTGAGTCGACTCAAAAGAAAACAAGTCAAGGGACGCGCTCTGACCGCCAGAAGCCGGAGTCGGCTCTGACCGCCAGGACTAGACTCTGACCACCAGAAATCGGCTCTGACCACCAGCAACCGGCTCTGACCGCCAGAAGCCGGCTCTGACCACCACAAACCGGCTCTGACCGCCAAGAACTGGCTCTGACCGCCAAGAACCGGCTCTGACCGCCAGAAACTGGCTCTGACTGCCAGAAATTCCTGGCAGTTAGAGCCGGTTTCTGTCGGTCAGAACCGGTTTCTGGCAGTCGGAGCAGGTTTCTGACCGCCAGATTTTGGCTCTGACCACCAGAAATCAGCTCTGATCACCAGCAACCGGCTCTGACTGCCAGAAGCCGGCTCTGACCACCACAAACCGGCTCTGACCGCCAAGAACCGGCTCTGACCGCAAGAAACCGGCTCTGACCGCCAGAAACTGGCTCTAACCACCAGAAATCAGCTCTGACCGCCAGAAATTCCTGGCTGTTAGAGCCGGTTTCTGTCGGTCAGACACGGTTTCTGGCAGTCGGAGCAGGTTTTTGGAGGTCAGAGCCAGTTTCTGGCAGTCAGATCCGGCTGTCAGAGCGAATTTGTGGCGGTCAGTGCCAATTTGTGCCAGCCAGAGCCCGTTTCTGGCAGTCAGAACCAGTTTCTGGCGGTCGGAGCAGGCTTTTGGAGGTCAGAGCCAGTTTCTGGCGGTCAGATCCAGCAGTCAGAGCGAATTTGTGGCGGTCAGAGCCAATTTGTGCCGTTACGAGCTGGTTTCTGGTGGTCAGAGCCAGCTTCTGGCGCCCAGAGCCGGTTTCTGGCGGTCAGACCTGGTTTCTGGCAGTCAGACCTGGTTTCTTGCAGTCAGACCTGGTTTCTGGCAGTCAGACCTGGTTTCTGGCAGTCAGACCTGGTTTCTTGCAGTCAGACCTGGTTTCTGGCGGTCAGACCTGGTTTCTTGCAGTCAGACCTGGTTTCTTGCAGTCAGACCTGGTTTCTTGCAGTCAGACCTGGTTTCTTGCAGTCAGACCTGGTTTCTTGCGGTCAGACCTGGTTTCTGGCTGTCAGAGCCAGTTTCTGGTGGCCATAGCGAATTTCTGGTGCGTAGAGCCGGTTTTTGGCAGTCATAGCCAGTTTCTGGCGGACAGCGCTGGTTTCTGGACGTCAGAGCCGGTGTCTGATGGCCACAGCCAGCTGCTAGCGGTTAGAGCCAGTTTCTGGTGGTCAGAGTTAGTTTTGGTGATCAGAGCCGGCTTCTAGTGGTTAAACCAGTTTTTGGCGGTCTGAGCTGATTTCCGGTGGTCAGAGCCGGTTTTTGGCGGTCTGAACGAATTTCTGGAGTTGAAAGCCAATTTCTGGCGGTCAGAGCATGCCTCTCATTCACCAGCCCAAGTTACGACGCGCCTCAAGAGTCCTCCCTCATTCATCCTCCCTCTCATCCCACTCACTTCTACTCACCCTGCCCTCCCCAGTGCCGACTTGCACTGGTTCCCCCTCCCCCCCTGGTCCTCTTTGCACGTCTCCATGAACTCTCTCCCTCCGTGGTCCGGCAGTGTGCCTCTCAGTCACCCCGCATCCCATCTCACTCAATCCTACTCACCCTGCCCTCCCCAGTGCCAATTTGCAGCGGTTGCCCCTCGCCCTCTTTGCGTGTGTGCATGAACTCCCTCCCCCCCTGGTCTGGCAATGTGCCTCTCAGTCACCCCGCATCTCATCCCATCACTCCTGCTCACCCTGCCCTCCCCAGTGCCGACTTGCAGCGGTTGCCCCTCGCCCTCGCCCTCTTTGCGTGTGTCCATAAACTCTCTCCCCCCCTGGTCCGGCAGAGTGCCCCGCACGTGGATGTGCACCACACTGTCCTGCAGCGGGCAGTCGATGGGGAAGTCGCCTGTGGTGGAAGCACGGGGCGAAGGACACGGAACAGGGAGAGGGACGAACGGGGGATTGTGAACTCCCTACCCCCACTGGTCCGGCAGTGTGCCCCGCGCATGAATGTGAACCGAACTGTCTTGCAGCGGGCAGTTGATGGGGAAGTCGCCCTGTGAGGGTTACAGGCACAGAGGAAAGGAAGGAGCGGAAATGCTTTGCTAGGATGACGCATGTCAGACACCAGCTGAGTAGATGGGAATCTGTCTGTCCTTGTCAGGTGCTTCAAACCATGCACCTTACACCCTAAACCCTCAATCATGTGCCTCAAAGCATACACCCTACACTCTAAACCCCCAAATTCTGTGCCTCAATGATACACCCTAAACCCAAAAGCCCTAGATCCTGTGCCTCAAAGCATACACCCTAAACCCCCAGACCCTAAAACCTGCACCTCAAAGCATATATCCTACACCCTAAAACCCCAAATCCTGTGCCTCAACGCATGCACCCTAAACCCTAAAGCCCTGAATCCAGCGCCTCAAAGTACAGCCTAAACCCTAGAACCCTGAATCCTGCGCCTAAAAGCACATATCCTATGCACTACCAACCTTCAATGGTCATCAATCTCTCACCTGTCCCGTCTTGCAGCCGTCGCTTGATGACGCATCCGTTCCCCAGCACGTCCCGCACCTGCATGCATACATGCATGCATACGTGACGTGCAGAGACGTGCACACGAGTATGCAGACATGTGCACGCATGTACACAAAATTATGCGGGCATGTGCACACATGCACACACAAGTATCCGAACATGCGCGCTCACGAATGTACACACATATGCATTTACCTTAACAGTCAGCCCCACACGGCTTCACATTGCGCATCCACCACCCCATGATGCTGTGAGGTGTGCTGCACGCATGCATGCATGCATCTGCCATGCATAAGTCACCCACAAACATCCCTCAAGCGCACCTCTATCATCACACAACCCCATCACCTACCACCTCCAGATGGGACTTTACACCACATCCACCAACCACCCCGATCCTGGTGGCGAGTCTATTTTTGAGGCGCCTGAAAAATAGGCCACCCACACATATCCCTCAAGCTCACCTCTATCATCACAACCCCATCACCTCCCAGCTCCGGATGGGACTCCACTCCACACCACATCCACCAACCACCCCAGTCCTGGTGGCGCTGCGCTGGTACCATGACAACCGCCCAAGCCCACGCGGCATTCTCATTTGCTCTGGCGATTTCGCACAGATTTTGCACACACTGTACCCGTGTCCTTGTCCTTGCCCTTGTCCTCGTCCTCGTCCTCCCTTGACCTTGACTCACCTGAATGGTCTTCACCAGCTTCGCATGGTACTTCACTGTCCACATCCACTACCCTTGAAGCTCCAGCACATGCTTCCCACATCCGCTGTTTGCCACGTGCACATATGCACGATATGCTTTTTCACCCTCTCACCTGGATGATCTTCGTCACCAGCTCCACATGGTATTCCACATCCGCCACCCCTTCTGGTGGCGCTGGGCACAGCAACAACCGCCAAGCCACACATCATTCCCATTTACCCTGGTAACTTCACCCACTCACCTGGATGATCTTCACCAGCTCCACATGGTATTCCACATCCGCCACCCCTTGAAGCTTCACCGCATGCTGTATCACTATGCAATATGTTAATCAAACAGCTCTCAACTCACCTGGGTGATCTTCACCAGCTCCACATGGTATTCCACATCCGCCACCCCTTGAAGCTTCACCGCATGCTGTATCACTATGCAATATGTTAATCAAACAGCTCTCTCAACTCACCTGGGTGATCTTCACCAGCTCCACATGGTATTCCACATCCGCCACCCCTTGAAGCTTCACCGCATGCTGTATCACTATGCAATATGTTAATCAAACAGCTCTCTCAACTCACCTGGGTGATCTTCACCAGCTCCACATGGTATTCCACATCCACCACCCCTTCTGGCGGTGCTGGCACCGTAACAACCGGCACAGCCAACCCCACCCTCCCAGCCTCTGCAGTCCCAGCCTCAGGCTTGGTAACCGCAGGCTCAGGCTCGGTAGTATCCAGAGCAGGTGCGGTGGCCATAGGTGCGGGAGGAAGGGGAGCGTCGGGGGAAGGAGGGATGGTGTGGGGGGAGGAGGCAAAGACGACTGCCTTTTCCCCTGCTAGCATGTGAGAGAGCGCCAGATCCAGGGCTGGGGGGAGCTGGGGGAGAAGGAAAGAGGGGAGGAGGAATGCAGGGAGGAGCAGAGTAAAAGCGCGGAGCAGAATCACCCTACAACATCACCCCCCCATCTCCCCCCCCCCCCCCAACATTACTCATCCCCCTTCCCCTCCCCTCTTCCTCTATTACCCAAGCTGTGCCAAGGGCGAGATGCAGGGGAGGAGAAGAACCCCTGCCAGCAGAAAGAGTAGGTCACCCGACCCACCCCAACCCCCAACCCCCCATTCCCCCACCCCAATCTCCTTCTTTCCTTCCTTTCCTGTCATCCATGAGCTGTGCTAAGGGCATGGCGGAGGTGAGTTTTGAGTCGACTCAAAAGTCACCCGAGACACGCCGGGGTTCCCCCCTTTTTCTTCCCCACCCAAACCCAACCCCTTCTTTCCTTCCTTTCCTGTCTTGTCTTCCCCGAGCTGTGCCATGCCAAGGGCGAGGTGGAGGCAGGGGAAGTAGCCCGTGCCAGCAGAAAGAGCAGGACACCCGACACACCCCCCTCCCCTCCGACATTCCCCTTCTCCCTTCTCCCATCCCTCCCCCCTTCCCCCTTTCTGGTGGCGAGGGCGACGTGGACGGGACGGGAGCAGATGAGCCCATGCCAGCACCACAGAATGGCGTGGGGGAGCCAAGGGGGCGATCCCCCTTCCCCCCCCCCTCCTTCCCCTCCAGCCTTCCACTTCCCCCGTCCCTTCCCCCGTCCCTTCCCCCGTCCCTTCCCCCGTCCCTTCCCCCGTCCCTTCCCCCGTCCCTTCCCCCGTCCCTTCCCCCGTCCCTTCCTTCCCCCGTCCCTTCCCCCGTTCCCCCTCTCTCACCCGAGCTGCGCCAAGCGCGAGGTGGAGGGGAGGGGAGGAGCCTGTGCCCGCAGCATAGAATGGCGTTGAGGAGCCAAGGGGACGAGCTTCTAGCCTGCGGATCCAGGTAATAGGTGTGAATAGGGGACCCGCAGCTTCAATGCGAATGCGAATGCGGGTCCAGGTAATAGGTGTGAATGCGAATGCGCATGCAAAGGCACATGCAATAGACACGCAACGCAACAGACACGCACGCCATCCAGCACATCGATGCAGGGAGGTGAGGAGGCATGTGCATACAAAACGGACAACCAGACACCTTGTACATGCAGCAGATGGAGTTGGAATGTGTGACGCACGCACGGCGATAAAAGAAAAAGGAACAAGCGGTGTGAGCTGTGTGTGGGAACTTTTGAGTCGACAAAAAAAGGAACAAGCGGTGGGAGCTGTGTGAGGGAATAGCTGACGTGCCGTTTTGCAGCACCTGTCACGTACATTCCCCACCAGCAAGATTCGCATGGTGGTGAAAGGGCATCTTTTAGAGCCCGATACGCGCTAATGTTCCGCTAAAAAACAACGTGCTGATTTACCGCACCGGACACAAATGTTCCCCACAAACAAAATGAGCACTGTGGTAAAGAAGCCAAGGACCTACCGAATCTTGACCTCATAAGGCGGCCTTGGCTGCTCCCACCCTCGTCCCTCTTCAATGGTCTGACATGATAACAAGTGAAGGGGTGCAGGTGAGAAAGCCTGACAGGCTGACGAATGGCAGGAGAAGACTAGCAAACGGAAGACTTTTTTTTAGGCGCCTCAAAAATAGGCAGGATGAGGAAAGGCAGGAGACAACTAGCAGCAGACGGAAGATTCCGCATACCCACACACATCCTCCCTCTCTGCTCCTTCTTCCCCTCCTCCCCCGTGCCGTCAGCAGCAGAATCCTCCTTCTCTCGCTTCCCCACCAGCACCCTCACAGCCGCCGCAGATAACACCTCCACCTCCAGCCTCCTTACATCTGGTCACTTACACGTGCCTCGTTTTCACGCACTCAGAATCCCACACACCTCGATTCACGCACCCACCTGCTTCGTAATGAAACACTCGTCCTCCGCATACCCGCACACATCCTCCGCCTCTGCTCCCGACTCCTTCTTCCCCTCCTCCCCTGTGCCGTCAGCAGCAGGCTCCTCCTTCTCTCGCTTCCCTGCCAGCACCCTCACAGCCGCCGCAGATACCACCTCCACCTCCAGCTGCAGCTCCTCGCCTGCAGGCACGCCTGGGGGAGGCTTTACTGGGCAGGCGGGGTCGCCGTAGTGGGCTGACGGTTCCACCTTGAACTGCGGAGCAGAGGCCAAGGGAAGTTGAAGGGGACGGAGAAAGAGGGGGGGGGGGGGGGGGGGGGGGGTTGGAGAGCAGGAGGAGTGGAGAGGAAGTGGAAGTTGCAGCAGCGGGGTGGGGGAAGGGGATGGAGGAGCGATGTTAACGAGTCGTACGCCTGCTACTGCAAGTGATTGCATGAAACCGTCCCCGCAATCAGAGGGGTGCCCGTTACAATCAGAGGGGTGCCCGTTACAATCAGAGGGGTGCCCGTTACAATCAGAGGGGTGCCCGTTACAATCAGAGGGGTGCCCGTTACAATCAGAGGGGTGCCCGTTACAATCAGAGGGGTGCCCGTTACAATCAGAGGGGTGCCCGTTACAATCAGAGGGGTGCCCGTTACAATCAGAGGGGTGCCCGTTACAATCAGAGGGGTGCCCGTTACAATCAGAGGGGTGCCCGTTACAATCAGAGGGGTGCCCGTTACAATCAGAGGGATGCCCGCCGCCCAGGCCCAGGGTGCATCAGTTCGTGATGGCAACACAAATGGCCGGAGCGTGACATTGTAACGTGGTAATTTCTGATCGACTCAAAAACCGTCCCCGCAATCAGAGGGGGTCCAGCCCCACAGTCAGAGGGGGTCCAGCCCCGCAATCAGAGGGGGTCCAGCCCCGCAATCAGAGGGGGTCCAGCCCCGCAATCAGAGGGGGTCCAGCCCCGCAATCAGAGGGGGTCCAGCCCCGCAATCAGAGGGGGTCCAGCCCCGCAATCAGAGGGGGTCCAGCCCCGCAATCAGAGGGGGTCCAGCCCCGGGTGCATCAGTTGGTAGGATGGACTGCCGGAGTGCGGATGCACCGCGGTCATTCCCTGCCAAGCCGTTGATGCTGCCATGCTACCATGCTACCATGCTACCATGCTACCATGCTGCCACAGTAGCATGCACAAGTCCCTATCTTATGTTACCCTGGACTGAAGTACTGAGTGGCAGTGAACGGGGATGCGAGAATTTCACCATTCCCACCCACCCCGGCCTCGTCCCCTCCCTCACATTTGCTCTTACCACGGCCACCTCTCATGATCGCTCACCACGGCCACCTCTCATGATCGCTCTTACCATTGCCACCTCGCCCTCTCGCATGGTGCACAGCCCGTGCTCCACTGCTGCCACCAGCCGACTCTCCCCCACCACCACTCGACGTGGCCTGCCCGGCCCTGGTCAGTCATGCATCAATGAGGATAAGTAGGCACATTTGGGCATATTTGGGCCTAGTGGGGAATGAATGGGCATTAGTGGGCACAATTGGGCATAATGGGGCATAAATGGGCGTCAGTGGGCATAATTGGACATTATTAAGCATAATTGGACATTATTAAGCATAATTGGACATTATTAAGCATAAGTGGACATTATTGGGCATAACAGGACATGAATGGGCACAAACAGGCACGACTGGGCCAAACCCTAACACAGCACGCCGCGCCTCCATGTTCGGCCCAGGTGGAGTCACATATGACAACAAAGCAATCTATGCATCCATCCCTACCTCCACCTTACCTCCATGTTCGGCTCGGGTGGAGTCACATATGTGGCCTGAGGCTGTGCGCGTGGTGCAGTGAAAAACCACCTGTAGGCGGAGAGGGCAAGACGGGTTGGGGGGGTGGGGGTGGGGGGTGGGGATGAGGATATGGATGGAGGGTGTCTGGAGCAGGAAGATTCAGTGGCGGCATGAAGGGCGTGCGAGTGTTGCAGTGAAGAACCAATTGATGGGAAACAACGGGTGGGTGGGTGAGAGTAGTGAGGGTAATCAACGGGTGGGTGAGAGTAGTGAGGGTAATCAACCAGGAGGATGCAAAGGGCTGATGATGAGGGTGATTGATATTTGACAGGCGTGAAAGCTACTCTTCCGTTCTTCCCCCGCAGGAGATACAGATCGTTCGCGAATCACCCCACCAGCAACATTAGTTCTTCGCGAATCACTTCTCAATGTTACCTGGTGTCCTTCCTCTACAGGTATTCCTGATCCTTCGCGAAACACCGCCTTCGGCACTCCCTCCAGCCGATTCGTGACATTACCGGATGTTCCATCGTGTAATTCCCCCCCACCAGCAATACTAGTTCTTCGCGAATCACTTCGCAATGTTACCCGGTGTCCTTCCTCTACAAGAATTCCAGATCCTTCGCGAATCACCGCGTTCATCATGCCCTCCAGCAGCTTATTCACCTTACCTGATGCTACATCGCGTACTTCCCCCACACCGCCAATAGCGATTCTTCGCGAACCACTTGTCATGGTTACCTGGTGTCCTTCCTCCACCAAAACTCCCGACCCTTCACGAACCACCGCTTTCATCACTCCCTCCAGCTGCTTAGTCACTTTCTTCTTCCCGCCTTTCTTCGTCGCGCCGCTCTTTCCCCTCAAGCCACTTCGGCCTCCATCCATCGCCGTTCTAACGGTCGGATTATCGTCTGACTTAGTCAAACGGTTTCTCTTCGGACGTCGCGACCAGTCAAAAATAGCGTCAGCCAGTACGAATTAGCGTCAAATTCAGCAGTCTTAGCGACTCAATCCTAACCCTGCGCATATCCTTCGGCCGACAAGGCTGAGACGAGAGGCTCGACAATAATAGGCCCTCACAGTCACACGTAACTTTCTAGAAACTGATCGCATCGGCCAAGTTCGCCGTGCTGTAAAGAGGACATGTATGCCTCTGTGCTTTGTGCCTCCAGATTTGACAGGGTGACGGCAGCCAATAGAGGAGCAACCGGAGCGCGGGAAAATGGAAGCGAAGTGAAGGCTGACAGAAGTCGACGTCTCGGGAGTTCGAGAATTGGGAACAGAACGGAGAAGCCACCCTTTATCAGTCTGCTGACGTCAGAGAGACGAAAACCTTCTGCACAATCATCCCCTCTAACAGCTGGTTCGGCCTCAAACGGATACAAGGCGACGCATCTCTTTCTCCAATCTATCACAGGGCCAAAAGACAACATGAAAATTATGCCTTGATGTAAGCTTTACACGTCCTCTTACATTAAAGGGGCCATGCATGGCTAACAAAAAGCTAGGCAGAGCCAACTGGGTGATACTGGTGACAGGGCAGGGCTGCTTGCTGGGTTGGCCAAATGCCGTCACATCACTAACACCCTGCTTTGGCATCATGATTCATGCTTCCATCCACCAGACCAAAGCATCACAACTGGTATCCCAACGAGCCGGGCTTAGTAGAAGAAGCCGAGCACCTTGCCTCCCACGTTCTTCCGCCTGGCCTCGTCGTGGTCCATGATGCCGCTGGATGTGGTCAACACAATGTAACCAAACTGGTAACACAGGGGAAAAACAAAGGAGTCACAGGTGCATAAAAAACTTGACACAATGGCATCAGAAAGACGGAGACAAAACCCAACCACCCACCAGAGCATACCGCCATCCAGAGCCCCATGAGTCATAACCGCCTGATTCTCAGCCCCCACCCTGCACTCTAGAGTCAGCAATACTTGCCCATCAGTTCACCTAATGTCTACCTTCCCCTCCAGACTCTCTCTTATCCCACTAGAAACGTTCACTTCTCGATGAGACACGTTCACCCAATACTGACATGGATATCGTAGCAAAGGGGTATCTCGCCGCGCATGTTCAAAACCCCCTCCCACCAATGTTACACAGCCCACCTGCCGTTACACTGCCTACCTGCCATTACACTGCCTAGTTTCACTCCTACCTATCGTTGCACTACATACCTGACGCGACGGCAGCAGGCGCTCGGTCCAGTTCTCGATATCACCGACCGCGATATCGTAGCGAGGGCTGATCACGCCGCACTTGTTCAGCCGCCCGTTCAGCTCCACGACAATCTTGCCCGCCCGCCTGTCGTCCACCAGCTCGAACTCGCCGATGTAACCTGGTAACCAGCAGTCAGAGTAAGTACAGATGCGGTAAGACACTACAGTATGAGGTAACGGGCGACTAATGGGGAAATGGGAGTACAAGGCAAGAAAGAGGGCGTGAAGGGAAGTGGAGCAGGTGTATGGGGACGAGAGGGTTATCGATGAATATAAGTCGACTCAAGGGTCACTGCAAGAGCGGGCTCAAGGGCCCACTTTGACCCATCGCCTCGCCAGAATCATCGAATGATCGCCATGATCGAGGCACCTGGAGCATCGATCCCAGCGCGTGAAGGCGGGAAACAGGGTCGGACAGGACGCCTACAAACGATGGTCTAGCGAAGCTGGCCTGATCGAAGCTCGCCTGAAGGTGGCCTCTAGAGCGGGCAGTCCAGGAAAGACACTACACCAAGATCGTGCCGTCAACCCCAGATGGCTGTGCGACGTCCTGATAGACTCTGTGCGACGGGTTACAAAACAGAGCGAAGCGCTGGGCAATGGTTGGCGCGAAACAAAGCTCTCCGTTCTGACAAGGAACGACAGCGCCACCAGGTTTCGTCAAACCCTGAGCTCCCTGCCTTGGATAGACTGTTCTCGTCAAACCCGACTCTGTTCCGTCACTGTGTAAGCTAAGAGCCTTGAAGGACTAGCGGCGACGATCAAGACGTCGGAGTGACTGCCTATAGCTCGTATTCCGTCGGACGACCGTCCCGCTTGAGCAGAAATCGTTACTGTACAGGTGGAAGCGGAAATGGTTTAGAGGATTATAGTGTAGAGTGTCGAGACCTTGAGAGCAGGAAACGAGGTGTCAGGATCATGGTACAAAAAGATTAGACGGCGCATAAAGACGACAATCTCGGCGCGTCGCACGCACGCACGCACCGTGTCGCTGCATGACGGTGAGGAGCTTGATGATGACATTGGAGCTTCGGAGGGTAGCGTTTTGGGGATGCAGGGAAGGAAGAACCATCTAGATCCATGATTCTAACCAAACAAATCGAGCACCGTGACTCAGCGTGTCGCTGCATGACGGTGAGGAACTTGATGATGACCTTGGAGCTTCGGAGGGCTGCGTTTTCGGGATGCACGAATGAAAATCATAGAAGAACAATACGAGAGCACTACAGCGCACGCACCGTGTCGCTGCATGACGGTGAGGAACTTGATGATGACCTTGGAGCTCGGCCGGATGAGCACCTGCCGCTTCCCGCGCTTCTCCGCGTTGTACATGCTCTTGAGCGCGTCATTGAGAACGCTGATTCTAACCATCGTGACTGGCTGATAGCTCCTTGTCTAAGCAAGGCGGGGAGGCAGGCGCTGCGCAAACGCGGCTCCTGTGGACGAGAAAGGAGAGCAGGAAAGAGAGAGATTGTGAGGCGAGGAGGAAATATGAATTAGGGTTTGGGCGGATGGGAGGGAGAGGAGGGGAGAGGAGAGGAGGAGGGGGGGGGGGGGGGGGATTGGGGGCCGCGGTGTTCGTGGGGCTGCCTGAAATCTGCGCAAGCGAGAGGAGAAACCACACTGCAAGATCGGACGGCTGGTTGCTCAACCACAACGGATCCAGTCCGTCGAATATGACATACCATTACTCAAATTAAACTGTACAGAAGAAATGCTAAACGAGAACTACTACTGAATCACAAGTCAATGTTAAGGATTTTAAGAATACCTAATCACAAGCTCAATTAAGCTTTCAGCATGTGGTGTGGATTACTGCTTCCAAGCTACAAGCTCCACGTCCGCTACAATCCCCACTAGAACAGCTTCCTATGATATTTGCCTCATCCTACATGGTACCCAGCTACGTATTTCTGAAATAAATAAAGAGTAGGCGCTTCGTTCAGGAACTAAGCATGCTCATCAGCATCAGCATCAGCATCAGCATATTGAGACCCCACCCAACCAACAAAGGCATTCAGGAACTCCACAAATGTGCACACACCGTTGGAATCCCGGTCCATTTCCTCTGCGAAAAGACGGGGCACGAACACATACGCAAACAGCTCAGGTTAACATCACAGCAGAAAAACGCTGTGCAAGAAACACATATATAGCAGCAGAGCAGTAGAAACGAAAAGAATGTGGCAAGAACGCACCCATGCGCATAGAGATGTTGCGGAGAAGCGTGCCCTCTTTAAGCGAGTTGCGACTGCTGAATCCCTTTTCTATCTCCACCCGCGTGAGCTGCCCGTCGTGGTCCTCGTCAAAGTATATAAAAGCGTCCACTATTATTTGAAAGGCAGAGTTGATGTCGCCAGTGCCAAGGCGCGACTTCTGCTTCACAGAGAGGGGGGGGGTTGGTGGGGAAGGGTGGGAGGTTTCGTTTTTGAGACGTCTCAAAATGTTGGCAGTACCAAGGCGCGACTTCTGTCGCACGGAGAGGGGGAGATTGGTGAGAAGGGTGGGAGAGGTTTGGCACAGCATGATGAAAGAGCTATGTGTTTCCCAGCTAGCAACACACAATGTGGTGCGGGTCGTCTGTTGGAGAATGGTGCTCGGAACGACGATGAGTAGGGCCGTTGATCGCAGGCTACGGAAGCTACTGGACACAGCACACATGCACACATGCACACGTGCACACATGCACACATGCATGCAGTAGAATCGCACCCCTCTCTCCCCATCCACCGTCCCATGCCTGCCTTTTCTGTATCAGCTGATTCGAGCAGCAAGACAACTCCAAGAAAACATTAAACCACACAAGTCTGGACACGTCCTCAGTCACGGTGTCATACCCTTTTACCACGGTGTCATACCCTTTTACCATGGTGTCATACCCTTTTACCACAGTGTCATACCCTTTTACCACGGTGTCATACCCTTTTACCACGGTGTCATACCCTTTTACCACGGTGTCATACCCTTCTACCATGGTGTCATACCCTTTTACCACGGTGTCATACCCTTTTACCACGGTGTCATACCCTTTTACCACAGTGTCATACGCTTTTACCACGGTGTCATACCCTTTTACCACGGTGTCATACGCTTTTACCACGGTGTCATACCCTTTTACCACGGTGTCATACCCTTTTACCACGGTGTCATACCCTTTTACCCCAATCCACCCGCCCCCCCCCTTCCCCCCCTCTTTCCCCCCCCCCCCCAACCCCCCCGACACACACACCTGCTCGCTGTCAGCTGACTCGAGCAGGAAGACAATCCCGAGGCAGAGCACAAAGGCATTGAAGCACACGAGGGTGGGCTCCTCTGTAACAGTCTCTGACCCTTCGCCATACGAGGGGTCAAACTCCGCCTGCTCAAATATGGCCTTCAGCTCCCCTTCGCTCACTGTCACCTGCCATTGACAGTAAATGGGAATAAAACGCAAAATATGCAATATTGGACTCCCCTTCTTTCGCTGATGTCCTGTCATTCTCAACCTGCCAGGGTTATACACAGGATCAGAAAACTAAGCAGGGCAGGGAGAAGGCGACCGAACGGCTTCATACGGAAGAAGACAAGGAAGTGCAACAGACTGTCTGATTCTCTACGTTCCGTGTACAATGGAGGTCAATTCTGACGAGTCTGACGGTTCTGCTGGTTCTGACGGTTCAGCTGGTTCAGCTGGTTCTGACGGTTCAGCTGGTTCTGCTGGTTCTGACGGTTCAGCTGGTTCTGCTGGTTCTGCTGGTTCTGACGGCTCTGCTGGTTCTGACGGCTCTGCTGGTTCTGCCTGAATTGAACGTACCTGCAGCTGGCCGAGCGCTGCCTTCAGCTCGTCCATGGTCATCCCTTCTCTGCCCTCGGGCACTGGAACACGCAAGACAGTGAGACAGAGAGGACGGGAGGTGAATAAGCAGTCCCACCGAGCATTTGGAGCGACCAGAGAGGCGAAATAGGGTTAAGAGCAGATAAAACGTGCACATGTGCTGTTGGGCTGTTAAATGCGATTAAGATACAACTACAATAAGCACCAGATTAAACCGAAGAAGTTTGACGCTTGCCGAGCTTGTCGTACACCTCTTGAAGGAGCTCCAGCCCACCGTTGATCCGCGGGAACTTAAGCACTAAGGCGTCGAAGCCGTTGGATGCATCCAATCCAAGGCAGACTGCTTGCGCCTGACGTTTACCGAACTTGTCGTACACCTCTCGAAGGAGCTCCAATCCGGCATTAATTCTCGGGAACTTGAAGCGTCGAAGGCATCGACGTTCTTCGGGACTTTCATCACCGACTTGTGTCTCGCCGCTGGAGCATCAAGGACAGACTGTCTACTCCTGGCGCTTACCGAACTTGTCGTACACCTCTCGGAGCAGCTCCAATCCGGCGTTGATCCGCGGGAACTTGAGCACGAAGGCGTCGAAGTTCTTCGGGACTTTCTTCACCGACTTATGTCTCGCCGCGAGGGCGTCCGTCATCCGCTTCTCCAGCAGCGCCGTCGATCGCGCCGAGCTCGACATGCTGATGTGGCGTTATGTCGCGGACAGGTTACGTGTACGTCACGTGGATGCCTTGTAAAGCGTATGTGTCGGAGAGATCTCGCTGAAAGGAAAATAAGGGGGTGTCGTTTGCGAGACTAATGTGTAATTTCCCGGAGGCGAGCGCTTGTAGCGCGTACAGGAAAAAAAATAATTAGAGACGGATGACAGCGAGATTGCCGTTCTAAGAGGTGGGAAACCAGACCAGCCAGCCAGCAGGTCAGCCGTGTCGTGGTCAGTGAAGGCCTCGTCGCTAATATTAGGCCTTGCTGATTCCCGTACAAAGCAATGCACTACCCGAGACCTGCGCTGCTGTCACCCAGCGGGATGCAGGGCTCGTCCGCGCTGCACGCCGCTACAGCCTTATTGGATGGCTGTGGGGGGTGAAGCTCCTAGAGGCCGTTCGAGTTTCTAGGCTGCTGCTGGTTTCCCGCTCTGGCTGGTGGTGAGGTGATGGGATCATGGGATAGTGGGATGATAGCGCAGGAGCTTTGGGATGTGTGCAGCCATTTCGAACCGGTTCGGAAGTTCCAAGTTACTATCGTCGCGAATGTCGTGAACCTGTCGTGAATTCAGAAACGGCTGTATTCGCGAAACGGGTCCAGACTTTCGTCCGGACATATGTTTTCGTACAGAACGGCTGCACCACCCCCTGAACTGGCAACAGCACCCATTCCTCCATGCTCGTTACTGCAATCTCGTTTTCCGGCAGCTCAAGCGAAATGTGAAGCAAAAGTTACAGCGACCTAAATAGATACGCTTCATAAAGAAGGCTTTCGTTCACATTCCATTCAAAATCGGGAAAGTCAGAAATCCAAACACGTGAAAGAATTCGTCATGCATTTTGCCCAATCCGCCAGTCTCCAGTCGCAAAACTGTAATGCAATGGCGGTTTCCTCTCGCTCTCTTGATTACCACTGATGGCGAATGATACATAGTGTAGTCAACAGACAAAAATAAGCGAGCAATCGTCACGATGGCCAGATTCTCTCACTCACTCCAAAGCCGCCGATTCGGACGATTCAGTGGCAGCCAAATCGACGCAATCCTCCTCCTGCTGGGTGTCTCTCTCTACCTCGTAAGCGCGCCGAGTGCAGCAGGCGGCTACGAGCACGCGAACGTGAAGCACAAGCTGCTGAGAGGCTCACAAGCGTTGCGAGGAGCGCGGGTTGAGTGGCAGCCGGACCCGTCCAGGGTCGTGCAGATCTCAACCCAGCCACGGTAGGTCCCCCTGAGCTGACAAGGGGAGCGCGCGTGTACCGCTTCCTTTTTCACGCCTTGTTGTCGTTGCCGTTGCTGTTGCCGTTGGTGGTGTCATAGTAGCGTTTTGAGACATCTCAAAACACGACTTACTGTTTTGTCCTCTTTCTCGCCTCACCACCAATTCCTCCCTCCCATTCTTCCCTCTCATCCCTAACACTGGCAGCGCTTTCGTGTACCATGGGTTCCTCTCAGATGCGGAGTGCGACCACCTCATCGCACTCGTGAGTACTCTCTCGCTCTCCCTCTCCCGTCCTCTCTCTCTCCCTCTCTTACTGACTCGCTCTTTCCCACGCAGACACACACGCGCGCGCACACACACACATGCGCACACTCACATGCGCACACATATGTGCAGTTTTTATCAACACCTCGTTCCTAGGAACTGTCTTCCTCTCCCCATTTCCCCTGTACTGTACCCTGTGAATCCACTCTTGCTAGTGCTTACTTCATCCCTCTGTGCTCGCATCTCTGGTACAACTCCATCGCCCTCCCTTGCTCTTCCCGCCTTCCTCTCCGCATCTCTCTCAGTCCGAGCCCAAGCTGTTTCGCCCAGGCACGCAAGCCAATGCCACTTTCCTGAGGAAGTTCCAGGTGAGTGAATTCCACACGAATTATGAGGCACCTCGGAAGTACCCGGTGAATTCCATACAAATGACAAAAATTAGTGCCTTAAAAAAAAATGTAGGACTTTGTTGAGAAAAAAGGAGCTCCAGTGTCTGAGTGAGTTAGTTTTCCACGGCCTGCCGGCCATCATCCCCATCCATCCCCACCCCCACCATACCCATCCCTACTTGCACCATGCCCATCTCAAACACTTTTCGGGAATTCATGGAAGTTGAATCACTGTTCCCACCATCCCCACCATCACCATCCCCACCATCACCATCCCCACCCCACCATCACCATCCCCATCCCCATCCCCATCCCCATCCCCATCCCCATCCCCATCCCCATCCCCATCCCCATCCCCATCCCCATCCCCATCCCCATCCCCATCCCCATCCCCATCCCCATCTCCATCCCCATCCCCATCCCCATCACCATCCCCATCCCCATCCCCATCCCCATCCCCATCCCCATCCCCATCCCCATCCCCATCCCCATCCCCATCCCCATCCCCATCTCCATCCCCATCCCCATCCCCATCCCCATCACCATCCCCATCCCCATCCCCATCCCCATCCCCATCTCCATCCCCATCCCCATCCCCATCCCCATCACCATCCCCATCCCCATCCCCATCCCCATCCCCATCCCCATCCCCATCCCCATCCCCATCCCCATCCCCATCCCCATCCCCATCCCCATCCCCATCACCATCCCCATCCCCATCCCCATCCCCATCCCCATCCCCATCCCCATCCCCATCCCCATCCCATCCCATCTCCATCAGGACGTAGACGTGAGGGCGATTGAGGACCGCATCTCAGCCTGGCTCTTCCTCCCCCGCAGTAAGCCAACATAGCTGTGTTGGCTTGCCGCTCTTTTGGTACCTCTTATGCTCTTCTCTGACTTTTGAGGCGCCTCAAAACTCTTCCTCCCCCGCAGAAAGCCAACATTGCTGTAGCTCTTTTGGTACCTTTTACGCTCTTCTGTGACAGTGAGCCCTCGGTCCGCGCAGTTGGTACCGTACATGCTCTTTTCTGAGAGTGAGAGCTCACCCTCCCCCTGATATAAGGTTGGTTTTGAGACGTCTCAAACCAACCTTATATCACAGTGAGCCCTCAGTCCGCGCAGTTGGTACTGTACATGCTCTTCTCTGACAGTGTGCTCTTTTCTGAGAGTGAGAGCTCACCCTCCCCCTGTTCGGACATTATTCCAGTGAGCAGCGGTGTTTGAGAGCAAGTTCAGCTAGTAGGGAAGACATTGTTTAACTAAGCGCTAGCTCGTAACAGAGATTTGTAAAGAATCAGTGCCCACCCTCTCACTCTCTCCCTCCGCTTATTTCTCAAAGCCTGGGCCAGCCGTTTGACGTGCCCTATGACTTTCCTCCCTCTTCGAAGTGCACAAGGAGCCATTGCTCCTCCTCCTTATGACCACTTCCAGCACAATCAGGAGGACAAGCAGGCATTTCCCTCCCCCGCCCCCCTCGTCCTCTCTTCTCTTTGCTGTTATTTCAGAGCCAACGGACCCCCAGCTAATGAGGTACAAGGCGGGTGAGCCGTGCGACGTGCACTATGCCTGCTTCCAACATGACAGGCCGTCACTGATCCTCCGTCCTCTCTTCTCTTCACTGTTTTTTCAGAGCCAACGGACCCCCAGCTAATGAGGTATAATACGGGTCAGCAGTTCGACGTGCACTATGACTATTTCCAGCACAAGGAGGACAGGCAGGTGCTGCACCGGGCGGCAACCCTCGTCCTGTTCCTGTCTGATGTGGAGTGGGGCGGCGAAGTCACCTTCCCCAATGGCAAGGTCTGTACGCACCTGCTGACTCCCCTCCCATGTCCCCACCCCACCCCACCCCACCCCACCCCACCCCACCCCTTTCCGAGCCTTTCCCTTCTCCCTTCTATCCCTCCAACCCACCCCATTCCCTCGTCCTTCCTCTAAACCACTGTCACTAGCCGTTTTCTTGCCTTGCCTTAGTCTTGAATTTTTCCTCTTGCTCGCCCTCTTGCTCGCCCTCTTGCGTTCTTCTCCCTTGCTCCTTTCCACGAGGCGGCTGTCGCTACAACAGTCTCTCTGCACATTGCACAAACTTTCAGGCGTGTCATAGGAGACGACTCTTGAGGCGCCTCAGAAGTCCCTCTTGCGCTCTTCTCCCTTGCTCCTTTCCACGAGGCGGCTGTTGCTTCACCAGTCTCTCTGCGCATCACACCGCCTACCTGCCTCCCCCTGTGTTCCTGGCAGCCTGAGCGCGAGCAGGACTTTGGCCCCGTCTCCGACTGCGCTAGAGGAAAGATTGCAGGTGAGGCTGGGTTGCAGGTGAAGCTGGGTTGCAGGTGAAGCTGGGTTGCAGGTGAAGCTGGGTTGCAGGTGAAGCTGGGTTGCAGGTGAGGGGTGAGAGTGGCGGTGAGGCGAGGCCAGCGACTTGCCTGAGCTGTCCCCCCTTCTCTCTCTATCAGCCTGAGCGCGAGCAGGAGTTTGGCCCTGTCTGCTATTGCGCTAGGGGCAAGATTGCAGGTTAGGATTGTTGGGGTTTCCGAGGTGAGGTATGTTCAGGTGACTGGAGGTGCCTTGATGGCCTTTTCGAGTTGGAGGTGTTTTTCAAATGGCCTTTGACTGGGGATATGGAGGTGTTTTTCAAATCATGCCGTGTGTTCCCTCGTCCTGCCTCCACTATCTCTCCCCCTCTTTATGCCTCTGCCTTTCCCCCCAGTGAGACCCCGCAAGGGCGATGCGCTGCTCTACTTCCACCTCACTGCCGACGGCTGCAGTGCCTCTAGACTCTGAAGTTTCCAGTGGGTTGGCATCTCACATACCATGGCACTCCTTCTGTCCCTCGTCCAACCCTCCCATGCCTCTTCCCCCAATGAGACCCCGCAAGGGCGATGCGCTGCTCTACTTCCACCTCAGTGCCGACGGCTGCAGTGCCTCTAAACTCTGAAGTTGCCAGTGTAGGCTGGCATCTAACTTACCATGGCGCTCCTTCCGTCCCTTGTCCAACCCTCCAATGTCGCTTTCCCCAGTGCGGCCACGCAAGGGCGATGCGCTGCTCTACTTCCACCTCACTGCCGACGGCTACAGTGACCCGAGCGCCTACAGAGAGGACTGCCCCGTTCTGCCTCAAGCCGAGCCCAAATCCGCTGTAGAAACGGGCTTAGGGGCGCTTTTCAGGGGGGTGAGAGGTAGCACGGGTGGGGCCACTGGCAGCGATGGTAGTGGCATTGGCCATCTCAACAGCAGAGGGAAACGCAGAGGGAAACGCGGTGATGGTAGCAACGGGGGTGATGCTGAGGGGATGAAGTGGACGGCAGAGAAGTGGGTGCACATGTTCAAGTACATGACTCGCAGGAGCCTCCTGGACTGCACGGACGAGCACCCCAATTGTGGCATGTGGGCGGCGGGCGGCGAGTGCAAGAGGAACCCGGGGTACATGGTGGGGGAAGGCGGGTATGTGGGGAACTGCCGCAAGTCGTGCAAGGCTTGCAGCAATTGAGATGCGTTGTTGCAAGGCATGAGGCAGTTTTTCTTCGTAGAAGCACCGAGTGAATTCGCGGTCGTCCGAAGCTGTGTTGTACATAGTATGCTGTATGATTTTGGCCTTGGACTACCCCGGTTGTGACTCATAGCGCGTACTTCATCGATAATGCACAAGAACAAAATAGAAGAGAACACTGGGAATCCATGGTAGGAGAAGGACGTGTTAGAGGTAGGGTGCAAAGCAGAAGTGAACGACTGCGAGTGTCAAAACCGATTAGCGAATGTACGCAACAAAGGTTCATAAAGAGACTGCCTCCGAGATTCATTCCTGTACACACCCGTAGTCAATCACGCACGGGTAAAATGAGTCCCAAACAACCTCCCCAATTCTGTTGCATCTGCCAAAACGGGACCTTTTGTTTGAACCAGGCAAACCGACGAGAGTAATGCTCGTTTGTTTCGTTGTTAGTTAGACACGACCACGGCTCTGTTTTGTTGTGCATGCATTGAATCATGGAGCATTTTATCTTCTGCCCTTCAAATCTTTTAAGGGTCGGGAAGCTGTTCCGCCATTGGTCCCAGCTTCCAGATTGATCAGCCAATCAGCTCCACTGCAGGCGCGCCTAACGCCGGGAGATATCTCTCGAAGATATTCATGGTCTTGGCAGCCGGCTCATCTTCACCGTCGATGCCATTCGCGCACCAACGAGAAATGCTCTGCACGGCGACGATGCTCAGCGATTTCCAGCCAATGACTCACCAAGTAAGCTTTCTGACGCCAGCTCGCTTGGCTTTCCGCCCAGGTGCCGTCCGCCTAGCCCTCGGGTCTCCGCTTTTCGCCATGACCTGGGAATCCGGGGATGCACTGAGCGCACTTTCTTGTTCCGCCACTGGAGCTCAGTGGGCCCGTCCATGGGCCCATTCTCAGCTAGGGAAGGTTTGCGGTTGCGGTGGGGGGGGGGGTGAAGTGCAGAGCAGAGCGCCATGAACGAGTCCTGGCGAGGAAAGCGGGGCACTTGACCGCTTGTCAGGCCAAAGCTCCACAGCTGCCCTGGCCCCCACCAATAGGCCCATCTCGTCCCCCTATTGCCCGCTTTTCCAGTCCGACATTGTACGAAACTCCCCCCTTCCCCAGCGACGTCGCTGGCAGTCCAATCTGCCCTGGCGAGTCGTGACGCGAGCCCAATCAGCCGAACGCTTTCCGCACCTTCCGCGCCCCACCCCTCGCCCACCCCACTGCTTCCCTGATTACTGAACAGAACAAGCAGGAGATGTCTGGTTCGGCACACGACCAGCACAGCGCGCCAACTCCCAAACGCAGCGCGCAGCTCCCTCGATCTCCCCGTCGGAGTTCCTTCTGCCGAGTTCCGTCCTTCCTTGCTCCCTTCCCCTTCCCCTTCCTCCCCTTACCCCCCCCCTCCCCCACCCATGCCCCCTTCCCCTTCCCTTCCCCTTCCCCTCCCCCTCCAGATATTTGACGCCAACAAGACGAAAGCCAAGACCAGACCATTCCCGGCTCGTCTTTGTCTTGTCGTGCTGCCATGCCATGCCATGCCACCATTCCCGGCTCGTCAAGTCCCTAAATAAGGCCCTGCCGGCCTTTTGTGAAGCTCGCCTTTAGCGAAACGCAACTACCCTTTACTCTCGCGAGCTCCTTAGCTGGCCATTCTAGCTCGAGCCATCAGATTCCTCCCTCCCACGCTTCAACAGCGAAGCTCCGAGAAAGGAGGTCGATTTCCTTCATCCTTTCTAAGAGATTTCGCGAGTCTCGCTACAAAGATGGACGCGGTCTCTTCCGGCGCAGCGTGTTCCCTTAACAAGTCGAAGGGCAAGTCTCGTCCCGCCCGACACTACATTGCGCGATGGTCGCCCGAGGTAAGCCGGACATCCGCCTCCCTCTTCTCCAGACATGCGGCATCCAGGCTGCATTTGATAAAGATAGAGACGCATTGATCAAAATCCACGAATTTGCAAAACCTGATGTTACATTTAATGCAGCCGTCATGCTCGAGCGATTACATTCTTCGCGATTCCTCAGGTCGTACGGGCCAGGAATACTCGCATGGCCATAAACCCGTCACCAAACTTCGAGAGCTCTGAATGCTTCTCGTCTCGTCTCGTCTCGTCTCGTCTCGTCTCGTCTCGCTTCGTCTCGTCTCGTCTCGTCTCTTCTCGTCACGTTTCGTTCCTCAGAAGGACGTGATCCCCCACGGCACGAGCCAGTGAAATCCGTTGCACGCACATGTAATGGGCCCATTTGAAAGGAAACTCGCGTTGCATGGAAGCTATGGCACGGCGATCAACATATCCGGAATTTTCTCGTCCCTTGCCCTTACCCGTCCCGTCCCGTCCCGTCCCGTCCCGTCCCGTCCCGTCCCGTCCCGTCCCGACCCCTGCTTCTCCCAGGAGGACGCAATTCTGCTCGAGCATGTGATGCTGCACGGCACGAGCCAGTGGGGCCTGCTGCAGCGCAGCGGCCGCCTGCCTCTCCGCGACAACAAGGCGTGCTGCAACCGCTTCATCCTCCTCAAAAAGAAGTTTATTGAACAAGACGGCTCACCGGCGGCTTCCGCGCTCTTGCCAGGTTCCGCGCACACGCTCCCCGCGCTCCCCTCCCTCCCCGCGCTTCCCGTCGGCGAGCCCCATCACTGGAGCGCCGCGACGGCTTCCACGCTCCACGCGGCTCCAAGCTACCACTCCCTTAACCATCACTCGCTTGGAAGTGGTAACCACCACTCCACGTGCAGCACAGCCCACGGCCATCACAACCAGCACCACCAGCACCACCAGCACCACCATCCCCACCCGCTGTTGGCGTCGCCGCACTCGTGCTCCGTCAGCTCCATGGACGCCCTCTCCCTCGCCGCGCTGCCTTTCTCGCCCCATCATGCCGCATCCCATCCCGGACCCCTCCAACTCCCATCCGCGCCGTCGTCCTCCATGCCTCAGTCGTCCTCCATGCCTCAGTCGTCCTCCATGCCCCCCTCGTCCGTTCCCCCATCGTCGTGTCGCTCGCCGGGTCTCGTGGCGCCGCCTCGGGAGGCGTCGCCGCGTGTTGTCATCGATCTGACGGCCGGCAATTGGGGTTTTGCCGCCGGGGCGGGCATCACTGCCCGCAGCGGCGTCGCCGCCTGGTCGGACGATTCGACGACTGTGTCGCCCAACCCGCCATCGAAACCGTCGCGCACGCCGTTCGCGCCCCATCATGCCCCGTCCGCCGCTTCCACGCTACCTCGCTCGCAGCAGATGGCGGCTTCCGCCGCCGCCCGGCCCTGCTCCGCATCTCCGCCTGGCGCTGCCTCTCCCCACGCTGCGCCGCCTAGTGCTGCTCCGCCTAATGCGGCTCCCGCCGCCACTGACACTCCCGCCGCCGCTGCCGCTACCAGCGCGGCTGCAGTGGGCGGGAGCGGCGTGGATGGGCGTGCGTGGAAGCGAGTGCGGATGGCGGGGTCGTTCAAGGAAGACGCAGATGCTGCGAATGCTTCAAATGCTGGCGAGAAGACGTTCAGGGAGACGACGGATGAGACCCCGCAGCAGTGCCTTGCGGATCCTTCCAGTGGAAGCGCGCATGCTGTAACGGCCGGATATGCGGTAGAGGCCGAATATGCCGAATATGCCATAAATGGCTCGAACACCTCAAATGCTGCTTCGCCTAGTTCGCCTGGTTCGCCTGGTTTACCTGGCGCAGGGCTAGCAGCTGTGCGTCCCTCAGCCACCAGTGTGTGCTCTGCCGCCGTGCCACCAGTGGCCTTTTCCAGCATGAGCCCGGTCAATGCTGGCTGTGACCTCTCTGCGTCTGCTCTCCATGCTGTTTTCGCTACGCGGAACTGCACTGACCTGCAGAGGCCGGGTGCTTCTGGACATCCCGGTACTTCTGTTTTTACAGTCGGTCAAACGACCCCAAAAGCAGCAGGATGTGGGGCAGATGCTGCTGCTGCGTCTCGGGCGATGCATGAATCGTTCGCTGATGCTGCTGCTGCGATCGCTGCTGGGTCGGTGGTACCTGACGCTGAGCTTCTGGCCTGTTTGAACAGCCTCACGTCATGCATGGCGTGGCCGGACTTAACTCTCTTGGAGACTGAGGCTGGGGGTGTTGATGCACTGGGATCGCCTCTCAGTGCGGCCACTGGTCTTTCTGCAGGTGGTGGTAGGGAAGTGCTAGGGCGGGGTAATGAGCTCCCGGTGTTGCGGCCAGACTTTTTGCTGGAGATGATGTCTTCAGGTTGACTGGCTGAGTAGCTTGTGTTTTCTCCCCCAGAAAACGATTTTGATATGATGTTTTCTGTAAGTTAGTGAGGCTTGTAAGTACCTTGTACTTCGCAGCAATGTGTAATTTGAGTTGTGTACAATGAACATACAAAACTTGGAAACCAGATGGGTAACTTGGGGGGGCAATGATGTAGATGTAGTGTGGAAACTCAGTTTTGTAGAAAAACAAATTTCTACATGTGAAATTAAATTCAAATTTTGGTTATCATGTACGCGACCTGACTTGTAGCGAGATAGCGTACGACCAACCCACAGCATCTGAGATGATTTGGGTCAGCTGGAAACGGACACAGTAGTGAACCTGGTCTCACTTCCCCGGCTTCGTGCATTGGTATCTTGAAGTGTGCTCCATTGCCTACTAACCGGGCAGATAAATCCTTCCAGCTTTGAGGTGATGTAAGAAAATTGCCGTGAGGCCTAATCTTTCCATGCATGGTAAATATGTTTTACACCTGATATGTGTGCGACCTTACTCACTTGCCCGTGCTTTCTGCCCGACCGGCCGACGTGGACACTTTCATGAACCTGCCCTCCAGGTAAAGCGCACTCCACCTGCCACGCTAGCACCCAGGTGGAGTCGTCCGCCGTTTTTTGCGAGCGGTTCGCCCTTTTCATTCCGAAGCGCAATGTCGCAATCTGCGTCTCCCAACTTGCTCTCAAAATTGAGTCCAGGGGGGTCCTCCCCATTCCCGCATCCTCCCTCTGGTCCCCTCGCCTCGCTTTTTCGAATCCAGAATTCCAAATCCAAACCCAAGCTTGCACAGACAGCAATGCCACAGACATAGCGCCGGAATCTGAATGGCACAAACAGAAAGGCACAAGCAAGTACGGCAGCTCCATAAATCCCCCGCTACTTGCCGCGCCAATCTTTCCCAAGTTTCTGGCCCTTCGGCCCGACGAAGGACCATCCTGAACCTGCAAACCATTCGTCGTAAAACCCTAGCAGATAATGCAAGGGTACTGTTCGCGATCGATTTGCAATCCCCATCGCGTGACCGTCATTCGACAGCACAGGCCACGATCATTTCAGGCTCTATTCTTCCCCCCTGTTTTGCGAACTCGTTGAGCTATTGCACACGATTCTGCACCACGGATCCTGCTCGATGCTCTCGATGCTCGATGCACGGATCATGGAGAGTCCGAGATACCCTTGAAGTCGTGGATTGCTCCTAATAGGCCCTTGATAACCGGCATTTGTCTGATTTTTGAGTCGACTCAAAAGATAACCGGCGTTTGTCTGAGTATCTCCTAGTAGAGTTTGAGGGGCCCCGGGCCTCGTGACGTGGTAGTGCCCCGTAACCCAACATTCCGGAGCTCAGGTTCTAATAGTATTAGTACTCGTACTAGGTTACTACTGCTAGTAGAACATTCCGCATGGATAGTGGCACTTATAACGAATTCCTTCGATGGTCATGAAGCGTCACCCTCTAGAACCGCCGCATAGGAATAACAGAAATGTCAATCCGGGTGCTAGTAGCAGAAGGGGGGATTTCAGAAGCGGGTATGCTCCGGAAACCTGGAGTGGAGGGTTCCGACACGGAGCTAGTACTGCTAGCGGGAACGGCGGGAACGGCGGGAACGGCGGTGTGACTGGCGGGAGCGGCGGGAGCGGAGGGATCGGAGGGAGCGGCGACCCAGCACCCGCCCCTGGCAGGCTGACGCGCAGCAGCACCAGCAATAGCACTTCGACAACGGCGGTCGGTTGGGGAAGAGGAGCCGGCGCAGGCGCAACATTCTCAGGCGCAAGCCCCGGCGCAGGCGCAAGCCCCGGCGCAGGCGCAGGTTTTGCAGGCGCAGGTTTTGCAGGCGCAGGTTTTGCAGGCGCAGGTTTTGCAGGCGCAGGCGCATCAGGCAGCCCGATGTTAGCGCGTGCTCCCGCAATGCTCAGCGTGGGGTCGCCGTCTCCCGCCGGCTTCTCCTTTGGCGCTGGCGGCAGCAGCAGCAGCAGCAGGCTCAGCGACGTTCCTCCGGAGCAGTTCCTTCGATGGACCAACGAGGTGCGCGGCCGCCGCTTATAGGCGTCACGGTGGTTTGAAGCATGCCATCCCAAAATACCAGGTGTATTTTGAGTCGACTCAAAATACACCTTGAAGCATGCCATCCCAAAATACCAGGATCAGAAATACGGAGTAGGTATACAGTAGGTACGGCAGAGGTACGTCTGCTACGGAGTAGCCTTGCAATACGAACAACTATACCTACAATATAGGAGAGATCCACATTTTTGTGAAGATGATGGCTTGTCCGCGTTGGCGCCAGAGTTAGTGCCACTACCAGCCACATCCGCAGCAGCAGCAGCAGCAGCAGCAGCAGACACGGTGGCGTTCCTCCGGAGCAGTTTTTTCTCCCAGATCTTCGTCTCTCCCCCCCTCCTCTTGCACTCAATCCCACACCGCAGGAAGACAGGGTGCTGCTGCGCCAAGTCACCCGCTACGGCACAAGAAACTGGGGTCTGCTGCAGCGTAGCCGGTCTCCCCCAAACCTTAACCACGCCCCCCTTCTCTCCGCCATTCGGCTGCCCTACGTCCCAAAATACCAGGATCAGAAATACGGAGTAGGTAAACAGTAGGTGCGGCATAGGTACGTCTGCTACGGAGTAGTCTTGCTATACGAACAACTATACCTACAATATAGGAGAGATCCATATACTATTCTCCATTCACCCGTGTACTATTATCCATTCACCCGTGTACTATTATCCATTCGCCCGTGTACTATTATCCATCCATCCCATACCTTCCCCCCCTTCTCCCACACCGCAGGAAGACAGGGCGCTGCTGCGCCACGTCACCCGCCACGGCACGAGAAACTGGGGTCTGCTGCAACGGAGCCAGTCTCCCCCAGACCTTACCCACTGGCAATCCCCCTCTCTCTCCACCACGCGGCTGGCCGTATCGTACTACTCTCCATCCACCCATGTGCTTGTATCGCAGGAAGACAGGGTGCTGCTGCGCCACGTCACGCGTTACGGCACGAGGAACTGGGGCCTGCTGCAGCGGAGCCGGTCGCTGCCTCTCCGCGACAACAAGGCGTGCTGCAACCGATTCATCCTCCTCAAGAAGTGAGTCGTTTTGGGTGTAAGCCTGACTCCATTCTGCCCATACTGCCCTGAGTATGTCATGTGCTTTCTACGTCACTTATGCGTTGCCATTGTGATTCGAGCTTCTCATTTATGGCATGCCATTGCAGATGGCACGGCATGGCAGATGGCATGGCATGGCAGATGGCATGGCATGGCAGATGGCATGGCATGACAGATGGCATGGCATGTACCGTATGCCGCATGCCACGTCCCCAGCCCCCATGCCATGCTATGCCATGCCTATGCCTGGTGCCCCTACCCATGCCATGCCATGCCATGCCATGAGCAAGAGGTTCCTGGAGCAGCAGAAGGCGCGAGCAGCAGCAGCGTGGCAGGGCAGAGCGATTAAAGCGCCCCATGCCACAGAGGGCGTGACGCAAACCATCCCATGTGTCCTATGCCCCATAGCCCATGCCCCTTGCCCCATGCCCCTACCCACGCCCCTTGCCCCATGCCCCTACCCTTGCCGTGCCATGAGCAGGCGGTTCCTGGAGCAGCAGAAGGCGCGAGCAGCAGCAGAGTCGCAGGGTGGAGCGAGCGAGGCCATGACTCCGCGTGTTCCAAGGGGGGGTCAGCCAGGTGCTGCCACAGCAGCAGCAGCAGCAGCAGCAGCAGCAGCAACAACAGCAGAACGGTTGGCCTCAGGGGGGGTTTCTGCTGCTACTTCTGCTGCCACAGTTGCTGCTGCTACTACCAGTGCTGCTCCTACTACCAGTGCAGCTGCTGTTACCAGTGCTGCTGCTGTTGCTACAGCTGGTGCTACAGCTGGTGCTAAAGCGCCACCATCAGCTGCTGTCTCAACCGTGCCAGTCGTTTCGGAAGAAAGAGGAGGGGATGGGAGGCGGCACCAGGGACAAGAGGGCGGGAGAGGAGCGACGTCTGCTTCTGGGGGGGGCGGAGAGGGAAGCGGAACAGCAGGGAAAGAGCGAGGGGAAGGGCAGATAGCAAAAGAGGGGAGAGCTGGTGCTGAGGAATCTGAAGAGCACATGAGAGGAGGAGGGAGTGATCCGGCTGTTGACAGGCCTTCTGCGGAGCAGCGTGGAGGGGAGGGGGGAAAGAAAGAGGTGAGCAGCGCGCCAGAGTGCCTCGAGGCGGCCGATGGCTCGAGTGAGGGCACGAGAGAGGGGAGGAAAGAGGCCAGGAAGGCTATAGAAGGGGTGGGCAGGGCGTTGGAAGACCAGCTAGCATGGCTGTATGAGCTGGACCAAAGGGGAGATAGAGGCGGGGAGCCGTTCCTTCTGGAGTCGTTCCACCAGCACGACTCAATGCGGAACGACGATGCCAGTGTTAGCGGTATGGATGCTGCGGCGGCTGCTATTTTTTCCGGTCCTGCTGCTTCGGCCGGGCCTGCTGCTTCTGCTCCTGCCGCTGTTGCTGGAGGGTCAAGTGAGGCGGTGGATGGTGGTGGTGGTGGTGGTGGTGGTGGTGGTGGTGGTGGTTGTGGTGGTGGTGCGGGGATGGCGGATGGTGAGAGGAAGCGAAAGCTCTCTTCAGGTGGGCTTGATAGGGGCATGCGGTCGTTCTCTGACATGTACCCTCTGTACCAAAAGCAGCAGCAGCAGCAGCAGCAGGGGCAACAGCTGCAGAAGCAGCAGCAGCAGCAGCAGCAGGGGCAACAGCTGCAGAAGCAGCAGCACCACCATCAGTTCCAGCAGCAACCACAGACACAGGGTATAGAGCCCCGTTTTCTTGAATCCGAGTGGTGGTGGCAGCAGCAGCAGCAGCAGCGGCAGCAGCAGCAGCAGCAGTCGTCCCTGTGCATTCCTGGAGCTGCCTGGACTTCGATCTCATATGCGATCACGTCCATGTCGCATGCTACAACTTCCATGTCGCATGCTACAACCTCCATGTCGCATGCTACAGCATCCATGTCGCATGGAAGCATGCCTGAGCACACTGCCATGTCCCTTGGCGCACACACGCCGAGACAGCATGCATTCACGCTGCTTGATGCATCCATGTCCCCCCACACTCCCACGGAGCATGCATCCACACCCACTTTCCCCACTGCCAACATGTTCCATCATGCATCCCAAAAGACATCCGACCAGCCCCCATCAAGCCATCATGCGTCCGACCAGCCCCCATCAAGCCAACATGCATCCGACCAGCCCCCATCAAGCCAACATGCATCTGACCCAACATCCATGCAGCCCCAATCGACCCAACATGCATCACCAGCACATTCAGCCATGTCTCACATGCTCCATGCTTCATCCAGGAGCCCAAGCATGCTGGAAGCGACATCCGTAGATGTCGCTACAGCTGATGCTGCTACAACTGATCCCGCTACAGCTGATGCTGCTACAAATGATCTAGGCATTCATCCCCCTGCAGACGCCAGAAAGGGCAGAGCAGCGCCCCTACCGGCCCCATGTGTTCCTGCAACGCCCTCACCCCACTATGAGTCGATAGAGTCCTCTCACAACACCCCCAAGTCCCCCCAGCAGGTGGCTTCTGTTGCTGCTGCTGCTGCTGCTGCTGCTACTGCTACTGGTGGTGGTGGTGGTGGTGGTGGTGGTGATGTTGCTGCTGCTGGTGGTGTCGGCAGCAAAGGCACGCCCCCACCCCTACGACCTGCCCCCACACCCATCCCCCCCGCGCCCTCTGCCCTGTACGAGTCTCTGGTGGGGGCGAGCTCCCAGCAGGTGGCTGCTGCCATTCTGGCGTGGGAGGGGACAGGGTCGGTGCTAGAGCAGCGGAGGAGAGAGGAGAGGAGGGAGAAAGAAGGGTTGTGGAGTGTGAGGGAGACAGGAGGGAGGGAGGGAGAGGGGGTGAGGAGTGTTTGTGATGTAGGAGGGATGGGGGGGTTGAGAGGGGGCGAAAGGCGAAGGGTGGAAGAGCAAGCGATGGGGGGGGGAGGAGAGAGGCGCACGGGAGGGAGGAGCACGGGAGGGAGGAGGAAAGGAGGGAGGAGCAAAGGAGGCAGGAGCAAAGAAGGGAGAAGCAAACGATGCAGGGGCCATGGGGATGGCATGGAGCGGGGTGGGAGCAGCGGGGGAGTGGGGCTGGAGGTGCGTGGACGGCGATGGATGGTGATGGTGCTTGGACTAGGACGGTCGTTGGTGGTGCTGAGGGAAGGGCGCTTGAGCAAGAGCAAGGGCACACTCCGCAGCAGGTGCGGCAGCAACAGCTGCTGCAGCAACGGGAGTGTGGGGCTGGTAGTATTGCTTTAAGGAGAGTGTGCACAACAATGGCTGGTGATGGCGCGGCTTGGACGAGGACGGTGGGTGATGCTGACATGGGGGTGGCGCTGGAGCAGGTGCAGCATCAGATGCAGCCGAAAGAAAGGCAGCAGACTCAACAGCTGATGCAGACGCACGTGCAACAACGACAACAACAGCAGCAGCAGCAGCAGCAGCAACAACAGCAGCAGCAGCAACAACAACAGCAGCAGCAACAACAACAGCAGCAGCAACAACAACAACAGCAGCAGCAACAACAGTTGCAACAACAGCAACACCAGTGGCAAATGCAAGTGCAATATCAGCTGGCACATCAGCCGCAGCTTCAGGAGCAACAACAGTGGGAGCATCAGGTGCCACATCAGGTGCCACATCAGGTCCCACATCAGGTCCCACATCAGGTGCCAAATCAGGTGCAGTGTAGCATGAAAAATCATGTGCAAGTTCAGGTGAAACATCGGGCGGCACATCAGCAGTTGTTGTGGAGAGGGGGTCCAAAGGGGCTTGAGGGGGAGGCGCAGGGGTGGAGTGAGAGAGAGGGGCGCACAGGAGACGTTGAGAGGAGCTTGTCAGGGCATGTTCTGGGGGGAGTTCAGGGGCGTGTTGAGAGGAGGGTTGAGAGGAGTGTTGAGAGGAGTCTTGCAAGGAGAGCTGAGAGGAGTGTACTGGGGCATGCTTTGGGGGAGCAGATGATGCAAGTGGGTGGGAATGCTGAGGTGCGGAGGCAGTACGGCCAGGAGGAGGAGCAGCAGCAGCAGCAGCAGCAGCAGCAGCAGCAGCAGCAGCAGCAGCAACAGCAGCGACATTACCAGCAGCGACACCATCAGCAGCATCAACAGCATCAGGAGCGATACACGCAGCATCAACAGATCCAGCACCAGCAGCAACAGCAACAGCAACAGCAGCAGCAACATCATCAACATCAGCAACCACAGCAGCATCATCATTTATTTCTTCAGGCTCAGGGAAACCACGGGGTTGAAAGTCAAACCCTAGAACCCCTGGCAGGCCAGCACCCACCAATAAGGCCGAACCAAGCTCCTGGAGCGCCCCTACCGAGTGATGCACCAGGGGGAGACGCGCAGTACGGGCTTCAAACAGCCGCAGAGGAAACTAGAGCATCAGAGGCCCTGTCGCTGCCCCTCTACACTCACCCTCCTCCTTCCTCATCCACACATAGTGCTTTCTTATCTCATCCAAATCCACCTCTTCAGACACCTCTCTTGCACCCCAGCTACTCCTTGCCTCCCTTTCAAACCCAACCCCGTCTTACACTCCCACCTCATCTTCCTCCTCCATCTTGCCTCCCACCCCCTCCTGACCTCCATGTTCCATCTTGTGGGCTGCTCGCATTGCCGGATGATGGCATGGCTAGCGTGCTCATGATGATTCCGCGTGAAGATGACGCACATGCTTCATTTGGTACTGACTTTGATTGGTCCATGGCGGCTGACCCGTATGGCGGTGATTTGGTGGAGTGGCTTACAGAAGGCGAGTAAGTGGTAAGAAATTGATTTGGTTGGCAATTGAGGTATTTTTTGTTTGAATGTATATAATGTCGTGATGTAGCATTTTTGTCAGTCTTCACACTCTTGTCTGGTATAGAGAAAAACGGAGTAGGTCACTAATGAGATCCGATGCGGGAGAATTGATGGGAGTGATGGCAGGGCAGCGTTCCCCTCAGGTGTAGCGTGTGGTGTGGGCGGAGCTCGCTTGACCAGCTTTCTCCTGGGTTTCTGGAAAATGCAGTACAGCGCAGCTTTGGAATCACGTGGGCAGCATTTCGGTGTGACGAAGAGACGCCTTCCAACGAATCACTTTATTCAGCCTCCAAAGACCCCGCTCCAATTCATGATTGCTCACGAGAAAACACAGCCCATCAGCGTCATCACCAGCAGCAGCTGCCAAGGAAATGTACCAATCAGTTGGCGGCAGTTCCTTCAGGCTGAAGTTACCCATATTTTCAGCTGCTCCACATAGGCCCTGGTCGGACGCGTTCGAGAAGCTGAAAAGCACGTTCTAGGAAATTTGCGCCCCTGAAGACAGTTCCACCTCCACAAACAGTGACATGCAGAGGGAACCCCTTTGAAAGATGCTAGGTGCCGTACACTTAACCCGCGGTAATTTCACACCTAGTATTTTCACACCCTATGTCGCGTAGTGGGGTGGTCAAGCTTCAACAGTTCGGGGCGCACTGAAATGGGCGGCCCCAGGCCCGCGAGAGAAAGAGCCACCTGAATAGGCTCGGAATTGGTGACTACCTATCGATTTTTGTGGCTCTGCGCACAGGAGCGCGTCAGTAGGGGGGAGCAGAAAAGAAACTCGCTTCTGGAAGCACCGACAGTACTGTAGATCCGCCACATCGGAGTTGACCAATTCAAATGAAATCAGCAGCATGCTTTCTAATTTGCTCGAGCAAAATACACCCAATGAACGCACGAAATATGGGCGGTGCATTGAAATTCCAATCCAGCTCGACATTTCGACCAGGGGAGCCTCGGTTGCGACAGCGTGGCACCTTTTTTGGTTCGGTGGATTACCCCTGTGAAGATACTGGGGCGTTTCGCGCCCCAGTAACTTCACACCGTCAGGATACGCCAAACGTTCGCTATCCATTTTCAGGGTGTGAAATTACCGCGGGTTAGGTGTAGAAGTTGAAGAGACACCCTTCATTTGGACTTACCAGTATCGTTTTTTGTAACCTTGCAAAATCCGGGATATTTATCCCCTGTAAGGTGGAACCCTGGGATCATCCAATGCTGTTGACTATGGTAGCAACTACAGTTCTGTATGGAAATTTCCGCGATTCAAGGTTGCTCTCTAGCTGGGGAGGACAGCTCTCCGACCACAGAATGCACATCACGCCTCAGGCATGCGAATGATTCGAGGGTGTGACTTAAAACAGAAATGGAGCACGGCGCTCCGCGTGGACGGTGGAGGAATGTCACGTCGACCATTTTCTTCCCTTCTTTTGGCGAGATTCCACCAACCAGCCCTCGTGTTTCCCTCCCAAATTTCATGCCCAGCTGAAATACTGTGCTGTACTGTAATCCGCACCGAATTTCGCCATGGGCCCCCCATCGCATCAAAACAACTCAGCTAACAAATCGTGACTAGTTGCGCGCGTGCCCTCACTGAATTTACTTCTGCCAGCCAACTCTCCCTTCCGACGCCACCTGTCATCGTTGCTGCCATTTTCTATAAAAACATTCCACCTTCAATGCCCCAGCTGAAAAGCTTCCCCCACCAGTGGAGGGGGTGGTTAGGTGACCAGACAACCACCCCGTGGTCCTTACAAATTCAGAACCGCCGCCAGCAGAATACTGTAGTTGATAGGTCCATTCACCAGACCAGACCCACATGCACTTAGCAGAAATCACCGCGAGCCAATGGGAAAGGCAGTCGCGGCAGGGAGTGAACGTGAATGGCAGGCAGCCAGACCCCTCCTTACAGCACAGCTTCTTGCCCAATTTCGGCAAATCTGTCTGCCAGCCACTTGGCTGACGAGCGTCAAGCTGGGAAGCAATTAATGACTCCTCCTAGGCCCCCCCCACGGCACTCCGCTCCACTCCCCTCCCTTCCAAGAAAGCGTCGCAAGCAACACTTTGACTGAAAGCCGCAATTTCCGGCTAGCGTACGGCAAGCAAGCAAGCAACCTGCAGTCAGGCTGAGCCTGTTGCTGTTGCTGCATCTGCTGCAAGCAGTCCTGGTCAGTCTTCCCCGTCGGACTCAGCGAGTCAGTGAAGCACATGAAACACTCTCGGAGCAACACTCCCATTTGCCAACTGGAAACGCCGAAATGAAAGAAACGTTCAAAAGAAAGGGGAGCCTCGGAGGAAGAACCGTCGATGAGCGATTTCGTCGTCGAGGCATCTGAAGGCCGCATGTGAGGGAACTCCTTTCGCCGGCGGTGCTGCATTTGCCGATAGAAGTGAAGCTTAGTTCTCGCTTTTCTCAGACTCAGACTTCGGCTCAGGCTCTAGCTTTTCTCAGGTTCACCATCCGCCGCTGCTTCTCTGGCTCGGGCTCTGGCTTCTTTGGCTCGGGCTCTGGCTTCATCTCAGGTTCAACCAGACCGGTTACACTCAACCAGAGGTCCCAGAGGCTCAACCAGACCGGTTCGACTCAACCACAGGCTCAACCGGACCGCTTAGATTAGGCTCTCAACTGAGCAACTCCATGGCGTTACTGCCGCAGTACACCTGCCTCGTGTGCGGAGCTCGCTTCCGCTCGCTGCAGGCGCTCGGCGGACACAAATCCGCGCATAACGGGGGGAGTGGCGGGGGGAACAGGGTGGAAAACTGGGGAGGCACTTGGGGGGGAAATTGGGGGGGTAATTGGGGGGGCGGGGGGGGCGGAAGAAGCTCTCCGCGCGCTCCCAGCCTCTGGTTTCCGCCAGGGGGCGGACTGCCACCAGAAGAAGGCAGATTCGGCACTGCTGGCAGTTGTTTGTTCCCAGAGAGGTTGGGACTTCAACGTCAACTTGAATTTGAAGCTACCAGGCGTGTCAGGGAGAGCTTCTCAGCATCTTTTCCTGCTGGTGGTGGTGCGGCTGGTGCTGCTGCTGGTGCTGCTGCTGGTGCTAGTGCTGCAGGTGCTGTTGCTGCTGGTGCTGCAGGTGCTGCTGCTGCTGCTGCAGCTGCTGCTGCTGGTGCAGCAGCCCAGGCAGGAGAGAACGCGTTCAGAATACCTGCTGCAAGAGAAACTCCGCGGTTTGGTGCTCCTGGGAAAGGCTCACCCAGGGAAGGTTCATCTGGGGATGGCTGGCCAGTGAACGGCCAGCAGGGAGCACTTCCCATCCTGAAGAGGCACGGGAGTTGGGAGGAGGCTCCTCCCAACAGCGAGGAGGAGGAGGAGGAGGAGGGAGTGAGAAGGAACTGGCGAGCCGAGTGCCAGTTCGTGGAGGCCAACTGGCAGCTGCTCCAGCAGCAGCAGCGGCGGCCGTCACAGGCTAAAAGAGCGCTGTTGGACGCGGCACATGGGGATGGGGAAGAGGTGGAAGGAGAGAGGAGTTCTTGGAGAGGTGAATTCCAGTTGGCCCAGCGGCGGCCATCACAGCCTGAAAGAGCGCTCTTGGACGCGGCACGTGGGGATGGGGAAGAGACGGCTGCTGCTGATGCTGCTGCTGGGAAGCTCCGTTGCTGTTTGAGCCGACTCAAAGATCGCGAGGCGGAGGAAGGAGAGGAAGAGAGAAGTTCTTGGAGAGGTGAATGCGATTTGCCCCAGTGGCGGCCGTCACAGGCTAAAAGAGCGCTCTTGGACGCGGCACATGGGGAAGAGGTGGCTGCTGCTGCTGCTGGGAAGGTTCGTTGTTTCTTGGGAGCTTATGGCGGAGGTGTTTGTGGTGCCAGAAACAGCCTTCCTGGTGGTGCTGGTGGTGGTGGTGGTGGTGCTGCTGCTGCTACTGCTGCTGCTGCTGATGGTGCTGCTGGTGCTCCAGTGGGAGGAGCAGCATTCGTTATAAGCTCGAAATGGGGCACTGTGCGGCAGAAGGTGCTGGGGCACTGTTATAGTGGCAGTGGTGCTGCTGGTGGTGCTGCTGGTGGTGCTGCTGGTGGTGCTGGTGGTGGTGCTGCTGGTGGTGCTGGTGTCGGTGGTGCTGGTGGCGGTGATGCTGGTGGTGCTGGTGGTGCTGCTGGTGGTGCTGCCGGTGATGCTGGTGGTGCTGCTGGTGCTGCTGGTGCTGCTGGTGCTGCTGGTGGTGCTGCTGCCACTGCTACCTCTGAATCCGCCCAAGAGCATGTTAATTCTGTCGTCAACCGTTCCTATCCACCTGCCACCACCGCTGCTGCTCCTACCGCTGCTGCCACTGCTGCTGACCCCGCTGCTGCTGCTAATGCTGGCACTGCTGCTGCTAATGCTGCCACTGTTGCTAATGCTGCCACTGCTGCTAATGCTGGCACTGCTGCTGCTAATGCTGCCACTGCTGCTAATGCTGCCACTGCTGCTGATGCTGGCACTGCTGCTGCGAGGAGAAGGTGGGAACCGAGCAGCGCAGCAAGCAGTCAAAGGCACTGGCTCTCGCGCCTCTTCCCATCCCAACCACCACGCATGCTGGACGCCTCTCCCTGCCTGCCCTCCTTACAGTCACCTCGCAACCTACAGTCACCTCGCGACCTACAGTCACCCCGAGGCGTACAGTCACGTGGACAATTGGATTCGCCTGGGACTGTTCACCCGTCCACTGCTGACTCAGCATGGGGGGAATCTCAGTGCGGTGCAGCAGGAAAGCACTCTTCCCAGCAGGCCGGCGCGGTGCAGCAGTGCAGCAGCGGTACTCTGCCCAGCTCTGCCCCTACGAGCCAGCCAAGGCTGCTGCTGCATGCCACGTGGCAGGGCAATCTTGAACCCATACCCGCACCAACTGCCATCGCTACTACCACTACTACTACTACCCCGCCTGCAACCGGCAATGCTCCGCTCACCACTGCGTCATGGCACCGCGTGTCTTCCCATCCCTGCATGCCCTGCATGCCCCCCAATTCTCGCCGCCAGACTTCCCCGCTGGGGCCCTTCAACGGCTTAAAGCCCCCTCCCTCACAGCTCCTGCGCCTTCCGTTGCGTAGTTCCGGCGACGCATGGGTAGAGGGGGCAGGTGCACTGCGGGCAGGTGCAGCACCAGCAGTCGCAACTGAAGCACAAGGACCAGCACCAGTAGCAGCAGCAGCACCACCACCACCAGCAGCAGCACCAGTAGCACCGCCATGGATGCGGCTGTGGCTGCTGCAGCGGCGCTCACTCTCTGACCCTGCTGCTGGTTACCCCTTCCCCTCCGCCCTCTTCTCTCCTAGAGCTGCCGCTTCTGCTGACCCCTCCACTCTCAGGCCGGCTGCTGCTGCATTGGCTGCTGCTGCTGCATTGGTTGCTGCTGCACCAGCTGCTGCCGCAACCCTTCCCGCTGCCTCAACCACTGGAGCTTCTCAAACCACGCGTCCAGCGTCGGTAAGCACTCTGACAGGAGCTGCTTTCACCGCGCTTACCACTCTCACCACCCCTGCTTCTGCGTCCACCCCTGCGTCTGTTGAGGCTGCGGCTACACCGGCATTTTCCCATAGCTGTGCGGACGAGAGTCGGCAATCTCCCAAGAGAGCACTCCAGCCTCCAGCCAACCAGCTGAATCCACATGCTTCCCCACCTCCACGTCAGCAGACGTTGGAGACACCTCACTGGCCCCTGGGCCCACCTTCCTGGATTCTTCCTGACCCAGGTGCAAGGCGAGCACTCAACTGCGTGGTGGGCGAGACAGTTGGCAGCGCGGCAGGCGACCAATCTGCAGCTGCCACGTGGCGTTGCATGCTGGGCGAGACGATAGGTGGCGCAGCAGGTGCCGAACCTGCTGGCGGTGCAGCGGGCGCCCAATCTGCAGCTGCCACTTGGCACTGCGTGGTGGGCAAGACGATAGGTGGCGCGGCTGGCGCTCGACCTGCCGGCGGTGCGGCTGGCACGCATTCTGCAGCTGCCACGTGGCATGAGATGGAGGAAGAACGAGTGGGATCAGGCGGGTGGAGCAGCGGTAGTGGCGGGAGGAGCGAGAGTGGGAGTGAGGGATGTGGGGAAGGCGGGGGCCGGGAGAAGAGGGACTGCAGTGAGGAGATACGGAGGTTGGGGAGTGAGGGCGTGCTGCCAGGAGCCAGTGCTGGACAAGGGAGAGGGAAGTCGAGCTGTGGAGAGCAGGAGGATGGGAGGAGGAAAGGGAGGGCTGATTCGGTTAGGCAAGCAGTGCCGTCGAAGAGCCTTGAGGCGTCCAAGAGCCTTGAGGCGTCCAAGAGCCTCGAGGCGTCCAAGAGCCTCGAGGCGTCCAAGAGCCTCGAGGCGTCGAAGAGTCTCGAGGAATGGATGGAGGCGGTGGTTATGAGGAGAGATGGTGTCCAAAATCCGTTGGAGTCAACTCGAGCGGTGCCGGGTCTAATCCCTGTACAGCCTGCTGCTGCTGCCGCTGTTGCAGTTTCTCATGCTGATGCTGGTGAGGTGTGGGGAGGAGAGTTGCAAGGGGGACAAGTGAGTGGGCAGCTAGGGGGGGACATGGAGTTGGATGCGGTTGGAGACGGTGCTGCTGAGATACTGCTGGGTTTAGGGGCGACGGGCTTGAGTGGGGTGGATGGGAGTGGAGATTATGTGACTGCTTCTTTGGCTGCTGGTGCTGGTGCGGCTGGGAGTGCAGGTAGAGGGAGTTCCGCCCGGCGATTTCCAGGCACTAGCAACGGTGTTGGATTTATCGGGGGTGGCAACGGCAGCAGCGGTGGCGGCAGTGGTGGTGGCAGTGGTGGTGATAATATTGGTGCTGGGGGTACTGACGGTGGTGATTGTGATGGTGGTGGTGATGGTGGTGGTGGTGTTGGTGGCGGTGGCAGCGGCGGTGGCTGTAACAGCAGTGGGCAGTTGAGTCTGGAGCAGCAGATTCAGCAGATGTTGGACGAGCTACCTGCTGCCCCTATTGCCTGCTACACCCACACTGTGCCTTCTGCCCCTGCTGCCCCTGCTGCCTGCTATTCCCACACTCTGCATGCTCCTCCTCCTTCTCCTGCTGCTGCTGCTGCTGCTGCTTGCTACACCCAAACTCTGCCTGCTGCTCCTCCTACTGCTGCTGCTGCTGCTTCTGCTGCTCCTACTGCTATTGCTGCCGATGCTACTGCCGTTGCCCTTACTGCTGCTGCCCGTGCTACTGCCATTGCCCCTATTGCTGCAGCCGGCGCAGGCAGTGCGTGGGGGGGTTGGGAGGAAGGGTTAGAGGCAAGGTTCAAGGGTCGCCAAGACCCTAAGGGAGGGGAGTGGGTTGACTGGGAGGGCGAGGAGAGGAGAGGAGGAAAAGGGGAGAAACGAGAAGGGGCAGACCCGGGGAAAAGGGGAGAGCCGGGGGAGAGGGAGTGGATGGAGAAAGAATGGGAGGAGGAGAGGGAGGGATCATACACGGCACTGACGGAGCAACTAGAGCAATTAGAGCAATTAGAGCAATTAGAGCAATTAGAGCATTCAAACTCTATCCGGGAAGATCATGGAGAACGGGACAAAGGCAGGGCGAGAGGGTGCAGTATTCATAATGTAGCAATGGCGATCGGTGTAGCTGGTGTAGCTAGAAAAGTTCCCTTGGATCTGTCACTTCACTTGTAAATACAAGCGACTGGTATGCAATGCTATGCAAGTCTTAAGCACAGAATCCCATCGTCCACACTGATCCTCGACTTATGCGATTGGTTGACCTGGTGACCTGTTGACGACTTCTGAAGGAAAGTCAGATCCCTTAGCTGACTCCCATTTGCAGACTGAAGGGAAATGAAGCCACATTCACACCACAGCAGAACAAACACCACGCGCACGCATAACCCCCCCCACTTCCTCTTCAACACACGCCACAGGTCTTCGTGCAGAACCCCAGCTCGTACTGCATGCTTCCCGTGCCCTTCATGTGCTCGCTGCTCCTCCCACACTCGGCCACAAACCCTGACATCCCCCACCTCCTCGTCAGCACACCCCACAGCTCTCCCTACAGAACCCCAGCTCATACTGCACGCGCCCCGTGCCCTTCAAATACTTGGGGTTGTGCTCACACTCGCCCGCTCTCACACACGCAGCTGTGTTCATCTCCTGCCGGACACACTCACAAAAGCTGCACACACAACGCACCCTCAAGCACCCTCAAGCCCCCACTCAACTCAGCACACCCCACAGCTCTTCCGACAGAACCCCAGCTCATACTGCATGGTCCCCGTGCCCTTCATGTACTTGGGGTTGCGCTCACACTCGCCCGCTTGCGCCCAGTCAGGGCAATTAGCATCGTCGTCCTGACACACGTCAGGGTCGCGGAAGGGCGGGTCAAAGGAGTCGACGTGAATCCACTTGGTGGCGGACCACTTCTCGCCCGAGATGACTGGACAGCCCGAGTGGAGAGAGGCCGTGTCGAAGGAGCCGTCCGGATTCATGCTGAAGAAGAGCAGCGCGCTGCCCTTGATGGGCTTCACTGCTCGTTTGGGGGGAGGAGAGGGGGGAGCAGGGGAGCAGGGGAGCAGGGGAGCAGGGGAGGAGGGGAGGGAGCAGGGGAGCAGGGGAGGAGGGGGGAGCAGGGGAGCAGGGGAGGAGAGGGGGGAGCAGGGGAGCAGGGGAGAAGGGAAGAAGGGGAGAAGGGGAGGAGAGGCAGGCATGGAGCACAATTAGCAATGTCATCCTGGCACACATCAGTTGTATTTTGAGTCGACTCAAAGCACACATCAGTTGTATTTTGAGTCGACTCAGAGCACACATCAGGGTCACGGAAGGGCGGGTCAAAGGAGTGGATATGGATCCACTTGGTGGCGGACCACTTCTGCCCCGTGATGACTGGACAGCCCGAGTGCAGGGAGGCGGTATCAATCGACCGATCAGGATTCATGCTGTTGAGGAGGAGCGTACTGCCCTTGATGGGCTTCACTGCTTGCTTGGGGGGTGGAGATCACTGTTCACTGTTCTCTGTTCACTGCCCATGATCCCTGGGCAGCCGGAGTGCAGAGAGGCGGTATCTATCGATCAATCAATCAGGAGGCAAGCTGAAGAAGCGGAGAGTACTGCCCTTGATGGGCTTCACTGCAAGGGGGGCCGGGGGGTGGGGGGTGAAACGAGGTGACTTTTGAGTCAACTCAAAAGCCACTGGGTTGGTGCGTTGGGTTGGGTTGGGTGCGTGCTGAGTGTCCATGCAAGCAATCCTTGGATGACGCCCTGCCTTGCAACCCATCGCCTTCTCTCCCCCTCCCTCCCCTGCCCCGCCACGCCCCGCCATGCCCCACCATGCCATGCCACACCATGCCCCGCCATGCCATGCCACACCATGCCCCGCCATGCCATGCCATGCCATGCCATGCCATGCCATGCCATGCCATGCCATGCCATGCCCCGCCATCCCCTCCCCTGCCCTTCCCCGCCATGCCATGCCATGCCTTGCCATTCCCTGCCATCCCCTTCTCTGCCCTGCCATGTCCTTCCCTGCTCCTTCATGACATGCCATGATGCATACCCATCACAACCATCTACCATCTACCATCACAACCAGCTGATGCATACCAGCACCATCTACCATCACAACCAGCACCATCTACCATCACAACCAGCACCATCTACCATCACAATCAGCCCCATCTACCATCACAACCAGCACCATCTACCATCACAATCAGCCCCATCTACCATCACAACCAGCACCATCTACCATCACAACCAGCACCATCTACCATCACAACCAGCCCCATCTAACATCACAACCAGCACCATCTACCATCACAACCAGCACCATCTACCATCACAACCAGCCCCATCTACCATCACAACCAGCACCATCTACCATCACAACCAGCACCATCTACCATCACAACCAGCACCATCTACCATCACAACCAGCACCATATACCATCACAACCAGCACCAGCACCATCTACCATCAAAACCAGCACCATCTACCATGACAACCAGCACCATCACCATTCTGAGCACCATCTACCATCACCACTCTGCACACCTGCAATTCCCTGCTTGCCGCAGTCACTCCAGCTGTCATCCTTCTCTGTGCGATCCTCCTGGGGCAAACAAGAGGGCGGTAGGGGGGACGGGAGGGGTGGGGGTGGGGTACGGGGGGGCACAGTGGCGTATGACATGGTGCTCAAGGTTCACTGCTCGGTGCTCACTGCTCACTGCTCGCTGCTCGCTGCTCACTGCTCATTGCTCACTGCTCTGCTCACTGCTCGCTGCTCGCTGCTCACTGCTCACTGCTCACTGCTCGGAGTGATGATGCGCGTGGCTGGGAGGCAGCACCCACGTCCGTGAGGTACATGAGCACAGTGGCGGCATCCCAGAGTGTTGTGCAGAGCATACAGCGTGTTGTGCAGTGCAGTAGACAGTGTGTTGTGTTGGGCAGTGCAGTATACAGTGCAGCTCGTACCTTGGACTGGGGAAACACGGTTTCGCCGCCCTTCCCAACGTCCGTGAGGTACATGAGCACAGAGGCGTATTTGGTAGTGTGCATTCTCCAGTGCAGTGTACAGTGTGCACAACCTATCTCATACAGCGCAGCTCTCACCTCAGACTGCGGAAACACGGTCTCGCCGCCCTTCCCCACGTCCGTGAGGTACATGAGCACAGTGGCGTATCTAGGGCCGCCCGTCTGAGCCGTCTTATCGTCGTAGTAGTCCCAGTGCGCGCCGTACTTCTGCCCGTGCTGGTACTGCAGCACCTGCATCGCCTCCTGGTTGACTGGCAGCACGTGTGGTGTGGGTGTGGCGAAAGGGCCGAGGAAGGGATGTGATACGTGAGCACAGAGGCACAGAGGCACAGAGGCACAGAGGCACAGAGGCACAGAGGCACAGAGGCACAGAGGCACAGAGGCACAGAGGCACAGAGGCACAGAGGCACAGAGGCACAGAGGCACAGAGGCACAGAGGCACAGAGGCACAGAGGCACAGAGGCACAGAGGCACAGAGGCACAGAGGCACAGAGGCACAGAGGCACAGAGGCACAGAGGCACAGAGGCACAGAGGCACAGAGGCACAGAGGCACAGAGGCACAGAGGCACAGAGGCACAGAGGCACAGAGGCACAGAGGCACAGAGGCACAGAGGCACAGAGGCACAGAGGCACAGAGGCACAGAGGCACAGAGGCACAGAGGCACAGAGGCACAGAGGCACAGAGGCACAGAGGCACAGAGGCACAGAGGCACAGAGGCACAGAGGCACAGAGGCACAGAGGTACAGAGGCACAGAGGTACAGAGGCACAGAGGTACAGAGGCACAGAGGCACAGAGGCACAGAGGTACAGAGGTACAGAGGTACAGAGGCACAGAGGCACAGAGGCACAGAGGCACAGAGGCACAGAGGCACAGAGGCACAGAGGCACAGAGGCACAGAGGCACAGAGGCACAGAGGCACAGAGGCACAGAGGCACAGAGGCACAGAGGCACAGAGGCACAGAGGCACAGAGGCACAGAGGTACAGAGGCACAGAGGCACAGAGGCACAGAGGCACAGAGGCACAGAGGCACAGAGGCACAGAGGCACAGAGGCACAGAGGCACAGAGGCACAGAGGCACAGAGGCACAGAGGCACAGAGGCACAGAGGCACAGAGGCACAGAGGCACAGAGGTACAGAGGCACAGAGGCACAGAGGCACAGAGGCACAGAGGCACAGAGGCACAGAGGTACAGAGGCACAGAGGTACAGAGGCACAGAGGTACAGAGGTACAGAGGCACAGAGGCACAGAGGTACAGAGGCACAGAGGTACAGAGGTACAGAGGCACAGAGGTACAGAGGTACAGAGGCACAGAGGTGCGTTGCCTACCCAGGGGCAGGAAGGCCCAGTCGCCGATGCTCTTCTCTATGCGCTTGATGACGGGGTCCTTGCTGAAAGGGGAGAGACAGCACATGCCCATGCGCATGCCCGACCCCAGGCTATCATGTGGGGAATACGTACCCAGGGGCAGGAAGGTCCAGTCGGCGATGCGCTCCTCTATGCGCTTGATGACGGGGTCCTTGTACTTGTCAATGAAGCACCCGTTGCTCGTGCGGATCGTGTCAACCACGCTCTTACCCCCCTGCCCTACCACTGTGGACCGCTCCATAAGCGGGCGCGACTGTAGAGGGGAGGCGGAGGTGGGGGGGCGAGGGGGGACGGGTGAGAAGATGCAAGGAAAAGGGGCAGGATTGAAGAGAGGGATGGAGTGATGCATTCCATCCCTGCCTGACCTACCACTGTGTACTGTTCCATGAGGGGGCGCGACTGCAGAGGGAGGAGAGGGGAGAACAGCATGGGACAGGGAAGGCAGCAGAGAGTGAATGACTGATGCATCCCCTCCCAGCCAGCCCTACCACTGTGCGCTGTTCCACAAAGAGGCATGACGGCATGGGGGAAGAGGAGGGGGGAGGGGATGGGGAGAAACAAGGTAAGGGGTAGAAACCGCAGAGAGTGAGTGACTGATGCACTCCCCCCCTCCCTGTCGTCATAAGAGGGCGTGATTGCAGAGAGGGGGGGGGAAAATGAAAGGCAAGGAAACAACGAGTATTGGTGAGATGAGGAACATCGTACAAGCACGAGGGCACGTTCAACGGCAGAAACAGGGGGGGGGAGGGGACGGGTGGGGGGACGAATGGGGGGACAGGAGGGGGGACGGGGGGACGGGGACGGAAGAAGGGATGTGCAAAGGAGAGCACAAACCGCGTTGTCTGCATCGAATAAAAAAGAAAGGCAGAGATGCGTGAAGAATAGCAATGATCACTTGCGGGGGTGGGGGGAGGGGGAGAGGGGGAGAGGTGCTGGAGCCCCTGGTGGAGTACCTGTAGGCAGTTTAGCTATATATGCCTTGTACTCACCTGACTTGCTTGCCTAGCTGTACCCAGGTTTCAGAAATAGTCGGACCACTTGAGGGGGGGGGGGAAGGAAGGAGGTGTGACGCAGAGGAGCGAGGTGCAGATGGGATTTAGGGGAGAAGGGGAGGTGGGGTAGAGGAAGTGGTGCGGTAACAGGGCATTACCATGTTGACGATGTAATCACACTCCGCAGCAGAGAGGAAATTGGGGTAGAAGAAGGCTCTGGGGGGGGAGGGAGGAAGGGAGGGAGGGAGAGTGTGGAGAACAGACATACATATGACGAGGGAGGGGGGTGGGGAAAAGGGAGGGCAAGAGAAAACGTCGAATGCGTGGAAACCCTAGGAGGCGGCGAGATGGAAAGAGATCGTAAACTGGAATCAGACGACCGAATCTAGAGGTCCCCCTTCCTTCACCCCTCCCCTTCTCCCCAATCAGGTCCAGAACCACCAACATTCTGGTCTGGACTGTATTCACGAAGCACGACGCTACCTGCCCAGCTTCTGACCATCCCCACCCCACATCCATCCTCACATCCATCCTCACATCCATCCCCAATTTAGTTAGAATGCCTCCTTAGTTCGCCCGCGTGGGCTTCCATTCCATGAGATCTGCTTGCTTTGCGAGGGGCCCCGAGCGGAGTCAGGAGGGATGACGAGACCTGGTCAAGGCCAGACGAACCCCACATCCAACCCCGCATGCATCCCCACATCTAAACCCGCATGCATCCCCACATCCAACCCCGCATGCATCCCCACATCCAACCCCGCATGCATCCCCACATCCAACCCCGCATGCATCCCCACATCCAACCCCGCACGCATCCCCACATCCAACCCCGCATGCATCCCCACATCCAAACCCGCATGCATCCCCACATCCAACCCCGCATGCATCCCCACATCCAACCCCGCATGCATCCCCACATCCAACCCCGCATGCATCCCCACATCCAACCCCACATGCATCCCCACATCCAACCCCACATCCAACCCCACATCCATCCCCACACCCATCCCCACATCCATCCCCACATCCATCCCCACATCCATCCCCACACTCATCCCCACACCCATCCCCACATCCAACCCTACATCCAACCCCACATCAACCCCACATCCATCCCCACATCCATCCCCACATCCAACCCCACATCAACCCCACATCCATCCCCACATCCATCCCCACATGCATCCCCACTTCCATCCCCACATCCAACCCCACATGTAACCCCACATCCATCCCCACATCCATCCTCACATCCATCCCCACCCCGTAAGAAAGCCTCCGAGATCCACCTGGCTTCCATGAGAGCTGCTTGATACGCGAGGGGTCCGGAGTGTACCTAGGATGGATGGTGAGACCTGCTCGCTCAGGGCCAAACCATCCCCGCATCCATCCCCACATGCCCACCGCAGTAAAATGCCTCCGAGACCCACCTGGGCTTCCATGAGAGCTGCTTGATTCGCGAGGGGTCCGGAATGTAAGTCGGAGGGACGTTGAGACCCGCCGCTGACAAGGTGCTGCAGGGGGTGACACGTGTCACAAGGATGGGTTGCGAGGTCATGACACGTGTTAGAAGGATGGGTTGCGAGGACGTGACACGTGTTACAAGGGTGGGTTGCAAGGACACGACAGTCGAAAGCGGACACATGCTTCTCGCATCATGCAAGCGGTTTCGTGCATCCCGTCGAAGCCGCGACCGCGAGAACTCAGCAGGGGCGGTCAGGCGAGGGTGGAAAGAGAGACAGACCAACTTGGTACGAAGAGTGAAGGTTGACACGTCAAAGGTATCACAAATGCGATCACCGTGGTGACTAAGGTATCGCATCAGGCCGTCTAGCGTAGCCATAACGAGGAAACAGTGTAGGAAAAATGTGTCGCAGATTGTCTTAACCTAACTGCGGATTCTGTAGAACCTTACCCGGTTTGCGATTCTCCGGTTGATAGAGCGGAAGACGAGGAAGCAGCCGCGAGGAAAAATAGAATAAGAAAAACCAACACCGGATTTCCCGTCCGCATTGTAGCGTAGGTTCTGTCTGTCCTGGACCAGAGGAGGATTATATTCATAGGTTCTAATGCTGCGATGCCAAGCATGGGAGAGGCTTGATACAATTCTTGCCTGCGCGGATAGTTGAGACGAGCGGAAACGAGCGGGACTACTGATCAGAGGGTGCTATGCATGGTCAAATTCTAGTCAGAATGTGCTGCGTGGTCAGCCATGGCTAGCAACCGAAAATGGACAATGCTAGAATCCGAGAACTGGGAGACAGTACATGGAGCTGAGCTGGAAAATGTGAACGATGAATTATGGAAATCCCAGGGGCTGGAGAAGTTCTGGCGGAGCCTGTAACTTTCTCCAGCAGTTCGCGGAGCTTCTGGCGACTGCCGCGAACTCGATCCTCACTGGCCCGATTCATTCGGCAGAGTAGATTTTAACCAATAAGCGTGGCTTTCTCGCATCAGCAGAGATTCTAGGAATATAACATTTTCTTCGCGGCATGGTAACAGAGCGTCGACGAAATCTCGCAAGTGCCAGTTCCTCAGTCCTTTTTCCGATTCCCATACACTCGTTTGCTTTCGGAAATACCAGTTTCCCACACCAGTTCCACAAATCCCACGCCATCCCAAGTGCTCGTATTGCTCCAATCCCTACTCAACCGTTCTGTGTTCAAAAACCACCACTTTAGAGCGCAAAGCAACTCGCTAGACCACATTCAGACGTACGTTTGGGCACCCCCATTCCCAGGGAGACCAATTTATTCTCAATTCAGCTGACATTTCTCCCTCATTTTTCTGTGTCAGCATCTACGACCCCTTCACATGTGGTTTTCCTAGCCACATCCCCTTCAGTAGAACAAACATACTGCTCTAACTTTCTGAGGTGCTGACTAAATTTTGCAGCACTACTGTTTTCGTTATGGAAGCCACGCGTTTATGGCTGCTCGCCGCCGTTATTTGCGGAGCATGGCTGTGTCTCTGCTCGTGTCAGGAGGAGTCTGATGCATACCCTGGCTGGCAAGCAAACAAGTGAGAATCGGATCCTCGAGTTTTTCTCTTTAGAGGAACTAATTACTAGGCGGCTCGTAGGTCTCCTTACGACAGCGGCTGCAGTAATTTTGAACTCTCCTCTTGAGATTTCAACACGCGTTTCGGTGATCAATCTGATCCAGCTGATGACGTCTATCCAGCTGTTATTTACCCCTTTCCGTCTCGTATTCCGTTTCGTTCCGTCATGATCCGTCAAACAGGTTCGGAGTGGCGGGGATCAATCCTGCAGTCGCCGAAGGCAACCTCACAGAACCGCGAGTCACCGTTCTGGCGTGGAAACCAAGGTAAGAAGCGGGAGAGCCTCTATCTATATTAAAATCCAAAATTGTCCTACTTTTCTAAAAAAGTATGCGTGCCTGCCAGGCGCTCCCCGATTTTATTAGAGCTGACTCGTTTGGTCGTCTAGCCTTTATCCCTGTCGATTCTCCTCTCGCGCTTCCTTTTTTCTCACTCGTGATCCTCACCGCGTTGTCAAGCGTCAAAACATCCATCTCCTTTCCTCCCCAACTTTTTATCCGTTCCGTTGTTTGACGAGCACCACCAGGGCGTTTCTCTACCACAACTTCCTGACGCCAGAAGAATGCGACCACATCATCGCGCTGGTGAGAGACTCACTGTCAGCCCATCGAGTCTCACTGTCAGCCCATCGTTCCGTGCTCTCGATTTCCGTCACATGTCTGCCATCTTACCTCATATCCCACCAGCCCACCCGCCCATCACTGCCACCTTCTGCGCCCATCACTGCCACCTTCTGCGCCCATCATTGCCTCCTTCTGCGCCCATCATTGCCGCCTTCTGCACCCATCATTGCCGCCTTCTGCGCCCATCATTGCCGCCTTCTGCGCCCATCATTGCCGCCTTCTGCGACCATCACTGCCACCTTCTGCGCCCATCACTGCCGCCTTCCGCCTGTTTCTTCCTCACCTTCCATGCTCCCAACTTCGCCCCTTCCCTCCTTCCCCTCCCCTCCCCCCCACTCCCCGGCCCCCCACTGCCACAGGACCCTGGCCTCACACCCCTCCCCTGACCACACCACCCTGTCACACCCTCGTTGACCCCATCCCACACCTTACCATCAGGCTCGGCCGTGCCTGGAGCGGTCGGAGGTGGTGGCTTAACTGCGACCTTACAACCACAACCCCACCCCTTTCCCCCCCTCTTCCCCCCCCCCCCCCCCCCCCCTTTTTTGAATCGTGCCTGACCGTGACTCGCGGGTACCATACCTCTCCTCCAGGCTCGGCCGCGCCTGGAGCGGTCGGAGGTGGTGGCTCGGGAGGGCGAGGGTACGAACGTGGATGACGTGCGCACGAGCTTTGGGACGTTTCTGGACTACCAGCAGGTGGGATGATGGGGTGATGGGGTGATGTGGTGATGGGGTGATGGGGTGATGAGGTGATGTGGTGATGGGGTGGTGGGGTGGTGGGGTATGGAAAGGGGAAGTGGGTTGCTGGGGCCTGGGCTATGGGAAGGGGATAAGTTTTCTAATAGACTCAATCACATGACGTGCGCATGAGCTTTGGGACGTTCCTGGACTACCAGCAGGTGGGTGATGGGGTGGTGGGTTGGTGGATTGATGGGGTGATGGTGTATGGGACGTGGGGTGATGGTGTATGGGAAGTGGGGTGATGGTGTATGGGAAGGGGGTGATGGGACAGGGGAAAGAGGAAGTGCACTGAGTTGGCTTGGGACGGCCAGTGCACGGACGTACATGACCCGATGACCTTCCCAGCCTTCCCAGGCTTCCCAGGCTTCCCAGCCTTCCCAGGCTTCCCAGCCTTCCCAGCCTTCCCAGGCTTCCCAGCCTTCCCAGCCTTCCCAGCCTTCCCAGGCTTCCCAGGCTTCCCAGCCTTCCCAGCCTTCCCAGGCTTCCCAGGCTTCCCAGCCTTCCCAGCCTTCCCAGGCTTCCCAGCCTTCCCAGCCTTCCCAGCCTTCCCAGGCTTCCCAGGCTTCCCAGGCTTCCCAGCCTTCCCAGGCTTCCCAGCCTTCCCAGGCTTCCCAGCCTTCCCAGCCTTCCCAGCCTTCCCAGCCTTCCCAGCCTTCCCAGCCTTCCCAGCCTTCCCAGCCTTCCCAGCCTTCCCAGCCTTCCCAGCCCTCCTAGTGTTCTCTCATTCCGTCCCCATTATTCCCCTCTTTTTCCTACCACCTCCCCATTTCCATTGGTCCACCGCGTGGCTGAATGGCTGCTTGGCTACGTGGCTGAATGGCTGCTTGGCTACGTGGCTGAATGGCTGCTTGGCTACGTGGCTGAATGGCTGCTTGGCTGCATGGCGGCATGGCTGCATCAAATGCACATCAGGATGACGTCATCAAGGCCATTGAGCAGCGCATTGCCACCTGGACCTTCCTCCCTGTCGGTGAGTTGACCTTTCCCCCCCTGTGTGAGTTGCCCTTTCCCCCCCTGTGTGAGTTGCCCTTTCCCCCCCAGTGTGAGTTGCCCTTTCCCCCCCTGTGTGAGTTGCCCTTCCCCCCCTGTGTGAGTTGCCCTTTCCCCCCCTGTATGAGTTGCCCTTTCCCCCCCTGTGTGAGTTGCCCTTTCCCCCCCTGTGTGAGTTGCCCTTTCCCCCCTTGTGTGAGTTGCCCTTTCCCCCCCTGTGTGAGTTGCCCTTTCCCCCCCTGTGTGAGTTGCCCTTTCCCCCTCTGTGTGAGTTGCCCTTTCCCCCTCTGTGTGAGTTGCCGTGTGAGTTGCCCTTTCCTTCTTTATGAGTATTGTCCCGGCTGATATGTGTAATTTCCCAACTGTTATCGGTAATTTCAGGTGCTGCGGTACCAGGAGGGGCAGAAGTACGAGGCTCACCACGACTTCTTTGCGAAGGATGCAATGCAGTGCGGTGCGATACCTTGTTTTGAACCTCATCTCCCTCTCCTTCCCCCCCTCCCCCCCTTCTACACAGAGAGCCAGGAGGCCATGCAGGTGCTGTGGTACCCAGAGGGGCAGAAGTAGGTGGCACACCACGACTTCTTTGAGAAGGATGCAGTGGAGTGCGGTGCAGGGGGGCTGATACGGCACCTTATTCCGCTCCTCTATCCCTCTCTTCTGCCTCTGGCAGAGAACCAGGAGGCCATGCAAGTGCTGCGTTATCAGGAGGGGCAGAAGTACGAGGCACACCACGACTTCTTTGAGAAGGAGGGGCAGCAAGGGGGGCACCGCTACGCCACGGTGCTCATGTACCTCACCGAGGGCATGATGGGCGGTGAAACCGTGTTTCCGGATTCTAAGGTAAGGGGGGGGAGAGAGCGTGCGTTGATGTGTTTGCAAGGGTGCAGGGACAGCAGCATGCCACGGCTACTCCACGGTGCTCATGTACCTCACAGAGGGCATGATGGGTGGCGAGACCGTGTTTCCGGATTCTAAGGTGTGTTAGGCGCTTCTGTGTGCAAGAGCTGTCACTGAAGGTGCATGCGAGGGTGTATGCAGAAGGCCTAGGTCTTCGAGCAGCAGCAGCAGCAGCAGCAGCAGGGCAGCCACCGCTACGCCCCGATGCTCATGTACCTCACAGAGGGGATGATGGGCGGCGAGACCGTATTTCCAGATGCTAATGTGTGTTTTCCAGATTGCTGTCCGCAAGTGGAGTGGGTGAGAGGGTGTTTAAGTAGCAGCAGTAGGGGGGCCACCGCTACACCACTGTGCTCATGTACCACACAGAGGGCATGGTGGGGGGGGGGACTGTCTTCCCAGATGCTAAGTAGTGTTCTTCCAGATTGTTGTCCGCAGGAGGAGAGGACGTGAGGGTTTGTGTAGGGAGGTTGAGAGCTGGGAGTAGAGTAGCAGCAGCAGGGGGGCCACCGCTATGCCCCTATGCTCTGCTCATGTGGCGCACAGACAGAGGGCATGGTGGGGGGAAGACTGTGTTTCCAGATGCTAAGGTGTGTATGGTTGTGTGGATATTGGAGGTGTGAGAGGAAAGAGTGCAGGGAAGTCGAGGCTGTAAGTAGCAGCAGCAGGGGGGCCACCGCTACGCCCCTGTGCTCAGCTCATGTGCCGCACAGACACAGGGCATGTGGGCACAGACACAGGGCACAGACACAGGGCACAGACACAGGGCACAGACACAGGGCACAGACACAGGGCACAGACACAGGGCACAGACACAGGGCACAGACACAGGGCACAGACACAGGGCACAGACACAGGGCACAGACACAGGGCACAGACACAGGGCACAGACACAGGGCACAGACACAGGGCACAGACACAGGGCACAGACACAGGGCACAGACACAGGGCACAGACACAGGGCACAGACACAGGGCACAGACACAGGGCACAGACACAGGGCACAGACACAGGGCACAGACACAGGGCACAGACACAGGGCACAGACACAGGGCACAGACACAGGGCACAGACACAGGGCACAGACACAGGGCACAGACACAGGGCACAGACACAGGGCACAGACACAGGGCACAGACACAGGCACAGACACAGGGCACAGACACAGGGCACAGACACAGGGCACAGACAAGGAAAAAAAAAAAAAAAAAAAAAAAAAAAAAAAAAAAAAAAAAAAAAAAAAAAAAAAAAAAAAAAAAAAAAAAAAAAAAAAAAAAGCACAGACACAGGGCATAGTCGGTTGTCAGATGGTGAGTGTGCACAGGTAGGATGTGTGAGGAGTCTTTTTTTGAGGCACATAGAGGGCATGATGGGGGGAGAGACTGTGTTTCCAGATGCTAAGGTGTGCGCAGGAAGGGCGTGTGCAGAGTCTATTTTTGAGGCGCCTAAATATGGACCGCACAGAGGGCATGGTGGGGGTTGAGACTGCGTTTCCAGATTCTAAAGTGTGCGCAGGAAGGGAGTGTGAGAGGGGGGCGCAATGGGGTCACATAGTTGGGGTGGGAGCACCTTGTTGCTGCAACTCCACCTATCTCCCGACCTACACCCCCCCTCCCCACCTTCTCCCTCCCCCCCCCCACATCTTGTCCCCTCATTCTCCACTTCCCCCCCCCTCCCTCCAGCAGGGCACTGTTGAGAAGGATGACACCTGGTTGGAGTGCGGCAATGAGACAAAGGGAGTGGCAGAGGTGACTGGAGAGTCGACTCAACCGCTGCTCTTGCTTTTCTTCCCGCCTCTCCACCTTAACCCCCGTCAGGACACTGTTGAAAAAGATGACACCTGGTCAGAGTGCGGCAAGCAGGGCGTGGCAGCGAAGCCGTTAAAGGGCGATGCCCTTCTCTTCTTCTCCCTCACTCCGTCTGCCGAACCCGACCTCAAATCTCTTCACGCGGGCTGCCCGGTAATTTCCGGCGAAAAATGGTCTGCCACAAAATGGATCCATGTGGGTGCTTTCTACACCCCGTCTGGAGCCCCGGCGATATCTCCCCCTTCGGACGGGGCTTGTGAGGACAAGGCTCAGCACTGCGTGCATTGGTCGAATCAGGGCGAATGTGCGAAGAACCAGGAGTACATGCATGCTAATTGTGCCAAGACATGCGGTCTGTGCGCGTTATGAAAACATGTGAGGCATCGAATGTCCCTATTTGGAGCACTGATGAAGTGTTGTGTACACTTCAAAACGTGATGGTCGTGATTAGTGCACTGTATACAGTGCAATACTGTAGTACTAGTACAGCTTGCATCGTGCGAGGAAATTTACATTCCTTAGCGAGCTACACCATTGCCGCATACATACACCGACAACCGCCCTAGCTTCGGTCCGAACACGTCGCACCAAACCATTCCGCGTCACTCTGGAGCGCTCCGCGTCCTCGGATGCCTTCTCCGAACCTGATCAATGACGCTAATAGTATGATTGCTCTGGTGTTCCTATATCTTGCTTTGTCATTCCATTGTACCACATTCTGTTATTTGAACCTCAACATTCGATTCCACACTATTCTGGTTAAACACTCATAACATCTGGTATTCATATTTTCTTTCCTTACCTGAGCTGCAAAGCGGTCGGCCGGGAATTAGACGAATTAATTCGCTGGACTACGATAGCGTTTGCGCTCTTACATGAGCCCGGGTAATCACGGATATTCCCCTGCCCACCCGGCGTAGTGCTGCCACATTGACCAGGCATAGTTTGACGAGTTGTTGGCTAAATTCGCCGCCACGGACGCTCGCCTGCAAGCCGTGTTAAACGACAACGAGAAGCTTCGCGCCGAAGTTACCGAACTTTGCCAGACGCCTGAGAATACGCGCTAGAAGTCACCCGCCTCCGAGGATGCGCCCAGCACTAGACGTGTCGAATCAGTATTGGATGAAATCGCATGCGAAGTTTCGCAGGAGCGCCATGATGATGAAGCTGAAGCAGCAACGAATGCCGCTGCACATGCCACGGCAGTTGCAGCAGCTGCGACAACGGCCTCCACCCTCTCCGCGTTATCATTCCAGGCATTGTGCGACCAAATCACCGACCTATTAGAAGTTGAGAAAAGGAACCGGTTCATCATTAGACTCATTCCTACGTTTGCTAGGAAGTGCGGATGCGACGCGTTCCAAGAAGTCGTGGAAATCGCCGACATGTATGACGAGAAAATAAAATAAAAAAAGTTGCGAGATCGGGTTCCCAGGAGGGAAATCATTTTCGTGGCCAGGATCAACAGCCCTCGATCAACGTCATAGTGGCGAACGACGAGGATCGCAAGAAGCGACAGCGTTTTCACTGCCACCAGCCGGGTCACCGATATGCAACTGCCCTGACTGGAAGCAGAGGGAAAACAACGATGGGGGTAAGCCGAGAAACGATTCTCGTCAGTAGCAAACAAGCCCCCTACTGACAGGGCTGCATCGCCCGAGAAACAGCATCTCCACTGGGTAGTGGTACCGGTACATGCTGTCGACCGCTCTCGGACGAATAACGGGGAGGAACTTGTGGATCACACTGTGCTGGTAAAAGGACGGGTTAACGGCAAAAAAAATAAAAAAATCTTCATCGACAGTGGCGTGAGCCACAACCTGATTCATCGACCGACGGCTAAAACAATAAACTTACCCTTCGAGCGGTTTCTGCCCGAAATCGATGTCCGATTGGTTGACAGCACCTCGCTGGTGATACGCGATCGCGTGCGAACTGATTGCATGAAGTGTGGTGACAATTTCGGTTTCGCGCGCCGATGCTCGCGACAACACTCGACGGCTACGATATGTTGCTAGGACGAGATTGGCTTCGACGACACAATCCGCAGATCGATTGGACGACAGGCGACTGCAAAATGAAGTGTGCGAATGTTCGGCAGACACTTCCATGCTGGCGAGGAGTAGAGCCGATAACGACACACATCAATGCCATCACGCTGACACACGCGGCCAAGAAAGGTGCGGACGTGTACCCTGTCCATCTGATGGAATCGACGGACGACAAGCAACCGGCCGACATCGACAAACTCAGCGCAGCAGTCCCTGAAGATTTGGCAAAAAAGCGGGAACGAAACGAATTTGGGTTCCGAGTTATCGTCCACTTCGCGAATTTCTAATTCAAGAAGTTCACGATTCAAACGTATCAGGACATTTCGGGGTTTACAAGACTCTGAAGGCACCGCAGCGGTTTTATAACTAACTGGACATGATTTTGGACGTGCAAAAGTACGTGGGCGCGTGTCCGACCTACCAGACGAGGCAATGATCACGCAACAGTCAGCAAGACTGTTGCAGCCCCTCGAGCCACCCCAACGACCTTGGCAACATGTGACAATGGATTTTGTCACCGGCCTGCCGGTCGGACCAAGTGGTAATAATGCGGTTCTTGCTGTCGTTGACCGCCTCACGAAAATGGCCCACTTCGCGTCATGTTGCACGACGATCACAGTCGAAGAAACCGCTCGTTTGTTCATCTCGACCGTCGTTCGCCTGCATGGTATCCCTATGGCGTTCATGGGTGACAATGATCCGAAATTCACCTCGCACTTCTGGCAAGACACGTGGAAGCGATACGGCACCCGCCTACAATTCTCATCCGCCTATCAACTGCAAACTGACGGACAGACAGAACGGACAAATCAGACCATGGAACAGTTGATTCGCACGAACTGCCCAGATATCCGCGAGTGGGAAGATTCGCTACGCATGCTCGAGTTTTCCTACAACCACGCACCCTCCGCTGCGACCAATCATTCACCCTTCTTCCTTAATTATGGGATGCATCTGATCGTTCCCATTTTCACCAACGTTGAAAGTCAAGTCCCCCGCTCGCAGCAGTTCGTCGACGACCTTCAAACCGCCCGCACGAAAGCCATCGAGTTTATTCGAAAAGCCAATGTCACTGCCCGCCAATATGCCGACCACCACGGTCGAGATATTACTATAACCGCAGGAAAACTAATACTTCTCGACACAAAAAACCTTCGCCTGCAAATTCCGCCAAAACTCCGACCCCGCTCCTGTGGGCCATTCAAAATCATCAAGATGATAACGCACGTGACCGCCCAACTCCGCCTGCCTGACGATTGGAAGATTTATAATTCATTCCATGCCAGCCTCCTTCGTCATTTTGTCGCCGGCACAGCGAACGTCACTCGACAAAAGGGTTCTCTTTTGGAAAAAAACGTGTCTGAGGAATCAAACAAGTTTTGCGCACTTTGTCTAATGCATTTTTCACTATCAAGAAGTATGAAAAAGTGGTCTGCTTTTCCAGAGAATTCTAGAACGAATGTCCGAAATTTCAGAGAAACGTATTTGCATAGTCTGTTTGTATGAGATGTCGAGACTTGCAGCACTTTGATTAATTAGCGGTTGCGGGTTACAAACGAGCAAAATCGCTAAGTGTCCGATCGCAGAGGGTTGTGACTGGTCTGCTTTGCAGCAAAACCGCTAAGTGTCCAATCACAGGTGCTCTAACCACATCACATGTTGCCAAAGAAGTCTCGGAACCGCTCACGTCACGCGTGATGACAATGCAAAGGACGTCGAGGGGGGAGCGATATGTGGCGGCGCGAAACAGTGAAGACTTGCGTGAGAGCCGATACACATGTATGTCTCTGTTTAAACAAAATTCAATTCACTTGTCTAAAAATCAGAGAAACTGGTACACATAGTTTGAGAAATTCAGAGAAATATTAAAAGCTTGTCTAGGCCAATCAGAGTTTTTTCAAACCGTTGTCTGAAAAAATCAGAGAAACCCCAAGAAATCAGCCTAAAAATCATACAATTAGAAAAAAAGTATGTTATTTAGGACCCTGCTCGACAGCCGATCGCTTGGGATCTACGGCTAGCTGAGGAGACGCTCATCGAACCATACAAAATCATGAGCCATCGCGTAAGAATCAACAGCCAGGAATGGCACGTTGGCTTTCTGATACCATGGACTAATCATACCAGTGAGGGCGACACCTGGGTTCCCTCGGTCGCCTACTAGTCGCCTACTGTACTTCGGGATTATTTACCCCGCAAGCATGTCGCAAATATAGACCACATTCGCTATAGGGGGGGGGGGTAGTGTAAGGAATTTTCCATTCCTTAGCGAGCTACACTGCTACCGCGTACATCGACCCCACACGTCACCGACAGCCCGCCCTAGCTTCGGTCCGAACACGTCGCACCGAATCATTCCGCGTCACTCCGTAGCGCTCCGCGTCCTCGGATGCCTTCTCCGAACCTGTTCAATTACGCGGATAGGATTGCTCTGGTGTTCCTATAACTTGTTTCGTCATTCCATTGTACCACATTCTGTTATTCTGAACCTCGACGTTCGATTCCGCACTACTCTGGTTAAACACTCATAACACATCGCTTCCATGTGCAACGTACACATGCCCACCATGTGTTGTACAGTACTGTACTACACTGTACAAGTCATATGCGATTGGTGCAAAGACTACTAGTACAAATTTTTCGCAGGTGCAATTATTCCGTAGGTGCAACACCCAAGTACGCAACCCGACGAATGGAAACAGTCGCAGTCACCATGCGAATTTTTTTCATGTCCACTTGTAGAAATCCCGCACTCTACGTCAATGCGCTCTTCAGTGGTCGACGACCAGTCGCGATAATAAATGTGTCAGAAACGCCAACAAGGATTACCGTTAGCCAATCGATACACGCCATCTGCGATGATGGAAGCACGTGGAGTTCCGCTAGGTAGTCATCCTCGTCGGCATGTGTTGTAGTTTCGAAATGGTGTTGTGTAAAAAAATGTTTTTGCGTTGTTCTTTGTTGTTTCCACCTTCGTAGAGTTTCGAGTCTGCCTGTGGTCGAATCAAGTGACGGATGCGAACACCTCGCGGCATGCCTACGTGTACCCTGTCGCAGCTAACGACAGCATCCCCGCCCTTGCCAGCTACGCATACGACAACACTCCTACTTTCTTGGAAATGCTACAAGCAAATTTGCCCGGGGCGTACCGCCCTATGCGCTAAGTGCCTCATCCCAACATTCTAGGAGTTGTCAACACGGGCATACGACCGGTATTGTGGGCATCCGTGGGTTTTGGACACTCCCTCAGTTCAGAATTGTACAGTTTTGAACGAATGTGGAATTTCGCTGTTGGGCAGCAATGAAAACTCTTGTGCTGGTGGTTGGACCCACAGAGGGGTGGGGGCAAGGGCTTCGAGGGTCAAGCGCGGCAGCGGCAGGGCTCACACGCCTACAGCAGAACGGTATCGTGTGCCCGAGCTGATGATGATGCAATTTCTTTATTTTACACCTTCGGATACAGCCAGTTCGGGGGAGTCGGGGCAGGGCTTACCTCTGGGTTTTTGCCTACACGTCAGATCCGGGTTCTGCTCCCGCGTGACCCGGACAGCAAGGGTATTCGTTAAGACTCACCCGTTAGAATCCAGGTATGTAAAAAACTGACATGTCAGATTTCGGGTAATGTTTCGTAATGTTGAAATGAACGGTTTTTACGTGAATAGGTCTTATTGAAAGAGTTTTTTTTAAAAAAAACCAAGAGTTCAGCACGAAAGCACAGATCACATACACACCTGATTTCCTTGCTATGCCGCCTATCTTTCAGCGTGTGCTCAAACTCAAGGGCGAACATGGGCATATCGCTCAAACACACAGAATCGGAGACACCTGTTCAAGCACAAAAACTTGGGGGAATAGACATAGCTGAGAGCGAGCATGAACGATTTTCAATCTGTAATGCCTAAGGACGAGAAGCAGAACTTGTACTTGACACAACTCACCTGGAAGCTTGTTCTTGAACAGCGACCACGACTCTCCTTCAGAGGGGGATTTTTTTTTGGGGAGGGGGGTGGGGGGTGGGGGTGGGGGGGGGGGCTGGTTTCGCTAGTGCTAGTACTCGGGTTTTCGAAAAGCGTACCCGTCTAGTCCGTGTACTTCGCAAACATTACACTCCAGTTCACGGGTCCAAGTCAAAAGACATCCGTCAGAATCAGGGGCTGGCTGACTGATTGGAAAAAAACCACCCGTTATTTAGCCACAATCAGGACATCTACCCGACAAAAATAAGCCTGAATCGGGGCCAAAACAATATCCTCCACGCCTTTGAGCTTCGACTCTGGAAGCGTCTTTGCGGAGTTTGAGGGAAAATGGCTGGCCCGGATTTCCCGCTGCAATGGTGGCATTGCTGCTCTTCCGTCCCTGCATGCACGGGGGACCCGCGGAACCGATCTGTGGCATGCTGCTGCTGGGCTGATCTTTATTGGAGCTCACAAGCCTTGGGCGGAGGGAAACCGCCGCAACAAGCCAGCCTGTTTGCTTGCTTGAAGGAGCGGTCATTTGAAACCATCAAGATAACGTTGTCAACGAATCAGCGAAGGCTATCGTACAGTACAAAACTTCTGAGAGCGAATTCTGAAGCTCGGGTCTGACCTGAGGCTGACCCGCGGTAGAAGGAGCCGCGGGGTTTAGGGCTCAACCTTGGGTCTAGTGACTTTGACGGTCGCGCGCCTACAGAGGTGCAGAAAGTCGCAAAACGAGTTGACTATGTACAGAACACCGCACAGAGTTGTCGCAAAGCGAATTGGGAGGTGTACATTGGCGGGCGATACACTTGCCGCACTTCTATTCCGGTAGGTTTGTATGCGAACGGTGTGTTTCCAGTCAAACAGCCGTAAGACCCGAGGCGATTTTTTTCCACCTCGGGTATTCCCGTGTGATACGAGCTCCAGAATCTACCCTGACTACGGAACGGATGCATCAGGGTCCACTACAGATCATATTCGAACATCGCTAACTCCGTTAAGCATCTTTTAGCACATTAAGCGAATATTTGGCCCGTGGTTTGCCATCGATTCTCGGATACTTGCGCGTATTTACTCTGCAGAAAGCAGCTAAAAACTCCCGGGACCAAAAACTTAGGATTGATCCGGATGGTAATTTGCGCCTGGACCAAAAACTAAGGCTTCGATCTGGGGGGTTTTAAGACTCATGCATAATATCGTGACATTATGGGTAATTAGGCAACTAGTGTACTTGTTAGCCACAGCCATGTTTTGCCAAGGACTACAGAACTCAATCAGGGTGTAGCTGGTTCGTGCATGGGATTTGAGATCCACTGACACATGAATCGCCAAATCCAACCACAGTCACTGTATTTTGGCAGCCCAAGTTCCCCTGGCTGTGCGTACGGCTCTCTTTCGCCACTTGTCACCCTCATTCACACACCATTGTTCTCGCTCGACTCCTGTCTAGTGCCCTGCCCCCCTGCCCCATTTCCCCCATTTCTCATCTCTCTTGCCCCATTAATCTCGCTGGTTTGGCGACAAACCAAAGTTGTCCCAAACCACGCCACCACAACCCTTGCTGAACCCGAACGGACCAGACCGAGCCCCCAACTGTAGGCACAGTTCTGTAACCTGTCCAACCAAGCCTAGAGCTCCCGTCAGCTCTCCTCCACTCCACGTCCGTCACCTCCCGTGCTGACGTGGGTCCTGGGGGCATTGTTTTCATGTGTATCGCACAGTGAAAGACTGGAGGGGCCCTTTCATTCTTGCTGAGCCTGCAAGCCGATCTTCACGAGCTAGAAATTCTCGTCTTCCTGTTCCACCCCCAAAAGAAATTGCAGAGGAAAGTATTGGACCACAACATTCGTCAAGCATTTGCGAACGCCCGCCCCCGACCAACGAAACTGACCTTTCAATTTGTCTTGTCATCGTGGTCAACAATAAGACCACCCATTTCCGTCCGACCAAACCGACCAATCCTTGCTAGCCAGTCCTGGTATTTCCCGCCAGCCCCCCCCCCTCCCTCCAAGGGATTGGCCTGGGCACCCTGCCGCAAGGGTTGCCCTGCTTGACCCACTTCGATCCAACGGCAGCGACTTGGTCCAACCGTTCACTTGCTTCCGCCCATTCGCTTGCTTCCGTCCGTGACTCCTCTGCATTTCGTATGATCGCCGACAAGATAGGGCCCTTCTTCAATACAGTAGCAATTGAAGTGGCAATGCGGGAGCTTCCTCCGCGATTATTACACCGATCTCTCACACTCAATCCCGTCCACTTGACTCACTCACACAATTCCGAGCGCAAAAACAGACCCACTGCTAACTGAGGCGCAACGCTCCTAACTTTGGTCGAATTAGTCGCCACGCGGCTATACTACGTGCTGAATGGCTGCAGCGAGGCCGCAGGAATTTACACCGCCGGAATCGAACTACTGCTTAGCTTCATCAAAGGTCCATGAAATACTATCAACCATGCGAGAAGATGTCACATCGTTGCTTTCGCTCGACACCCCCTCCGTCCCAATTCCTAATAAGACGCCATTTCCGCAGCCGCGGCTCGAAGCCCTTCAGCCGGCCAATTTCCCCGAAGCTCTGAATTATCTCGTCATGGCTGTCGAGGCGCGGCTCCGCCAACCGCGCACGATCGACAAGTTAGATAATTGTCGCGTTCCAGGCGCGGGACGACTTCCGCTTTCCGCCACTTGTCACGGCCCCCACGCCGCGGAGTTACGAATCGGCATGAAAAGGCAGCGCGACGCGGCAGAGGAGCCGCAGAAAGAGCCCGAAGGCCGCAATCTCCTCAAGAAAGAATCCCTAGTGAAAGCCGAGGCAGGAGTTTCGGCCGCTGATGGCGCCGCAAAAGCCGCAGAACCCGTTCCCTTACCTGCAGCGTCGCGCCGGCCTTTGTCGATCAATCCACCCGCGTCGCCAGCTGCGACGCCGGCAGTCCCCGCCCGTGAGCAAGCGGATACCAGTCCCCGCCACTTCCCGCCTCGGCGGGCGGACTCCGCGGACGGGGAGTCCCTAGCGCGTTGCGCCCTTGTCAATGCTTGCGCCGCCCCCATCGCGACGATCGGCCCGGGGGCGGGGGCGCCTCCCGCGACGGAGGCGCGGCATCACAACCCGCCGCACGCGTCAGTTGCGGCGGAAATAATGCGAGAGGCGGGTGTCCGAGCCGCGGAAGTGAGAGTTGTGCGCGGAGGCGCGGTGGTGGTGCGGTTCGGGTCGGAGTCCGGCACGATCAGCTCGCGAGGCTTAAGCGAATGGTCCTTGGAGCATCCCGCGGGTGCGCGGGAAGGCGGAGGGTTAGCCGCGGACTTTCCGCGCGCAGGCGAGTCCGCTAGCGCTGCACTCCGCGCTGGCGCGTTTCCTGCGCTCGACTGCTGCTGCTGCTGCTGCGCGCGGGAAGCGTGCTGGGGGAGCCGGGGAAGAAGCGCCCGAGGATGAGACGTCCGCCTGCCCCCGCGCACAGCGAGAGCGGAAGCAACTTCGGCGCTGGCGATCCCCCCACTCGCTCGACGCGGACGACGGTGAAGGTTGCTGCGGCGGAGAAATCCGCGGAGAAAGCTGCGGTCGCAGGTGCTACCAGCGCATTGGGCGGAGGAGAGAGGTCGCGGAAGCGGGGGAAGCTTGGGGCTGAGGGGAGATCTGGCGGTGGTAGTAGTGGTGACACCGGCATTGACGAGGTTGATGTCCAAGTGGTGCAGTCTGCTAGGGCTCTGCCAGTCGTGCAGTCCGCTAGGGCTCTGGGTTACGTTGGGGAGCAGGGAGTAACTACTACTCCTGACGGAGCGTGTAGCTTGGTTACCAGTCACGGGTTACTGCACCTGACAGAGCACCAAGTGTGGGAGATCGTGTGGGGCGAGGGTGGGGTGTCGTGTGGGAGTGGAGAGGGTGCGAATGACAATGAGGAGGAGGAAGAGGAGGAGGACGACTATGATGATGATGATGATGATGATGATGATGATGATGATGATGATGATGATGATGATGATGATGATGATGATGACGACGACGACGACGATGATGATGATGATGCCTTGTCTGCTGACTCAGCATGCAGCGGAGTGCAGGGAGTGCAGTGTAAGGTGCTGCTGATGACTGAGGCGGTCCCAGTGTCAGTACCTGCTGCTTCAAATGCTGTGGCTGCTGGTGGTGATGTGTGTTGTTGGCTTGGTAGGGGTGCGGAAAAGGAGATTAGTGAAGATGCTCTTAGAGCACTGCGTCCAGATGCCTTGTTTGATTATATGTCCTCCAGATGCCTAGCCTTTGTTTAGGTAGCATCCTCAGTTCTATGTACAGCTACAATTGTGGCCACTCAGAGCCACCACCTAACCACATACTTGTGTGTATTGTCTTGTGTGAAGCTTCTGTCAAACATACTGTTGGAAATACCTCAAAGACTTCAGCATTTCTAAAGTGTAACACTACACTCGAGGAAAGTCATATCGAGTACGCGAGTCAACCGAGGTTACACGAGAGGTTGGACGAAAGAACACGTAAGGACGAAGGGACTCGAAGGGTTGCAACCGGAGGTTGCGACTGCACGTTACAACTGTAAGGGTGGTAACCGAACCGACAATCGAGTCGCTGTGCGACTTGATAACCGTTCCTTCAACTGTATTCTACAACTGCTTGATCTCTTATTTTCTATATATTGCTGTATGCTTGTTTCTTTTAATCAACCACTTGCTCTCACATACTAGTGCAAGGGTTCAACTACTCAACACTTCTGCTGCACTACTTAAGCATCTTGTACAAGTGGGACTTAGTATCTGGAAAGATCCTAGGGGCTTTTCTCAGCCCAATATGGTATGAGAGCTGGTCAGAGACCAAACTCCCAGCAACAACGTATCAAAATGAGAAGTGAATGATAAGTAGTGCGAGAGTACACATAGATATACCTAAGTATTGTACCCTCTAAGAGGTGACCCTATACAGTCTATGCAAACATAACTAATACACATGTTTGACACACCCCCTAGACTGCATAGGGGAATGTCCTGAACAAGCAGCTCAGGGCGGCACTACTAGTCCAACCTCTGAGACAAGGGTCTAAAAGACCAGTCAGAAGGAGAACATACAAGGCAAGAACAAGATCAGGGCGGCACTACTAGTCCAGCCACTGTTAGAGGACACAAGTCCAGTCTGAGTATACATATAAAAGGGCAGTACAAAGTCAAGGCCCTAGCAAGTGAGAGGCTACAGGGACTAGACCAAGCTGTACGCAGTGCCGCTGATGATCTTTAGGCGCAAGCGCCTTCGTAAAGATATCAGCTGTGTTGGCACCTGAGGCCAAGTGTACTACGCGAGCCTGGCGTCGCTGCTGTAGCTCGCGCAGGAGGAAGTATCGCAGCTGAATATGCTTCGCCATGCCCTCGAGTCGAGGCTCCTGACACAGGAGGATCATGGCCCTGTTGTCAGCGTACAGGACCGGGGCAGAGCTAGGCCGCTCACCTAAGTCAGTGAGCAAGAAGGTCAGCCAGCGGAGCTCCTGTGCCGTTATGGCACCAGCGTAGATCTCGGCCTCACAGCTGGACTGGGCAACAGACGAGGAGCGGGTAGCTCTCCACGAGACGGCACCTGAGCCAAGGCTGAAGCAGTAGCCCTGGGTAGACCTGAGTGTCTCGGCGTCGTCTGCCCACGAAGCGTCGGTGTGTCCAGTAAGGACCACTGGCCTGTGTCCTCCTAGCACTAACCCCATGCCCGATGTACTAGCAAGATAACGCAAAACCCTCTTAGCGGCAGACCAGTGCTGCGGTCGGTGTCTGCCTGTGGCCACAAAGCGAGCCAGGATGCTGAGAGGGTATGCGAGATCTGGGCGAGTGCAAGTCATCAGGTACATGAGGCAACCCACCAGCTCTGCGTAGGGGCCGCTGGGCTCAACCGACTCCTCAGACACTGGAGCGGAGAGTCTGTGGTCTACAGGCAGAGGGGTGGGCTGTTCAGAGGAGAACTGAAGGCTGAACCTCTAAAGGACCTGGCGCACCAAGTGTGACTGAGTCAGGGTGATGGTGCGCGCTGCTCTGTCCCTGGAGATCTGCAAGCCAAGGTAACGGCGCAGTTCTCCAAGGTCAGTGCACGTGTGTCTCTTCAGCAGCTCTGCCTTCACCGAGGCCAGTGCGTCCCTGTCTGCTGTGGCAAAGACCAGGTCGTCAACGTAAACAAGGATGTAGAACGGAGTCTGGCCAGCACGAACGAAGAGTGAGGGGTCTGCGGAAGACGGAAAGAACTGCAGGTCAGCAAGCGTAGCACGGAGAGTGTCGTGCCACTCACGGGGAGCCTGGCGCAGGCCATAGACAGGGCGCCGCAGGAGCCACTGGGTCCCAGGAGGGAAGGTGCCAGTAAAGCCCTGAGGGCGACGCAAGTAGACCTGCTCATGTAGGCTGCCCTGAAGGAAGGCAGTGGAGAAGTCGAGGGAGTGAAGCTCGTAGTCGCGCTGAGCAGCTAGGTGTAGCAGAACCCGAAGAGTAGTCATCTTCGGGGTCGGAGCGAAGGTCTGGAAGAAGTCCACCCCCTCACGCTGACTGAAGCCTCTAGCCATGTAGCGCACCTTGAACACAGGCGGCTCTCTAGGAGGGCGCTTCACCTTGAAGAGCCAGCGGCCATCAACTAAGTTCACCCCAGGCGGGGGAACTGCGTCGACGAAGGTGCCGGTGTATCTCCAAGATGCCATCTCCTGCTCCATGGCAGCTATCCACTGCGAGGCCCAAGGTCCCGAGGTGGCCTCAGCGTAAGTGCGAGGGATCGGGATGTCGAAAGCGTCTGGGTCACCCTCAGGGACTAGCAGCATGGAACAGAGATGGGGAGCAGCCTCGAACAGGAAAGCAAGCTCGAACTGGCGGTCCTCCAGGACGTCACTGCCAAGGGCAGGAGCACCCCCGACAGACGGAGGACAGGCAGGGTCAGAGACCAGAGCTGTGGCGTAGTCAAGGCGGCGGGTAGAGGCGAAGTCAGTAACAGCAGCTACAAGAGCGTCAAGGCACGAGACCGGAACAGAGGGGTCGGTAACGAGAGTGGCAAGGACCCGGGGAACAAGAGGACGAGCGGCACGAAGGTAGTCAGACAGCGGGGGGGGGTGCAACAACAAGGGAGGACGGAAGAGGCGACGGCAGAAAGGGAGGACGAGACGCGTGGGAACGAAGCAACAAAGGGTGGGAGCGCAAGACAGGCAAGGCAGGACGAGCACGGGAGGGACGGTGAGACCAGACGTGCGACAGAGGAGTCGGGTCAGGAGACAGGGGAGGGGAGACAGGAGGGGAACGAGGGGGAAGACGGGCCGGGGACGAGTCCGGCGGAGGGAACACAGGGCCGTAGACGAGAAGAGGAGGAGACGGGCGGAGAGGAATAGCCGCAGGGTCAGGGGACGGAAGGCCGAGCAGGCGAAGGGCTGACACCGGCGGGGACTGCTGCTGCGGCGGCACAACGATGACACCTGGACAGCAAGCTGCTCCTCGGCTACCACCGACACACTCCACACCAGCACCCCCAGAGGGACCACCCCCAGGGCGACCGGGACGAGCACCCCCAGAGTCAGCGAAGGGGTGCTGGGACGGCGGCGGCGGCGGCGGAGGCGGCAGCGACGGCGGCAGCGACAACGGCGGCTGCAGCGGCGGCAGAGGCGGTGGAGGAGGGGACGCCGGGGGAGGGGCGGCCGGCGAGGACTGCGCAGCAGGGCCACCAGAGTCAGAGGACTCCTCAACCGGGTCTACCGACGGAAGGGGGGTGACGTGGGACACGCGAGAGAGGGCAGGACGGGGAGGAGGAGGAGGAGGGGCAGGGACTACAGGGGAAGGAGTGACTAGGAACAGGGGGGGGGTAACCGGGGGACCGCGGTGGGGGAAGCGACGGTAGTAGGAGACGGACTCGTCAAATGTGATGTCGCGAGAGTGAAAGAAGCGGTGAGACGGCGGGTGGTAAAAGTGCCAGTCGGACGCGTCAAGGGGAAAACCGAGGAAGACGCAGGGAAGGGTGCGGGCAGTGAGCTTGTCCGTGCCGGAGGCACGGACGTGAGCAAGGCAGCCCCAGACGTGGAACGCAGATGCGTCACCAGGAGACGCACTCCAAAGACGGGTCGGCGAAACCTGCGGCTGCTGAGGGTGCGGCCACAAGTTAAGCTGGTGAGAAGCGTAGCGCACAGCGAAAGACCACTGAAAATGGGGTGCACCGGCATGGATCATGGAGGTGCGAGCCACCTCCATGACCAAACCGATGCGTCGCTCAGCGACCCCATTCTGCTGTGGGGAGTCCGGTAGGGTGAACGTCTGGGTGATGCCCTCCGCACGACAAAAGCGACCAAGGACACCTGAGGCAAACTCGCCACCACGGTCGGAGTGAAGACGCAAGACAGGGAGACCGCGGTGGACACGCGCAGAGACAAGCCAGGGGATGAGAGCGCCAGGCACGTCGGCCTTGCGCTCCAGGGGAAAGACTGTGGTGTAGCGAGTAAAGTCGTCGACAAGCACAAGGAAGTAGCGCTCGCGACGCGGCCCAGGGACAGGGGCGGGGCCCCAGACGTCCAGGTGCAGGGTCTGCAGCGGCGCGGCGGTAGGGGGAAACGAGGAGGAGTGAGGGGCACGGCGAAGCCGACCCTCGACACAAGGCGTGCAAGGTGGTGCTGGGGAGGAGGGAAACGCAGGGAGAGAACCTGGGAGACCAAGGACAAGACCGTGCTGGGACATGTGACGCAGACGCGGGAGCGCAGGGTGACCTAGGCGGTGGTGCCAAAGGAGAGTCGGGTGAGTGAGGGACTGACAGGAGCAGGCAGCAGCAACCTGGGTGAGCGCTCCAGCCGGGGGGGTCACGGTGTCCAGAGTGAACAGGCCGGACACCGGGTCCCGGGGGAACGTGGACAGGGGGGCACCAGTGGCGGCCTCGGTACAGACAGCATACCGGTCGTGACCAGGGAACGTAGTGGTGACGCCAAGGTCCTGGAGGCAGCCGACACCAACTAGGTTCCTGGAGAACGAGGGGATATGCAGACCTGTAAGAGAGCCCGAAGGAACCGCCGGACAGGGAAGGGTGGTGGAACTGCGGGCGACTACCGGACCGCCAGAGGGGTCAGCGAGAGAAACGGCAGCAGGGACGGGAAGCGGCGTCAGGGTGGTGAAGTCGCGGAAGAAACACCGGGAAGCGCCAGAGTCCAGGGTGAAGGAAAGCGAAGCAGAGGCGTCTGGCGACGGAACGACGGCGGAAGCACCAAGACTACACAAAGCAGGGGATCCTACGCCTGACGCAGCAGGGGAGGCTAAGCTAGGCACACCTACACTAGCCGACAGTGAGTAATAAGCGGGAAGCACACTAGAGTCATCAGCATACATCACATGCAGAGCAGAAACAATG